TGAGTTCCACGATGATAGATTTATCGAATGGAATTTACACGTCACCAAGAAACTGGATGGACGCAAGATTTGTGATCATAGGTCTTGACACTCTCTGCGACCTAAGAATCAAGTTTGATTTCGCTACCATGTCATTGGGGTGGAACCGCGCATTTTTCCCTGTGAAAGATTGCGATACCGACAGAGAAGAGAACTTCTCCATTCCCGATCCTGCAGATGTCAGAGACAATGCAGATGGTCTCGAGAAGACTCTTGATACAATATACGAACAAATAGACTTTTAAAAGGCAGATGTGCCAGAGTCGAAACCCGTTAAATAAGGAAAGAGCCAAGACGCTCATGCTTTTTCAACCAAGTGCTTCGACCAGTCGAGGATACTTCTGGAGAGTTGGCGGAGAATGGACGACTACGAGGTAGAACTTCGTCCCGAGGCTAAATACTATTAGACTAGGGCTCACCCTTCTCCACGGGTCCATACCAACACTCTTAATAAGGAAGTTGAACGTCTCTGCAAGACAGAAGTACTTAAAAAGATAAACCGTTCCGAGTGGACGGGCACCAACTTTTATCATCCCAAGAAAGATGGATCTTTACGATTCATCTCTGATTTCGGGAACTGAACAAAAGGATTAAGCGGAAGCCCTATCCTATCCCAAAAAATACAGGACATGATCTTGAATCCAGATGGATTCAAGTACGCTACTAGTCTAGATCTGAACATGGTATACTATCACATCGAGCCTTCACCTCACTCGAAGCAACACTTGTTTACCATTGTACTCCCTGAGGGAAAGCACGAGTACCAAAAGTTGCCAATGGGCCTATTGTAATATTCCCGACATCTTCCAAAGGTAGATGAAAACACGCCTGCATGACTTAGAAAGTCTGTGTCATATACATTGATGCATCAAACTCATCCTAAAGGACGTCGATCTCGAAGATCGCGTTGAATAGTAGGATGACCTTTTCAAAAGACTTCAAGAAGTCGCGGATTGAAATCAACCACCACCAAGGCCTTCCCTCGATTAGGAGAAACTGGGTTTGGATTGGACTTCTCGAGAAAGGAAGCCAACCCTTAACAAAAAAAAAGGACAATAGATGCGATCCGGCTATCGCTCTTCCCACCAACAGAAGGAACTTCGTAGATTTATTGGACCAATGAACTAACAAGGACTGCTCCAAGGGAAAAACCAGGGCAAGAAAAACGGGGAGTGTAACCATCGTTCTGAACAGACGTGGGTTACCCAGTATCCTTGACCGGTCGTCATGGACAGAGAACGTGAGTCCCGCGTAGAGGTCGAGAAGGCTCTCCGGGATGAACATGGACTTCGTTCAAGTTCACCTTCGCGTCAATACATTAAGGAACGTCGCAACGACTTATCCAGAAAAAACACCGATAAGGAGAACACGGTACTAGGGGACTCCCCTCCTGTTATCACAACTACTTCAAACACTCACTCATCTCTCTCCTCACCAAATCCAAGCCCTACAAACAGTCTTGGCTCCAAGGGATACATACTATACGCGATAGGGAAACTAGACGCGTCCACCAAATCACTGAAGACAGAAGGCATTCAAGATTATATCAATGGTGTGCTACGGGCCGACTCTAGCCTTTCCATCTCCCATCACTCGAACCTCCTCCTCAGAACCCAACCAACAACATTAGAACATGGCCTTAGCGCGCCACACTACAAGGAAGGCCTTAGCGCGCACTCCTACAGAATACCAAATAATTGAACGAAATCACCCTTAAGGGCCTTAGCGTTGCCCGTGACCCTTCTACTCGAACAAGGGGCCAGTAGCTGCCCCTTGTCATTCTGAATGAAGTAAAAGGCAAGCCTCGCGCGGCAGTAATGACAACAATACAAACTCCTACTAATCTTTGTGAACAAACAAACAAGGAGAACATCGGACGGTTCCCTCATCAACACCATGTCACGATACTATGACGATTCATCAGTATCAGAAACTGTATCGTACGGTCAGCACCATGACAAAGGTCCTTACAACACAGACCGAAAGCTTAATACAATGGCACTGTAGGTCTTCCGACATCTATCCGCAGTAGCGGCACAGTCTACCAGACTTGGAACAATAATGTATTTACACCCATACCAAGAGCCTGATCCCCTTGTAGAGTTGCCATCGATGCGACGCACATGACTACATCCATCTCCGGAGAGGCCCCCGCACTTTTAATTCATATGTTCTCATGTCCACGATGCGTCATGCGCTTTCTGTTACCCTTGTCAGGGGCGAATGCAATACACGGCTCTTAGCCTTATTTGCGACTCGACTAGAGGGTATGAGTTCGACTCATCACTGAAGTCTCTCTTGAATAATCATTGAGACAGGGATTCTCAATGATCCGCATCTAGTCATGACTGAGTTTGATGATGAACATCGCTCTTACGATATTTATCCAGCGTGGAGTACTTCCACGCTACTACTAAATGCTAGGCGAATCTTCACGCGTTTCGTTTTGCGGTTCGTGGAGTAGATTAGGATTTCTACCGCAACCTTCTCTATCACACTCTTACAGTCTCCGCGGGAGTTCAGATCTAACATCCTCTTTGGTTGTAGATCTCTCTCGTTGATTAGTTTTCATAGCTTTCTAATCCTCTCATAACTTTCTTTCTCTCAAACTCAAAACACTCGAAAGATCTTTACACTAGCTTTTAGCGTAGTGCACTCGTGACAATGGTTGTCCATGAGATGAACAGGCATGCATGAAGGCTGCTCTGATGGGTCAATTGGAAACGTTGATGTGGCTGCATGCAAATGGTTGTCCATGGGATGACTATACATGCTATATCGCTGCTGAACAAGGACATTTGGAAATCTTAGAGTGGGCTCGTGAAAATGGTTATACATGGGATGAACAGGCATTCTATATTGCTGCTAAATGTGGACATTGGTATGTTTTGAAGTGGTTGCACGCAAATGGTTGTCCATGGGATGAAGCGACATGTCAAGCTGCCAGAGACTCCCAGTACATGAGCGGTAGCAAAAAAAAATGAAGTGATCCAGTGGCTACGCGACAATGGCTGCCCTGGTTCTCATGATGAAGTAAACTAATAAGGTCACGAATTGAATGCATGATTCCAGTATGCCATCAAAAGTAGAACAATACCCATGCTTTCCCTCCCAGCAGCCCATCAACGACGATCACCGATTGCACGTTCAATTCCGTTGTACATTTGCTCTTTTAGGTTTCGTTTCCATTTGACGACTGGGAGACCCCTTTCTTGAATAACGAGGCGCCACGACAGCCATTGTTGCTGGCAGTTGCTTCATGCCCGAGCGTACCGTACGGTATGGAAGCAAGAGCGAATCCACTCTGCAATATCACACTCGATTCAATTCAAAAGTAGCCCAAACGCGTCTTCCGTACTGTATTCCTACATGTATATCGCGGACCACAAGCTTCCCGCCCCTTGCTTCCCGGCAAGAATGCATCTTTAAAATTGGGACCTTCCAGAAACCATCACAAGTAAAAAGTTTAGGTCGGGAGGTCATTTGAGGAATTATAAACAAAATTAATCGCACCCAGTCATGACCGTGACTTACCTCGAATTTCTTTCAGAAACCAACAAAAGTGAGCAAGAGGTGATGTCGCCAACCAATGCAACAGAAATGGTACTTAGCAGTAGAGTAGCTACGTAGGTTTCTACATGACACAGGAACACTCACAACTTGGGCAGCTCATTCCTGTCGCCATTTCCTTGCCTTATGGTAGACAGATGAACCATGGACGACCCACTCAGGAGCAGGGTGCTCCATCAGAGGCGCAGGAATTTCCTTTTGCTGTACCTGCTCGACATTCAAGACCTGAGTTTCAGGGAGCTATTGGATGCTGAGGGACGGTTGAGAAGAGACCGAAGAATTCCCAGGATCGCGTTACTCTCGCCGAAAGACTCACCTTGGGCCGCTCTATATGCCTCTGGCAACAACCAAGCTCTCATCACAACAACAGGTTTTGACCATCATACCCCTTGGACAGGAAAACAAGATGGCACAACGTTCAAACAGTTGAGCAAGTATACCCATGGGCGATCTCGCATTATCGATGCTGAAACTTGCGTTGGGCTTGTGCTGACCTGATATCGCTTCAGAGGAGGTGAATTCATTCTTAAAGGATGGTTTGGCTTTACTTCCAATCATGCTAACGTCTGGCTCCGTTTTGGCAGACGGGGCATGCTCAGAGTTCTTGGGAAGCACCCACTTGCTCGCGTTGAATGGCCCTCTGCCACACAAGCTCAGCTTTTCTGCAAGATTGTACAGTTGCGACACGACCAGCTTGGTGATGTTGGCTTTGTTATGGATGGTTTGAAGCTTACCTTCCAGAAACACGAAGATTTGGATGAGCAGTCCATGTACTACAACGGTTGGACTCATGATCACTACATCACGAACGTCTTTGTGTTCTCTTCTGATGGATCCATGGTAGCGGCTGTTGTGAACGCTCCTGGATCAATGCATGACAGCACTGTGTGTGACATGGGAGATATTTACAATCAGCTGGAAGCGATTTTTGTCAGCTCTGGAGCCAAATGCTGTGTTGATTCAGCTTTCTCTGCAGCGGATCGGCCTTATATCATCAAATCTTCTGAGAACGTCCTTCGTGCAGGCTCACCAGAAGAGTTGATCAAGCAGGAACAAGCGACTTCTCTTTGACAAGCCTCTGAGTGGGGGATGCGTGCTATTCAGGCTGCCTTCTGCAGACTCAAAGATCGCATCCACATTGAAGATAATGGAGAACGTCGTGTCTTTCTGCTGTTGATGCCCCTTCTCTACAACTTGCGCCTAAATCTTGTTGGATTGAACCAACTACGCAACACCTATGTTCCCATGTGGTCAGTGGATTCGTCCTACTTTATTCACAAGTAATCACTAGGTTTTATTTTATTTGTCTACTGTAGTGGCTTGTCCATAGTCTTGTTCTTTCTTTCAAACATACAAAGTCAGGGCCTGACAACTTTCTTCTCACCGGCCTCCTAGATGGCATTGGGCTTCTTCTCGTCATCGTCGCTGTCATGCTTTCCATAGGGAAGCTTGAGCTCAACTTCAGAACCAGAGGAGCTGTCGACATCCATGAGATCAACAGTAGCCTCCTTCTTCTTCTTGACACTCTTGTTCGGCGACTTGCGAGCCCGCTTCAAAGCCTTCTTTTTCTTCCAGCGCTTAAGCTTGCGCTTGAAAGAAAGCTTCTTTCCACCACCACCATCATCAGAATCGTCCGACAAACTAGACAAAGAGCTGTCGCTGCTACTGCTGGACGAATCCAATTTGGCAGGCTCCTGCATCGGGGGAATCTCAACCCTTTGCCCCGCCATGGCAGTAGCCAGTGCAGTGAAGGCCTGGGTGGCAACCATCATTGTTCTTTCCATCTGCTTGCCACGACGTTTGGCAGCACGCTCTTCACGCTTGGCTTGAGCCTTGTCAGAAGCGATAATTGCTTGAACAATTCCATCTCTGGCCTTGTCACGAGCCTTGGTCTTGAGAACAGACTTGGGTTGAGACAAAGTAACACCACCACCATCTTGTTTCTTGCTGCTGTTCTTCTTCTTCAAGTTCTCGCCATTGGTGCTGCCAAAACCATCTCCAATGTTCGCCATGGTGAGCATTCCTGCTTTCTCTTTCATGCCAGCTTTGATCCTCTTTGCGCGCTTGGTCAAAGGAGGACAATCAGGATCGCCGGTGGGTGGCTTCTTGCTGGCATGCTTGTTGAACTGGGCCTTCAAGTTGTTGTAACCACGAGGACGATCAGGGAACAGGGCATTGTATTCGTCCATGCACTTCGTGAACTCTTCTTTGCCAATAGGAAGTCGCCTTTCCAAGATGTCAAAGAAGCCGGATACCTCTCCATCAGTAAAGTGACTATCACCACCACCGGCAGACATCTTCTTGGCTTTGGGCTTTCCGTTTGGCTTGACAGAAGGGGCCTTCTTCTTTGCAGGAGCAGCCTGTGTTTCAGGTGACCATTTGGTGGGGCTTGGCAGCATGGGAGGAGCACTGTGACGTCCATTGCGACCAGCAACAGATTCTTCTTGGCCAGTCACAGTCGGCCAGGTAGCCGACTGCATGGTGAAAGCAGAATCATCGTTCTTGGCTGGTGTATGCCAATGAGCAGGTGGTGGGTGGAATACAGGAGCAAACTGTCGAGGAGCAGGGGCCCGAGGAATAACAGGCACTGATGTGTTGGTCGGTGGGGTATTCCAAGAAGCAGCAGCTGCTTGGGGAGTCTTCGCCTTAGATCCTGCTGTGGCATCAGCCAAGGCAGCCGCATCCATTTCATTCAGAAACTTCTCCTGAGTGCAATCAAACAGACGATTTTCAGCAGCAGCAGCAGCAGCAAGTGTTGCCTTCTTCCGAGCAGTCTTCTGCATGTTCGCCGCCTGGGCTTCTGCAACTGCACGAGCAAGTTCAAGTTCGTCAGAGTCTGGAGAGTAGGAAAGACGACCAGTCATGTCAGGATGTGTAGGGTACCAACCTGCGACCAACTCAGGAGAGCTGGTTGGTGATGGTTTCTCAGGTGGCGGCACACCTGCTCCGGCTTCCATCACCCAATCTTTCTTTCGCCCTTTGGGTTTCTTTGGCTTTTCAGCCGGTTTCTCAGCCTGCATGATGCTTCGAATCCAAGATAAAATGAGATCAGAAACCAGCCCAGAAACCAAAATTGGAGGTCAAGGTGAGAGGTATCTTGTTTGTTGTTGACGTTGTTCTGTTCTTTCGAAGAACAGAACAACAAAGAGCAGCATCACAACCAAAATCCGCTGCTGGAAGACAGACAACAAAGAGCAGCATCACAACCAAAATCCGCTGCTGTTTAGAGCGTCCTGGCTAATAAAATCTAGCGGCAGCTTGTTGAGTGTTCTCTGTCTCGCAGCAGACATCAGCATCCCTGACATGCTATGCAAAACCTAGGTTGGAATGCACAGCAAGAACAGCAACTAGAGATGTTTTTGTTCTGTTGATGGTCGACCTGTTTAGTTTGAAGGGCTACAGTATAGTTTTGGAAGTACCGCAAGCCAGAATTTGAATCGGGGACAAATTTTGTGTATTTAGTAGCGAACTGTCTAAGTACGGATTTGCTCCCAGCTAAAATAGCCGATTGTGTGTCACATCAACCCACCTCCACAGTGAGGCAACGAGTGCTTGTAAATCTCGAGGTCAACCAAAGGTAACCCGGATCTATTACAAATTTATTTAGTATTGCCCAAGTGACCTCCCGACCTAAACTTTTTACTTGTGATGGTTTCTGGATGGTCCCATTTTAATTAATTAATTATCTACGGAAGCTGGCCATGGTAGCTATGACATGCTTTTGCAAAACCTCTACTAGTACCGGTACAGCAGCTAGTTTTGCTCCCGCGAAGGACATTTTCCCCATTTTCTTCGCTTTTCGAGCACTGAAACAGTAGTTGCGGTGATGTCAGAAGAGACAATACCAAAGCAGTTGATTCAAATGGGAGTCAAACTCTCCCGTACATAGATTCTGTCATGGTATCCTTTGAAATACTGTACCACAGCTGATGGACTGATAAGGCATGTTGTATCCTCATTGTCAGAGTCTTCATCAAAAACAACAATGCCTTCATCCGAAATCGGCAAGTCCAAGTCTTCACTATCAATACAGGAGTATCTTTGCTTGTCCAGGTAATAGCGGTATACCCTGTGTCCATCAGCATTCACCTCTTCCAAGTAAAAATTGCCATATCATCGTCATTGTCATCGCCAGAGTCGCTGTTTTCGTCCTGGTCTTCGAAATCCGAATCTTCGGAATCACAACCAACGCGATCCTCCAGATCCAAATCATCGGCATCAAAGGCCTCGTCAATGTATTCCTCGTCCTTCTTTCGTACAAAGATATACGTGGATTCTGCCTTGGCAAGTTCCTCCAGCAAAAGCTGAAATGATTCCTCGTGAGACGTTTCATCATTGTCAGTCCTCACGTGACATTCCAACCATCTACCTTGTGTGCAATCCCCAACCCCTTGGTTGCCTGCTCTACTTGGACGGGGACAATGGTGTGAACAATTTCACTCAGCTCCTACTCGCAAACTACACATGCATGTGGACGTGCCGAACGGTACGATGGAGGTGGGGTATCCCACATGGTTTGCACTCGGTGCAAAGGCTGTCGGGCACCAGGACCATTTTGAATTTCATCGTGCACGAGTTGAACACATCCAGGCCATAGGAGCATTAGGATCAGCTCTGCCAGTTGTGCCCAAACCAAATCAACCATTGCATTGTCCATCTTTGTGATGCCAGCAGCGTAGGCCAATCGACGAACAATCTGGAATCGCTTGGTCTCATCAAAGTTCACTCCAGTTGCAATCGCAGCTTTCACAGCTGGAAAGGGTGACAAACCAAGGAGTTTTAATTTCGGCAGCTTCTTAGCCTCGGCATTCCCAGCTGGCTAGTAGCGGCGGCTCAGAGCATTGAAAGCTGCAGAGCTGCATACATTGGTTGATGAGCGGAGGGGAAAGTCCTCTCGGACCTCGCCACATCCAAAACTACTCTACGGTAGCTACTAGCTAGCTAAGCTAGATAGTCAACTTTTTCTTGGAGATTCGACTACTAGTATTTATCAACAAGACCTTGTTTCAAAAGAAAGGACCTGTTTGCGACGGTGGTTGTCCTCCGTAGGCTCCGGGTGGAGGAGGTTGCTGTTGCTGCTGCGGTGGGTACGCGAAAGCATTGCCAGAGTTAGGTGCCTGGTTTCCTTGGTACATTGGTGGAGGACCCCTGTAGCCACCTGAATTAGGGGCTTGGGCAAACGCAGGGACTGCTCCAGGTTGCATGGCGTACCCAGCTTGTGGTTGAGCATATGCTTGTTGCTGCTGAAAAGGAGGGGTTGGGGAATGGCTCATTGCGCGATTTCGATTCGGCGGTACCGGCGAAACGGAGCGTTGCTGCTGTGGTGCCATTTGACCCGCATACTGCTGTGGTGGTGGTTGCGCCACCAAATTCGCCTGTGGGGGTTGTTGGGAAAAGGACGGTGGCGTGGGCGATAAACTTCGGGTATGCGCTAGTTGCTGATGAGGCGGGACAGGAGAAGTACTCCGTGATCGATGATATTGGTGGTGGTGGTGCTGTTGCTGAGCCACATAGTGATTTGCCGGCGGTGGAGGTTGTTGCGGTGCAAACTGGGCTGCTGGCGGTGGCTGAGATTGAGCTTGGCCGCCAATTGCCATGTCTCCAAATATACCAAACATGTCCGAGCCAGTCGATGCAGCTGCGGGGGGCGCCTGTTGCTGACCCCCTCCGAACACCCCGAAGATATCAGTGTTGCTCGATTGTGCTTGAGCGGCTACCGGTGCTGCTGGCTGGTTCAATCCTAGCAAGTCGATCCCACTATTCTGGGCGACAGGAGCTGGTCGGGCAGCAGGCGGTGGAGCCTGTGTCTGAGGCGGGGGCAAAACCGCAAACGTAGGAGTTGCATTATATTGTTGTGCTGGTTGGCCTACAGAGGCCGGCGGAGTTCGAGGCGCAGGTGCAGCTCTTGGTGCACCTGGGTTCATCGCGGCGTGCACTTTGTGGAATGGGACAGAAATGGCCTTTTGAAGTCTCGGGTCGCGAGCAAGCTGGAACATGAATATGGACTTTTTGAGACAAAACGTTACTCCACCAAAGCATGATCCTGCAGCGTTAACTTACGTTGGGCCTATTTTGCATCCTCAGCGCCCGTCGTTTATTGATACACACCCGTCGAATGTGGAACAATTTAGACCTGTCAACCACGAGGCTGTACACTTGGGTTGCTGCGGTTCGAATCTGGACGCAAATGGACGTTTGTCTGTTTCCATTGTAGTATTTGAGAGCCCGGATCTTGTCCAACCCATCCGTGGCTTCTGCAACTGCCGCGATGGGGCCATGAAAGAGAAGATTCTTGAGAATATGCAGAGAATGAGTTGCATGGCGCCATTGCAATCCTCGGTTGTCTCGCATGCGAATCCATACAACCGACATTACATCAAACAATACAGAGCTGCTTTCACGGCACTGCTCGACGAGGTCCGCGAGCACTTTGTTATAATCCCCTTCAAACGCTCGTTTCGAAGTCAGTTCCATGGCGATCCTCCGAGCGCTTGTGTCCTGCATCAAAGTCGAGGGTCTCGACTGGGCAACCTGGCGAGTTACCCTCCGAACATTCAAAAGGCCGTAGTCGATCTTGTGCTGATTGTGATAGTTGGAGCACTGAAGGAACAGTGGCGATTCCACGGTAACCTGCTGGCGGAGCCTCAATTCTTCCACACGAAGCTTTGCAAACTCTTCGAGCATTTGCGTCTGACAAAAAGTCTGTAGAAGTGGCCACATCGAGGACTGTTCGCCATCCGCCCCCGTCCGCTTTTGCTGAAGAAATCGCTGTCGATCTAGTTGAGGTGGTTGGCCCGGCTGCGCTGACAAGTACCATCTCATATTCCCAATCATCGACACAAAGAATGAGCAAAATGCTATTCTGGCCTCCTCTTCTCCCATTTCATTGCGGCATCCTTCGGTATAGATGTAGTCAGGTGCCATGGGGTTCACTTCGGGAGGATCCACAGGTTCTACGGGTGGTTCTTCCTGATCGTTTTCGCTGTAGCTGGAAGTTTTGAGGAAGCTCTTACTCTTCTCCTTCAATTTGAAGAACGCTCCCTTGACGGCTTTGGTAGCTTTTGCAGCCGTATCTTGCATGGATGCTAACGCTGACTCTCCATTGAGTGTCTTTTTGTCGTTTTTCAAAAGCTCCACAAGATCCTGCGCCAGCATTTCTGGGGAAGATGCCGGCAAAGCTTGACCAGTCGCAAACTGCTGGACCGAGTAAGGATCGGCATTCATGTTCCTCAACAGGTCCGGGATCCTCTCGTTGATTTTGTCAGTGGGAATGCCTCTGGTTTCCATATTGTTGTGATCGAGGTTAATGATCAACACTTCCCCCAAACCGTCCGTTCTATCCAAACGGGGCGTCAATGCCGCCAGAATTCCAATCAAATAGGGATACGGGGCCGCCAAGTACTGCCACAGATGGGGAGGCAGCACGGGGATGTATAGGTGTTGCCAATGTAGCAATCCTTGTGCTAGTATGCCAATGATTGACTTGAAACAGGTTGCCAATCGTGTGGGACTTGCCGAAATCAAAATGACGCGACGTTCGCATAGCGCGGCACAGAGCAACCTCAATGTGTGTGCGACGCCCAAGCATCGAAGGACGGGCAGAATACTGGTTCGTGAGCTGTTGGAGACGAGATCCCCCATGGATGTACGGAGTAGAAGAGGCCGTGGGAGTAGGAAATGGGTAAAATCGACGTGTGCAAACTTTTTGGCCCCCATTGTTCCCACTTCCAAATCTTGAATGGTAAGAAAGACGGGTTTGTTTCTAGCATCGGGTGGTTTTGCCGCGTAGGAGATGGCAATTTTTTGGTGTTTTTGGAAGAGTTCATGTAGATATTTCTTTTGGGGTTCCTCCTTTGTGAGATACTGTGGCATTGCCAGCATGTGTGACGTGAGGGCATCCACGGTCCTTTGGAGGATAGGGGAATGACAATCAACAGACAAGATCATTAGCCATCAACACCCTGAATACATTTCTATCTATTTTCTCTTTCATGACAAACAAACACCAAAAAGTACTTACTTGAGCACCGCCGAATATACGGCATCCGCTCCCGTAACTCTGGTTAAAATGACCAGAGCCCGTTCCCCTCTGCGTCCGACATCGTAGCGTGTTTTGGCTCCAATATGACAGGGCAGATACCGTCTAACATGTCCATGAACCCTCATTCCCGACTGGAGCGTCAAGGAAAAAGTGTAATTCTGAAATGCCGGTGGCTGCATGGCGTACTGATCAAATCGATTCACGGGTGGTGCTTGATCCGGTGGAGGAGGCGGCGATGCATCTTGGTCAAATTCCGGAAAGGCAAAACGAGCAATCTGCGGCATGTTCTTGGATAGTTCTTGATCGATGCTATCCTGCGTTCCTCCTGTTGCTGTAGTTGGAGGTCCAAAGACGTATGCTGGGGGTGTATGAGGACTCGCCGCCGGATGAGGAACATCGAGAAACAAGTCGAAAAAAGGCCACGGTTGCCCTGCTGGAGCGGTTGGTGGTTGAGCCATGGTGGAGTTTTTTTACTGTAACTACCCAAACTGCAATAATGAAACTATAATGAAACTATCTCCTGATGAGCGAGCTTTCCCCTTTGTTATCCTCAACCCACTTGGACAAGGATACTACCGGTACTACTGTAGCAGCTATAATAGCTGATTGGTACGAGCAATCAAACAAGAGGCAACGCAGTGGGGTATCCGATTGTTTCATCATGGCCACGGTTGCTCCGAACGTTCGCTGGTCGAGGCGAAGATCCAACGGATCGTCTTTAGCCCTATTTTTAGAGTTTTCGTTCACCTTCACCCTAATCGACCCCGAACCGACATCGCATCGAGCACCTCGAACCGGCTCGATCATCGACCGTGCCAATAACAACAGCAACAATCAATCACCTCTGCTGCTAAGCTATTTCTGGTTGCCCTATCGATTGCTGTTACTATCTAGAGTAGCTACATGTCTGCATTTCGAGCTTGATCAAGCATTGCCTGTGTGTCGGTATTGTGGTTCTTAGCATGACATCCATTGGTGATGGCGACGATCAGGCAACGGCTTCCACGAAAGTTGCCGTTGCTTCTTCTTCGATCGAGGATCCAGAGAACAGGGCACTTGACGAGGAACCACTTGAAAATGGACATGGTTCTGAAGACTCAGTAGCTATTATTGCTGAAGGAGATGAAAGCAAGGGATCCGGAGCAGCAGCAGTCTCCAGCAGTAGTGACCAACAACAACGTCGACGCCAACTCAAGAAACAATCGTCGCAACGAAGAAAAAGTCACGGCGCTATTCATAATAGTACGGATCGACCATTGAGCCACTACCCTCCTCGCCCAGAATCTCGACAAGAATCCCCTCCGACGGCCTTTGTCGATGCTCTGGCACAATCGCCTCTTCAAGAAAGCTGGAACCAATTTGAAGAATCCGTTGGAAAACCGTCACGAGAAGCCCTACACAAATTCTTTTATCCTCCAGGCAACAACAATAATAATAGCAATGCTGCAGCGGCACATCATCATCATCATCACAGTCCTCATCAAATGCACTCACCAAAACGTCGAATCAGCAAACGACACTTGACTTCACCTGGAGATCCAGATAATAATCACAAGAGAAACAGTATCAAGAAACAACAAGGAATACCCATCGTAGACCACCCACTACAGACACCTCAACTGGACCACGAAGGTTATGATCGTCAACCAACTGCACAACAACAACCACAACAACAAGAAGTTCCCAACAACTCTGATCCCGTGGTACCAAATGATACCCAACACGACAACAGCCACAATACTAGTAGTGGTCCTCCAAATGGACATCATCAGCATCATGTTCCGGCAGAGCAACCAACAACACGACGGCCTCCACAACAACAAGCAATTCACAGATCCATTTCCGCAGTTTCTTCGGTAGACTCCATCCCTGAAATGAGCAACAGTCAGAGCTGGCCTCGATCTCCTGCTCCTCTACTAGGACAACAGTCACCCACTTTTCAACAATCCTTCGATGCCGAGGAAGCACAAGATCGAAAATATGTCGAACGATTCTGGACCACCTATGATGATATCATCATGTTGAGTTTATTCACACAACTCGGGGTCGTAGCGCGGTTGGCAGCGTCCACCTGGTTCACGTTCTTTGATGGAGTCTTTCATAAAGAATCGCCCCTCTTTACCAATCTACCGCTCAACTGTTTCAGCTGTTTCTTGCTGGGATTACTCGGATCGGGAGATCGGTTGATGGAAACCATCACCACCAGGTTCACACCACGAAACTTGCAACAGAGCGTCGTTCAGGATTATTCACGGGGGACGGAATATTACGAATACGACGACGATGACTCCAACAATAGTGACAGCAATTACTACTGTGGGGCCGAGGATGATGATCACGATAACAACAATAATGGATTACGACGACGAAGGAGACGGCCCAAGAGAGCCAAGAGAGTCACCACGTTTCACAGTTGGCAACCTCCATTGCATTGGCACGATGATCTACGAGAAGTCCAGCTGCTGGCGTTGGAACGAAGAATACGAGCCAGCAAGTGCCTACTATTATTTCCAGTTGCCAAAGAAGACGCTGACGTCATGGAGCACTATTTTGGGGAGGGATATAAAGCTTCCGCGGAAAAACAGAAAACGCCCAGTCGCAGAAGGTCGACGACAACAACGACAAAAACAAAACCCAGGAATCGTCGTAGGCGACGCAGATTTGGAAGGCAGAGGTATGCCGCCACAAGTATGGCTGACACTGACCTGGACGATCATCGAGAAGGAGGAGGACATTTGCAGGATTGTAACGGCGACGATGATGAGTCCGACAGCAATAACAACTACGATGACAGCTATGGAAACCACAGTTATGCAAGAGAGCAAAGTGAAAGTGATGAAATGTTCGACGATGGCCTCTTTCGGTTTGATCTGGAACTGACCGAATCCACAGAAAAACAACAGTCTGCGAAAAACCATGCTGCGGAGAGCAAAGCTGAAGCCAATCCCGACGCTTCAGAAGGGGTTTTCCCTCCATCGGTTCAAAGGCTGATAAAACGTCCCCCGGGCTGTACGACAACTCTTCCACCCGAACAAGGGAATGTAACAGCGCAAGAAACCCAGCCTGAAGCAGTACAAACTTCCACTGCAAGAGAAAATAGTCAGACACAGCAGGGGGCGGCGGCGGCACCTGTTTCTTCGTCTCTGCCCCCACAGCAACAGCTTGGACCACAACAAAATGGCCATGTTGCTGCTGCTAGACCATCACACCCTCCGGCACCATCGGGCGCTATGAGAGTCAGCCGATCAGGCTCTGACACTGGATCCGAAAACGGTGCTTCGATAGTCACGGCTACAAGCGGGGGCGAAGGGGGTGATCCACAACTGGAACAAATTATTTCGAACGTACAAGCCAATGTATCGGAGAACATATCCAGGTTAGGCCGAGTGAACCTAGCTGATGGTTGGGATGTTGGCACCACGCCAGAGGCAATGTCGGACGATTTGATGTTGGGCTTGCGAGACGGATTCTGTGGAGCACTCTCGAGTTTCTCGTCATGGAATTCATCCATGTTAAACTTGCTACGCGAGGGACACATTGGCGAAGCGTTTGTAGGGTACTTGCTCGGACTTCAATTGCCGATTGTTGCCTATCGATTTGGACAGCAAGTGGCAGTCTACTTTTTCGTTTGGCGATGTCGACGAGAAGCTCGTCGGGAGGCTCGAAAGGGCTGGTACGGAATTCGCGTCAACATGGATGGAAGCGACGACGAGAGCGATGATAGTCCTACCAGGAGAAGAGACTGCAACAACTCGTCAGGTGAAGCCAGCAGCATGGATGACAACTTTGACGATCGCAGTCGAGACAGAAGTGCCGAAATGAGCTTCGAGGATGGCGCCATGTCACGAGAGACTCCTTCCGTGAGAGCCATTTGTACAGCCCTCTACTTGCTCGCCTTGGTTACACAATTCACTTCGCTCAATTTTTTTGCGAACCCAGAGGATCAGCAAATTGCTTTGAGTTTGCTATTCTCTCCCGTGGGAACCTTGACGCGTTGGCGTCTGTCCAAATTGAACGTCTGGCGACCGGGGTTTCCAATTGGGACCTTTGCTTGCAACATCCTCGCGTGTGCTCTCAGCGGAAGTCTTGGCAGTATCCTGGCCGGTAGTCCAGGCCCGAAAGAACGCATCTTTCTGCAAAGTCTCATTGCTGGTTTTGGGGGGACACTGAGCTCTCTGGCAACGTTTATTGTGGAGATCCTGGCTGGAATGGACCCATTGCTGTTCCGTTTTGATGGTGTCATCTATGCGGTTTGTTCCATCTTCTGGGCAATGACGATTGGCTTTATCTTTTCGGCATCAGTCGATTGGGCGGATGAGACATCTTGATTTTGTCTGGCTGACAAAATTCTCCAGTAAGGAGGCTGCAGGATCGTGCGCCGTGATAGCTGTGGCGGTACCGTGTACCAGTTTGGCCTTCTGGCAACCAGACTAGCTAGCGTGGTATCTTTGCAATCAAGAGACGTAGCCATCAGCAACGGTTGTAGCAGCCTCTCCACATTGTTGTCGTCTGTGCTTCGGTGAAGCCAACCGATCCGAAGTTTGTGATCGAGCAGTCTTGGCGCAGTGGCTCAACTCGTTGCCCACGTCTGTACCTAATCCTCACTATAGATAGCTACCGGTACCACAATCGATTCCAACAACAGAATTTTACCGCACTTTCCAGAGCCTCGGACTCACCATCCCCACAGAGAACTTCATTCCACCAGGCCACCAGGAGGCTTGATGGCTTGATGGAAGGGTACTAGTACTAGTATCGATGTACCAGTACTACGGTATCGATGGATGTAGCGTACTAGCTACTCTAGTACCGGTACCGTACTATTACAAGCTACTTTTAGTAGTGCCGGTACTCATGGTACCAGTATATGCAGATAGAGTGAGAGTGCGTGGCTGGGACGACGCGTACCGCTCCCAAAGAATTAGTCTCGTTGCTCCCTTCTTCGCCACTGGGACTCCAATCGCGTTTTTTGGGAACATTGCATGCACAAAAACCTGATCGAGAATCGAGATCGATTGGCCATCGGCAGTTGAGTTGTTGTTGAGTTGCGAATAGCAAGCACCACTATACGAACAGTCTTCTCGATGGTGGGTTATCGCTTACAAATTTGTTGGAGGGACAGCAGATAGGAAGACGAGAGGAGTAGGAAGTCTCTTTAGCCGCAGATCTACCGTATACCAGTGCCCTTCGTCGTTGGAGTTGATTGAAGTCGAGTCCTTCTACCTCGGTGTCTTCGCACGTGTCCGTTGCCCCTTCGTTATCAGAGGACCAGTTTGGCTTTGATTACCAGGTATTCAGTATCCTCACTGCGTAATACCAGCAGCGCTCATACGTAGGGATTCACTATGGTGCCTCCCTCACAGACGCAACCAGCTTCACTCCACGCTGATGGCCACAAGGAAGTTTCCCACGCCAATCACCATGTTCCCGCCTTTCTGGCCCTGTCTACCAGCAATGAATCTGCAGAACGAGATAATGGTATTCAAGTGGTTCACGATGGGACCCAGTTAACTGCGGAGGCGTTTCGTAACGAAGCGATGGATATATCACGACCTATTATCGTTAAGGACACGCCCGAGTCAATCGGCATGACCGTATTTCGGCCATTGGCAGTCCAGGAAGGATCGGAAGATCGAGTAACAATTCGCCATGTTGCAGATGTTATTGGCCACCAGTGGCCTGTCCGGGTGCTCGACGTGGAACATCAGGAGGAGCTGCAAGGCTGGTCATTGGGGGATTTGGTTGATCATTTTGAAGATGAGGGTCGACTCAGAGCAACCGGTAGTAACCGTGATCAGGGGGGCTCATCGCCGGAAATCTGCGACAACTCGCACTGGGTTCCCAGACGACGAAAGGCGGCAACTAAAGCATCTCAAAGTTTCATGGAGCACCAGAGTCGACCGCGCATTCTGAACCAAATCTCTTTGGAATTCTCCAGGACGGCTCTGGCCAGCAGAGTCAAATCGCCAACGTTTGTTCGAGACCTTGATTGGATCGAGCAGCAAGACAAAAAATCTACCACCCCCGTCCAATACTACTGCCTTACGTCGATGGCAGGATGCTTCACAGATTTCCACGCAGACTTTGGGGGAACTTCGGTCTGGTACCATGTACTCAGTGGGTCCAAAATGTTCTGTTTGATTGCTCCCACGAAGGAGAACCTTGGCGTCTATGAGGAGTGGTTGGGGCACAAAGACCAGGAATCCACCTTTCTACCAAACCTCATCAAGAATCCAGAAGAAGTCATCACGGCATCCCTCGAGGCTTCTCAAACCCTCTTCATTCCAACTGGTTGGATTCATGCGGTGTACACTCCAGACGATGCCATTGTGCTGGGGGGAAACTTCCTTCACGGCTATGACATTCCTGTTCAGCTAGCAATCAACGACATTGAGCATCGACGAAAAGTTCCACAACGAGAACGCTTTCCTTTTTTTAGGGAAATCCATATGGGTGCGGCTGCATTCTATCTGCAAAAGCTACGAGTTGGTGATTACAATGTAATTGCAAGACGGGAACTCGACAATATTCCTGCCTTACTGAAGTGCTTGGAGGGATGGCTTGGCGAGACTGGTACAATGGACAAGGGCAGCTTGGATTTTCAAGCTGCAACCTCGTACGCTCCATCCAGTATGGGTTATTCGTCTCCGGAACAGCTTTTGCGAGCATTGTGCCAAGAGCACGAGAAAGCCTTGGCTTCTTGGGCCAGCATCAGCCGTTCCACTCCGGACAAGGGCTTGTCCATGTTGGCGCCTGACTCGCCTAGAGACGCCAAGTTTGTTTCCGATGCGATGACAGCAAGCAAGGAACAATCGGCCACTTTGGAAGTCAAAAATCACTCGTTTCGCATTGTCATCTCGTCTGCGGCAAAGGAGCTGCATAATCCGCTGCCACGAGGTGTCCGAAAGTCAAATCCGGGGAAAGAGTGTAACAGATACGTCGACAAGGGGGACGATGACGACGATTGGGTGCCTCCGTCAGAGCAACGCAATAACCAAAGACGTGCCTCGGGAATCAGGCTGAAACTTAGCCTCAGTGGAGGCAGAAGTCCTCCCACTAAGAGGAAAAGCTCAGTGAAGGCTGCCCAGGGAAGCAAGCCAGACGTCAGACCCATTGCAAAGAAGCCTAAGACAACATCGCGACAAAGGTTGTTGAAGAAGTTTCGGTAGAAACTATTGGGTGCTTCGTGGATGCATTATGAGGATGCATATCTGGCATAGTAGGAAGATAGCCGCAGTGCGGTAAACGCACTAACCGAAACTAATAGCTATGCTATAGTAGGTACCGTTCTTTGTCTTGTTAGCTACAAGGATGCTTCGCTTTCTATGGCTTTTCAAAACAAACAGCACTTGTGGTCGTCCGAAACGATAACTACGGTTCTTCCTCTGGTGGTGGACATGGAAGAACATCCAACGCTTTCTCCAACAGAGACATGGTTTCTTCAGTTGTTGTCTCCACGGAGGACTGCGGAGATATTGATTTCAGCACAGTTAGAGCTTCCACGACTTTAACGAGATGATAGGTCTCCACAAGTTTCTCCTTGTCCTGAACTGTGAGTGTCTTTTCGGTGCCATCCGCTTCAGGTTCTGGCGGCGGCCATTCGAGAACACGTTCATCCGCACTCAACACAAACCCAAGCGAGGACAAGAAGTCACGCCCCCCTTGAAGTCGATCTACCTTTTTGTAGGATTCATTGGACGTAAAGATCTTGCGATATCGTGGGACGTGTGGATTTTTCGACAGATTGTTGATGTAGAGGAATAGCATTTGGACTCCCGTTTTGAGCCCGGTGGGATCTTCTGCATTTTGTCGCACGAGATCGATAAACGCTTTGCGCACAGTTTTGACGATTGTTGCTTCGGTTGCTTCAATATGTGATGACGAAACCACCTTGCCCTCCGAATCGGTATTGGTCTCATTGTTTGATACGGGCATTTTTGACTCTTGGTCGTCTTTCATTGACATAGAGGTAGTTTCAGTTTCCGCAGGCGATTCAGGTTGCTCTGTCTCTGTCTGATTATTATTTGTGCTGGGGCTTTTGTCGTTGTGCTCGGTACTCTCTTCAATCGATGTGGACGGGCTTGCATCTTTTTGGTGATTATCAGAATCGTGTTCCTTTTCCGGCTTTGGTTGTAGTGTTTTCAGTACATCCTGCAACTGATTGAGTGTCTCGCCAAGTTGTTCCTCTAGCTTGCTGCTACCGTCAGCTCCCTTTCCTTGCCAGTCTCGTTTCAATGCTGCCAATTCCACCTGGATCTCCACAAGTTTGTACCAAAGCAATGGATCTTTGACCACGGGCACAGTCGCGTCGTCTTCTTGCTGTTTCTGTTGTTGCTGGCGAAGGAGTTTCATGGAAACGTCAGTCATGGTACCTCCCGCACTGCTGCTGCTGCTAGTTGTCAACTTTTGCAAGATGCGTTGTTGTACCGTAAGATGCTGCTGCAGCGTTTCGGATAGACCAGTAATTTGTGCCATGGCATGTTGCATGACATCCGGAGCTTTTGTTACAGCAGCCGAAGCACCGAATGAAACTGATGCCGAGGACAGATATCGTGCTAGTTCTGGATCACCTTCACTGGCTTCCTCCTCCTCTTCTTCTGCTTCTTCTTCATCTTCCTCCTCCTCTTCGGTCACATCCTGGGAACGTTCCTGTTGCAGCGTCAAAAGTCGCGGCTCCATTGCCTTGTGTTCGCCACTGTCTCGATTGGGAGGTGGAAAGAGTAGGAAATCTCCCCCGTTCAACCATCGAACAGTGGCAGCGGCAAGCAACCCCAAGAATCCACCCACAGTAGCGATGAGAGCCACACTGTTGGCAGAAGGGCCACCCATCATGTCGTCTGCAGGATCATAATCATAGGAAGAATAGTGAGGATGATTCTGATAATCACTATTGAAAGGGGTGGCAACATTTGGATAGTTGGATGCTGTTGCTGGTTGCTGAGAGGCAGCAGGAAATCCCTGTGGAGGAGGCTGCTGATTCCGTTGCTGCGCTTGGAAGGAGGATACAAAATCCGATTGACTGGGAGTTGTCGTCTTCTTGTTTGACGCAGTGGGCTGCTGCAAAATGTGGTCCCACGCCTTGAAGATTGTGGAGCTGTCGATTCCCTTTTGCTTCAAGTAGTCCAGTTTCTGGGCCACCGACACATCCTGCAACGAAGGATGGTTCCAAAAGTGAAGAATCTGATGAATGGCAGCTTCATCACCGTCGGCATCCTTCTTCTTACCCGAGATGGAAGAACCAGTGGCAGAGGCGTTCGGATCTTCTTCTTCTTTGACTACAGCATCTTCCGAGGATACCGCGGGAGAAGGGCTGCTACTTGCAGGCTCAGGATCCCCGTCAATCATCATCGTGCTCGGCTTCAAAAACCAAAAGTCCTGCAATGAGTAAGCAAGCTCCCACAAGCGACGCTGTGTCTGTGATGGTTTGATCGAAGGTCGAGATTGATGTGTGAGACGATGCGATGATGCAGCCATTTGGGATTTGTCTTTTTCACATTCTAGTTTTCGTAAAATGAATAAATAAGTCGAAATTTTAAAACTCCAATTCGCAGTGGTACCGTATGCCGTCGCATGGTGCCCTACCGGTACAGTACGAGACCGAGTGGACAACGGGATGAGTACATGTACGGTGCCATGGATGCATAGCTATGGTAGCCAGACTCGTTCTGGCAAATTGAGAGGCCAGTTTCGTGGCTCTTGTTCAAGCCAAAGCGTCTCATTTCAAGCTAGCTAGAAGTCCAATTAACTCTTTCAATGATGCAACCCATCTTAATAGCCTTTATTTCTGCTGCAGCATAGTTTCCATAGCAGGAGTTGTATTTTTTAAAAGCATGATGCTTGGAGAGTGACTCAAGTCGAGTTGAACAAACTTCGACCAACTTTTCCTCATTTGATTTCGGTCCCTCCCTGGCCAGGCCATGAACAGGGGCTTTCGACTCTCGCAAGGTCGATGGTGTCTCTGACGAGCTTGCTAGTAGCGTTTTGCTGTGCTCCCTTACCTTGCAATCATTAGGCTGTCATGAACAATGTGGCACAAGGCATGATCCTTTCAAGAGAATGATTGCAATCATTCAATGAACAAAAAGGCAGCGTCAACATGGCACCGTACTGACAGTCACCCAGCTGCTTGCGTCTGACAATGGTGCTCTTCGTCCGACGCGATCACAACATAGCAACAGAATGCCCTCTTCCAGTTGCATTCGTGATCGAGTGACTGAAACGCGATTGAAAGAGTTGGTTCATTGTCCCGATAAACTACTGCAATCAATTCCAAAGAGAGTCCAGCACGATCGATCTTTCGTTTCGTTTCCACGCTCTAGAAATCGCAGGAATTGGTTCTGCTGGTGTTTCTCGGATCATCGTCCAGTTCCATTTGTTGCAAGGATTCTCATAGATAGATGGGTAGGTTGTCCGCCGCCGAGGCGTCAATCCGAATGTCATCCTTCCCTTGATTATTATTATGATTGACATTGACGTCATCGTCATTCTCCAACATCATCAAGTTGTTGGCATCGTCTTGCAGCAGCATGGTCTGTTTGGCTTGTGACAAAATGACTTTCATTTTTCGCCCATGATACGGACTGACCTGTCTTCGCGGAAGGGTTGCATTCATCAATGTCAATGCATGTTTGACCGAGACAACATTGCTATCCCCGTCCATAATGGCTGGATCGGAACAGGACCGCATGACATTGAACTGTCGTGGGGTATCGTTCGTTGTTGTTGTTGTTGCTGCAAAGTCATTGTCGTCGTCTTGTTCGTGAGTTCGTTTGGGAAACCTCGGAGCCCGTTCGGGTGACAAGGAAGCGGCTTTGTGGCTCTTCTTGTTGTTGTTGTTATGATGACGACGACGATGTTTTTGCCGTGAGGAGTGTTTTCGTTTATTGTCAGTATTGTCATTGCCTTTCTTGGGGGTAGTCGGGAATTCTTGCTTGACCGCCACCGAATTTTGCTGCTCTTCTTCTTCCGTAGTGTCGTATCTTCTTCGTGGCATTTTGGGCGAGGAGGAGTGTTTGCTGCTGTGGTTGATTTTATGGCTGGGATGATGATCCATGGTCGAGTGTAGATAGGTTCTGGACGCTGGAACATGAATCATTTCATCTCTTGGTGGAGGAGGTGGTAAATGATGAGGATCCAGTGGCTGATTGGCTTCAATGACATGATGGTCCCTGCCGTTGACCGTCATGAGTCCAGCCGGGGTAGCAGCAGATGGATACGCCAGACTCATGTTGTTATCCTCCTGTACCTGATCGATCTGTGCTAGTTCCTGTTTGAGTTTTTCGTCCAATTTCATGGTTTCATCGTCATCACTTAACCGTCGTTGTGGCAAGGGTGGCAACTCGGAAATGGAAGTATTGGAAGATCCATCCATGGCGGTTGACGCTGGGACGGCTGCTGCTGCTGCCGCACTAGTGGTAGCCGAGGAAAAGGGATAACTCTCCCATCTCGAAATCGCCTTGGTCAAACTCCGACTGCTGGTTCGTCGCCGTCGACTACCCGTACTGTGGGCTCGTCGGGTGCGCCGTCGTCGACTGCTGCTGCTGCTACTACTCATGGTCAGAGCGTTCCAGCTTGACGTCCTCGCCATGACACGCATGCTCCGCGACGACGACTCCATCAAGACGGACGGATTGTCTTGGACAATGGACGTGTCTAACGAAGACACGCTTGTCTCACGCAACAACTCCTCCAGGAAACGGTCCAGAGAATTGCGGTGACGTTCTCGAGGAGATCCAACGGCTGCTGTGGTTGTCATGTTGATACTACTGCAGCTATAGCTAGCTAGTAGTTTCGTTGGATGATGGTAGAGGAGTCAGTCCAGCTCTGGAAAAACTAGACGTATGATGCCATATCAAACCAGGGGTTTGCGATCGTAGGCAGTAACACTTTCTAACGCAAATTGTAGGCCCACCCGCCAATCAATCAAGATAATGCTGTTCTGGTCCAAGATCACCGCTCTCAAGCTCTCAATGGTATGTACTACCGTATGGCGCACTCACTGTGTGTGTTGTTTGCTCCCACGTTGATGATGAGAGCTTTGGCCACGAAATTACTTTACCCGAGGAGCAACGAAGGAAAGGAAGAAGCAACGAGGAAGAGTGGAAGATAAGAAGTCGCGGCCAGTCGATTGAATGCTAAATGCTAAATCTCGGGCTTTTTTGAATGGGACCAGTTCGCAGAGGATCCACTAAGTAGAGTTGCCGGATATTGATTTAACAAAATGGGTCTGAAACCTGTAAGAAATATTCATGGGGCACCATGCTTAAGGGCGATTTCTGTAAATTAGTTAGCACGTGCACGGACCATCTAGTGAGTGAACAGCCTAGAGTTCTCTTCACCGAATGCTATGTTACCGTGTGTTGGAAGTCTGTTTCAAACATTGTGATTTAGAATGTTCTGAAAATTGAAAACTTGAAATATCTTTGGATGGGCCTTGGTAGTCTTTTGTTCACTACCTGTAATAGATCTAAGCACCGCACTGTACATGTACTACTAGTAGTAGTCATTAATGAACCCATCCAGCTATGGTGGTTTACAAATCCATTTCTAACAAAGTAAATACATGTAGATTCTGAGTTCTGCAAAAAGAGTAGAATATCTTTCTCCAGTAGCTGATACAAGTTTTATTCCTGAAAAGATTGAGTTTTGGCTGAGCTGTGATTGTGTTAGCACAACCGAGCAGTTGCACCAGCATGGTGACCATCGAGCACCAAGCAGCAAGTCCTTTTATGCTCCAATCGCAACTACATGTACTCACTCCTCAGTCCGTAGTGGTATTCGCGGTGTAACCATTCATTTTCGCAGTGCTCAAACCAAAAGTTGAGAATTATTTGATTTTTGCTTGTTGTTCTGAGAATATCAAAACAGTGTACCTGGTACATGAAAAATAAAACCAAAGAACCGGTAGTGGTTGCTTCCAAAGCTTCCCCTTATGTATTCTGGAGTACTCAGTGTGCCAGTGTGATCAGAGTCGAGTCCAGGACCCGCCCAGCCTGCGGGAGCAGGGAGCAGGGAGGCACGGGAACAATCTTAATAAAATCGAAAGTCCAACACTTTTTGCAGATGCGCTCGGATGTGGAGCCTGAGATCCGAGATCTTTGTGAGCTTCTCCGGCTTTTCCGAGTGAGTGCTTCTGCTAGCTAACTCACTGGGGGAAGAGGCCTTCGCCTTTCCAAGGCTCAATGGAGAGCCACGCATTATTCTTTCCATCATCAGATCAGTTGTACTAGTACTGTAGAGATTTCTATGGTTTGGTGCTGGTACAGAGAAGAGAGAAGCAAGATATGCAAGAGAAGTAATCACAATGAGGCGTAGAAGGCTCCTTTGAAGGTCGATTGCGAATGCATGAATAGTAGCAATAGCTAGCTCAAGTACCGGTACTAGCTAGAGAGTAGGAGAGGAAGACGGAGCAGACCATCCATCAGCCCCCGCAAGATCCTCGGCCAGGGGAAATTTCCACTGCGCAGCAACAACTAAGGCTCATAGGGGCCATGCAGCCAAGCTCCAGGAACATCACCAAGACGACGAACACATGGAGTACCTGTACATGTACTTTTTTCAAGCACGAAGAATTGGGGTGGATTGGTTGCGAACTGGGTGCTCCACATTAGCTAGCTAGCCAGCCAGGTGCATTCGGATCAATCTGGATGACTGCCTGGTCGCCGCATCTCCGAGTGGTAATCCGTGGGTGCGTGGGTGCCCACTTTAAAAGCCAATCGGTGTCTGAGCCGTGGTGTTCAGTGTTCAAGGACATTGTCAATCGATCGATCGATCGACCCCAGTGGATTTCTTTTCCTGTACGGTATGCTTTCCCACATCCAAGGGAATTACTTTTTTCAAATCAGTAATTATTTCCAGGTCTCCTCTCATCAGGTCAATAATCCGAGGCGCATCAGCATTTCGATTTCAATCTCATCTGGCAAGTAAGTAAGATCCGAAAGAAGCATAAGGATGGATCCAAGCATGCATGGGTACCTACATGGAAATCAGACGCAGCCCGCTTAGCCACACCAATCACGTACCTGCAATGCGTTGCAATTGCTGCCATGCTTGTCTCATGCTCAGCCTTAGCGAGGGATCGTGTTCCCATGCCTTTCGAAGGAGCGATTGCAACGCCTTTGGAATATCACATTTGGTCAAATTGGGTCGTTGTCCAATCTGGCAGACAAACTCTCTGTGTTCTTCAATGCTGTATTCTTCAAATGGTTGTTGCAAGCTGATCATTTCATAGAACAAAAATGCCCAGCTATCGATTGATTGAATGATTGATTGCAACGAGGTAAGACACAACAAACGAAGGCGGAGACAGCTGGTTGGCTGGCACTGGACTCACCTATATACGTCAGCCTTCAGATTGTAGCCACGTTTGTTGACAATCTCCGGCGCCATGTAGGCAAATGTGCCCGCCCCCGACATTTGAAAGGCGGATTCGTCGTCTTCGTACTCGGTCGCCGACTCTGGCAATTCGCGGCAGAGCCCAAAGTCAAAGAGCTGCACCGTGTGAACGTCGTTGGTATGAAATCCACAATTTCCTGGTTTGAGGAACGACGATCAAACGAAGCAAAACTGCGTTAGTCCACGATTCGATTCGATTCGACATAGAGTCACTGCCATCACGTACCTGGTTTCAAGTCTCGAAAGAGTATTCTTCGATCATGTAGATATGCCAATGCGTCTGCGACTTGTAGGGCATAATCTGCCTTTAAAATGAGGACATCATCGGCTACTTCTCCCTCTTTCCATCGATTTATCCGGTCTAGCATCGTTTCTTGCAATCGATCTACAATGACAAAGAATCCCTCGGGTCCATTGGCAAATCCGGCACAAGATGCCTTGGAGAGTCCTCGTAACTTGAGGATATTGGGATGATCTAGAGCCCTTAGATACTTGGACTCGACGACAATATCGCAGCAGGCGGTACGGTACTCATGCGATGATTTTTTGGCGAGTTCATCCTTGACGAATTTGATAGCGTATCGTGAATTGCCTCGGCTATCTCGTGCCGATTCGGATAGTTTGGTCCTGCTTTTCTCTGCCTGATCTTGCGTGGTGACGGCCATGGGGAGAGCGGACATGTCCCATGCCGACATGTCCCAAGCGTCGGCGGAATTGTTGTTGCCTGTCCATTTGCTGCTGCTGTTTGTGGTGGTAGTAGCTTTCTGCAACTCAAAACCATTGATTTCTAGGACCTTGGAGAATCCACCTTCCCCCAACAGTTTTCCAATTTGAATTTCTGGGAGATCAAAGGTGGCGGGAGCCAGAGATCCTCCGGCTGAGACTCCCACGTGCTGGGCTGTTTCTTCCGAAGCCATCAGAAAGGGCGATCGATGCACGTAGTATTCCACCTCTGCCTCAATGGCTGCCACATTCATGTCCTTGCAGGACTCTTGAGTGGCAGACTTGTTTCCTCGCAGTAAAAACACCATCTTGTCCTTATCTTTTTTAAGAATAGAATAGTGATGCTACCCTACCACAAAAAGGTAGATAAATACTGTCAAATTCAGCGCTCTGTTTTCTAGCAAAGAATATCTACAGAGCCAGCGATGATGTGCTATCGAAAAGCCCACTGCTCAATGGGGTCAACAGCAACGTTCACTCATGGAGAGCTTGTTTGCTTTGCTTGGTTGTCCAGATCGAGTCCCGTTGTTTTTCTGTCGCTCCCTCCAGTCACAACGCAGCCAGTCAACGATCATACTGTTAGAGTTAGTGATATAGGTTGGGTTAAGGTCACCTCTGATTCATGACACCCCAAAGATCGTCGGAAGACCACCACAAACCACAAACCAACTCGTGGAGATCCATTGGAAGATAGACCATCTGAAAGCCATTCCACCGATACGAGTACATGTAGGAGAGCAGACAATGACGAGACCATCACGCACTTCTACATCTAGACAGACGCTGATTCTCCTGATAAGCTTGAGTATCCTCCTGCATTATCAGGTAGAAGGAGTGTCAAGATGCAACCAGCAACTGATAGCTTCTGCCAGCATTCACAGCGGAAGGTATGCTACCACTGTCTCTCATCAGCACAGGTGGCAAGGGTTGGCGTCTCCAGCATTCAGGAGAAGCCGTCGAAGGATACCTTCTTCATGGGATAATAATGACGTTCCTACAGCGCGCCTTGTTGCCAGGTCCAAGACCAAAAAGGAGCGAAAGGCCGACTCCACCAAAGATACTAGTAGTACGGACAACGCGCCTCCATCAGCCACGGATCCCGATGATCCATTTGCCAATCCCATGACGACACAAGAAATCTACAGTTCTCTGGGACCCATTGGAAAATGCGTCGCTGGATCCGTCGAAATTGCCGTTTCGACCTGCATGGAGTACATTACGGGATTTCTAGGTGGATACTTTCTCGGATACGTTACCGATGCCCCACGCTTCATGTTCCAAAATGTCGACCCCAACCGAAATCAACCCTTCTTCAACGAACTATCACAACGATTCCAGAGAATGAACTCCAAATCTTTTCGATGGGCCAAATCCTGGGGCGCCATTTCCGCTGCCTTTGGAGGCTTTCGTGTTGCCACGAGAGTCGTACGAGGTGGAAAGGAGGATGAATGGAATACTGTCTTCTCCACGGCTGCTGCCGGGGCCTTTTTTGCACGAAGTGGTACGTAACTGTGCTGTACTAATGTACTAGCTATGTATGTATGTATGTATGCATGCATGAGATTGGATCACAGAAGAAGGGCGAGTTGAAAGGAGGCAACTTGGACTCTACTGATTGAACTCAACATTATTTACTTGCTTTCCTTTCGCACCTCCCTGTCATTCTTTAGAGGGACCACAAGCGATGGCTCGAGCAGCCATAACCTATGGTTTCATCATGTACTTGATATCCGGTAAAGGCTTCTTCGGACCTAAAAAGGAGCCATTTGAATACCAAGACCAGCCCATTGACGACGAAGAGGCGTGGTAAATAAGTTGCACTGGATTGGGGAATGCTCATTATCAGACAGAGTTCCAAGGCTGAAACTGAGTGTGCCCAGCCACCAGATCACTGGAAAGGGGAAAAGCCATGCCAATCTACTCGTGGTCAAAGTCTCTGTCTGTCTACGTCTGCTACCGTGCGATACCACGACAACAACCAGCCTTTGCATCAGCTCAACTCTCTCTCCTGCTAGATTCGATTCCGGTCCTCAGTGGGTTGCCGATAATGTAGTTGTTTTGGCATGGTTTTCAACCATACAGTCAATAAACTGAGCTTGGGATACTAGAAAAAGTCAAGGAGCTGACAAAATGTATAATCCACCTTTAAAAGCTATTTGTTTTCCTGCTACTAGACTAGCTCAACAACAAACAAGTCAATAGACTTCAGAAAGCTTCACTTCGGTGACAATCGTATCTGCACTGGACAGTGGAAGTTCAGAGTGAGCATTGTGGAAGGAGCCTTCCACCTTCATGTGGCTGATGAAAATGACCATCATGAACCAAAGGATCCCATTGACAGCAGTCAACAAGCGGTGTGTTTCACTGTCGCATCCGTACAAGACATCGTATTCTGTGGCATCACTTGCATAATCGGAAACAACAGTGCAAGCAAAGACGACTGCTCCACAGATGTTCATGCAGGCACAGACAAAACCCGCGGCCAGTCCCAAAGCCCAAACCCAACGTTTTAGGGCGTGCCTTGCCTTGAGACCACAAAGCGCAATGCCAGTAGGGATGAGTCCAAGGACTGTGATACCGGGAAAGCCCACGAATAACGACACAAGGAGACTCGAAACAGCAAAGAAGATCCCGGGATAGTGTGGCTCTCTGTGATTCAAGAAAAGCGTGTTGCAATAAGTCAGAACACAGTCACACCCAGACGCAACAGAAGCAGCACACAATAAAAGACCTTACAGATACATTGCTGTCCTTCTTTTGACCGGCCAGCCCAGACACTCTCTGATGGAAAGAAAATGAGACGAAACTTGGCATCTGTGGAGGCATTTTAATTAAGTCGTGCTTGATTTCAGGGCTGAGTCTTCCTCGACGATTGGATTGAATCATCATTCTAATTCTGTGCCTAGCTAGTGCAGTACCGTATGTGTATCAGCCCCAACGAGGATCCATTCTCAAAAGAAAACTGCAATATTATAGGTCACAAAACTATACTAGCACCAAGTGCAGCTTCAGCACGGGTGTTGACACGGCAAGAGATTTCATTTCCACATTGCGACTCTTAGAAGCCAGACCTCTGACACAGCGAGTTCGGGAGGGACACCAGTTTGAGTTGAGGTGGGGGTGCATTCATGTAGAACCGACTAATACTCCAAAACTGCAGTGGAAACAGCCGGACGACTTGTTCTCTGTAGCTGGGCAACTTGTTCACAAAAGAATTGGTCCCAGTAATCAACGTCAGCTGTGGTGGCCTCCGACGTTTTGCCAATGTTCACCAGCTTCTCCAGCACGAGCTCCATGGCGATCGGATGACGAGCACCCCCTTTGGTGGGGAGGACGAGCCCCCGCAACACTACTCCCTGGATCAGGTGCCGTACCTCGGCATTGCGAGCAGACACGTACTCGATGGTAGACAGGAACTGCTCGTCGTTCTCGAGCAACAACTGAGGAAAGTCCACCGCACCGAGCAGTGAGATGCAAAGTGCATGCTGCAAAGCCGGTTCCCATTCTGATGACATCCCCATGTCGTCAACGTTCGTTGTTTGCTGTTGCATGTTGGCCAAGGCATGTTGGCCCAGGCGAAGCAAGGCATCGGTGCTAGCCATATCTGCCTCTTCGGTCAATTGGGATTTGATTGCCTCTAGGGAGTCCTTGGCACCGAGGAACGCCTTTATGAACTCCTTCCAAAGAGACCGAAGAGAATCCACATTGACAGGATCAGAACCTTCTCGGCTGACTTGAAGAGCCGTGTCGACAAATCCAACAAAGTTTGCCAGTTTCGCCAGAGTGTGAGAGGCGTTGCGGTTGAAAGGTTCCAGGATCTCGTTCTCAGATTCCGTGATTTGAGTCTCGTTCGAGGCGAGAGACGAAGATTGAGACAAGGGGTCCGAAAGCGTCGAAGGCGTATCACAAGAGCCACCTCCAATGCTGACACTGCTGCTGGCACTCTCGCCAACTTTCGTCGAGCTGTTTCCATCGTTGTGGCGTGGAATTGTCGGGGGCCTTTGGAGGATGGTCGTTGCTGCAATCACAAAGGCAGAAGCAGACTTGAGGAGCTCGTCGGAGTACATATCAACGAGATCGGAGACCTCCTCTGCGTATGCGGCATCGTCGTAGTCATCGTAGCATTCATCGTCCTCGTCGTCAGACTCCAAGTTGCAGCGGAGGACTGACCGCAAGAATCCAAACACGGTGCAACAGTCCTTGGCTTTCATGGAATCCCGAACATGTTTGAGCAGAAAATCCGCAATCATCCATGCATTCAAGTGCAAGCTCTCTGGCTCTAGACAATAGAGATCTGGACGTTTGGCGAAGGGAGAAAAACTGCCATCTTGATCCCGTAGACAATCGCGAGCAAGGGCCAGAAAGAGTCCCAAGAACTCGACCAGTTCGAACTCGCCACCCAGAACCACTTCAAAACAGCTCTGTTTCTTGGAAGCCATCGACTCAGTGTCGTTCTCCTGATCGTGCTGCTCATCGTCGGCATTGGTGCCGTTGTGATCGTGCTGATGGGATTCTTGAGTGTCACTGTGTTTTGCTTGAAGCCCGACGACGCTGCTGCCCTGACTCTGACTGTCATTCTGCTGTTGGTTGCTGTTACTACTGTTGCTGCTACTGCTGCCAATATAATGCAAATCCAAGCTGCTCGACCTGTCGTCGTCGTCCTCTTCTTCTTCTTCGGCCTCGTCGTCGCTCCATGCGGGATTCGCTTGTTCCTCGTCGTCCCCACCTCCATTCCATTCTTGATCTTCTTGTTGCCTTTGCTGGTCTTCCGCGTGACAGAGAGCCGCGTTAAAGAGAGCAAGAAGCATCCCAGTATGCTCAATGTCGTCTTTGTGGTTGTTGAAGAAGGTCACTCCCTTTTGACGACCACGATTGAGCAGTCTGAGGAGCGCATTGATGACTTGGCATGCCTCTTCACTGCCAAGGACGCCCTCTTCTAGCTGTTGTTGATCAAGGAATTGCTTGGCTTTTTCGCAGACTTTGAGGCTAGTACTGCGCATGTATTCGTCGCATTGGCTTTCTACCGACACGAGTCGACGCAAATCCAACTCTGTCATGATCCACAAAAGGTCGTGACGGTCTGGCAATTGCAGTTCCGACTCGGATGTCTCATCGTTTTCGTTTTCGTTTTCGTTGTACTGTTGCTGTTGTTCCATGGCGAGGGCAATTTTATCCATCTCGAGATCTAGCTTTCGCAAGCACCGGCGAACCACATTGGCTCGAATCACGGACTTGTTGTTGCTGTTGCTGGTTGTGTTGCCGCCGACGGAGCTCTCCGCTTGATGGTTTAGGGTCGACGGATGCACATTGCCCAGAACCTGTTGAAGCTCTACGATGGCTTCATGAACACGCCAACAATTCTGCTCTGCCATGGTCTGTTTGTCGATTTCGAACGAAGTGTGTGAAAATAAATTTAAAAATGTGCTCCATCTCTTTTCGAGATGAAGTCGCAATAATATTTTAGCTTTTTAAGTAAGGGGTCTACCGGTACGGTACAGTAGCTAGCTAGGTAGGTACGGAAAGGAAGCTGCTACCAACACAGGGATCCATGGAGACATAAATGAGCGGCTGTAACAAGGGCAATTGAAAGTCCTGTCCCGATGTAGAACATCGTTTGGTACTAGTAGTTGGAAACTTGAGTTTTGTTGGCCTTGACAGTAGCAAGGCATGGCAAAAGAGTTTTGGCTTGGGCAGCAAGCATCCACAGAAACAACAAAGGGATGGAAAGAGGCACAACAAAACTAGCAAATTTCTTGCATTCCTGAGCACACAAAGTTTGGAGGGGATCTTTGGTGTCGTACTGTAGGAGGTGGAGTCCAAACTGCAAGCTTGAGCATTTGGCTGGGCCATCGCATTGGTCCCCAGCCCCCCCCCCCCCGATCTAACTGAACCCAGTCTCAAAAGTTGCCTTCTCTTCTCCTAAGCTTGCCCCCTGGCAGATCTTGTGTGGGGGTACTAGTAGCTAGTAGCCAATACTATTAAAATAGTACTCTGGCTCTAGCTAGACTCTAGCTAGTAGTCTAGTTAGGCAACTTTGCCATCGTTCCTCTCTGCAAGAAGACAGCAGAGCTGTTAATGTTTCTTTCCAAAAGGGAATGGCAAGATGGAAACTTTGGACGTCAGGACATTAAATCTTTTTCTGTCGGAGGGAATAACGAGCGTCGTCAGCTGTGGTACCGGAAAGCAGCCTACTTAGTATCGGCAAAAGCACGATGAAGCTCATACGCTCATACCAGTGGCACTGTTGCCCCCGCATACTTGTTGTGGATGCTTTCTGCTTTCTGCCAATAACCCTGTTTGCATGCCTTCATCGCTTGAGAGCATCATCGGCTCTAACGCTCTAACAGCAATAAGTGTGGCTTCTACTAGCTAGAGAGGGCAGTTCAATACACTTTGAAGAGCCGCATTGAAACAAGAGCCGAGATTGCACTGGAAGGTGTTCATCTTCCAAAATTCATACGATCGAATCGATATCGAATCTCTGTTACTACTAGCTAGCTAGCTATTAGTGGCGTTGCAAACCGACTTATTGTTAATGAATCAAGATGGCGACATCCCAAGAACAGACACTGCCAATAGTCTCAAGCCAGCAATGTTTCGACGACCAGGAAGCAAAAGAAGAAGGCGCGGAGGGTAGCCACCAACGCATTAGTGCAAGCAATCACAGCATCAGCGCGAGCGTTTACAGTGACAGCAGCTACCACGATAATATGGATGAAGCGATGGCGACTCAGCGGTCGTTGCAACGGTTCATGAATACCTTGCTATACGATGCACATGTGTCTGCGCTGGAAGTGATTTTAATACAAGACAATGCGTCGATTCTCACAAAGGAGGCTTCACTGAGTGCCCGTGCCGCCCACGAACGATTGGCTATGGATAGAAGAGATCACATGATAATCACCAAGGAAATATCCCGTTGGGAATCATATCCCTTTGAAGTCGACAAACCAATCGTAGTGGCGAAACCAAAGCGAGCCAAGAACGGATGCGTCCCGCAACGAAGGGCCAAGCGACGATCAGGATTGGAGTCGGCGGGAGAAATCAAAGCAGATATTCTAAAAAAGGCCGAAAGTTTGCCGAGACGACCAAGACGACGGTCCAGCGTGGCAACGGATGAAGCACAAAAATCGTCCGTCCGACAGGAACTCATGTCACTCTTTGACGACGACGATGACACCACCATGTCAGGCAACAGCAGTAGCACCGCCACCGGGACTTCGGGTTCTACCGTGAGCAGCAAAACTGGTAGCAAATTAAAACGGAATATCAGTACACCCAAGAAGCCAACTCGAAGACTCAGCGAATTGCCAGAAGATTTGACGTCAATCAACAACAACAACAACAACTCCAGCGGACCCATTAGTAGTAGTACCAACACTCGAAATTCACGACCAGCGACCATCCTTTCCGATCTCATGGGAGACTCGATGCATTCCTATGAGAGCACCGAAACGACACTGTCGGAAATTGCTTCGCGGCAGTCGGACTTGTCTTCCATCAGTGAACAAACCAACGAATTGCTAGCTACTCTGGCCGAAGATCGACCCATGCTGGACTGCTCTGTGATTTTGGAAGAAGCCGATAGTCATCATCAACAACAACAATCTATCCTGACTACTCACCTTCAAAATAACGGATCCCAAGCAGGAAAGAAACAACAACAATCTATACCTAAAAAACCCGTGCGGCGGGTCAGCGAGGTCCCGCATGATTTGTTAGGCCCCATGCCCAGAAGCTCGGACGGTACAAGTGACGTTAGTACTTCCAGTGAACTGACAGCGACGCAACCGCTACAACCCAAAATACCAGAGGAAGAAGAAGAACTCCCGAGCTTGACTGTGATGGAGTCGCCGTCTGTAGACTTGGACCACGACCCCTTGTCATATGATGATGAAGGCGACGAAGGTGCGAAGCAACAAAGAAATCATCCTTCCATGAATAGTAATGGGAACAATCAAATTGTCAACCCGAGATGGAGCGCGGAACATCGAAAAGTTGAACGTACAGAGTCTCTACCAAACAAAAAAGTCTCCAGAACCGAGTCCTTACCGAAAATGCCGACACGTCGGGTCAGCGAGGTGCCTCACAATCTGGTGAATTCGTTTGCAAAGGGCTACCATTCCCCGAAACGGGGTTTGTCACCAGTCAGGCATGGCAGCGACGCTCAACGTTCGCTTAGTACGGAATCGACAGCATCAGAAACATCCGTTGCTTCCGATATTGATGAAGCCACTGCTGGAAGACATCCGACAGAATTGTTTGCAGTCATTCTAGAGGAGGAATAAGAAGGGGCGGTCGTTGGTACCGGTACCGTAGGCACCGAGCGTGGATCTCTACCAATATGACGGCTTGATCGCTGCAGTCAACCCCACAATTATCACGAGCAACGAATGTGAAGCCACGAGAGCTCGGTTTAGTGCTAGTAGTGCTTGCACGTGATCCGAGGCGAGCACACGCATGGTTTGAAGACCTTGCTGGAGTGCCTGGGTTATTCTTCGCTTCACGTGGCCATGTAGAACAGTTCCTGGTGTAGCTAGCATCAGAATTGCAGCTTTCCTGCTGTACGCTACAGCTCGCATACATGCGCCTGTAGCTTCTTTCACTCGATACCGCGGCTACTGCGACAAGTCGCGATCACTATCTTACATGGTCCAAGCTCTGAGTAGCTCTCTTACAAATCTTAGTGAAGGCGAGGCAAATGCAACCTTCACGATTCCAGAACGACTATAGCTAGCTAGGATAGCCGCAACACAGATACAGGCAGACACTTGTTGAGAATAAGGGGGGTTTAGAGTAGGTACGTGTAGAGTATCTACGGAAGCCAGCCAGGGCCAGGCTTAAGCAAAGAAGAGTCGAAATTCAGGACTAGGTCCGTGGGATCAGGTGCGAAAAATTGAGGACCATTTTGGGGCCAAAGGATTTGGCTTTGCAGGATCCACGGAGATGCAAATGGGTAGCTTTCACTAGGGCAACAGAGATGCGGGTCTGCATGAAGAACATCATTTGAGAGTATGACAAATGAGTATTGTTGGCAGTTGTCAAGTACGGTAAGTGATAGCATTCTTACTTTGGAGCTGTCATTGCAAGCGAGCGGTCAGCTGTGCGTCCTACATGTACTATAATAGCTCTAGCTAGGTAGTGGCAATAGACGGGCGAAGGCAGGCCTGCGTTGTGTCCTCTTTGCTTCACACAGGACTTCACCCTGGCTGCTCATTTTCACAGCAAAAGGAGTGACGAGTGAGTGGCTCTATTTCAATTGCTCACGGTGGTGTGCAGTGGCATTGCAGCTGCCAACAGAAGAAAACTGGAATTCCTGTCCGACTGGCAGAGAGGGAGTGTTAACTGTTGGTGTTAGTTGTTTAGACGACCGAGGCCTCGAGAGTGAAGAAGTGACAAGCTCAGGTTTTCCGCCACCGACCGCTACGAAGAAGACCGAGATCGTGACAAAAGCTCCGTATCGTGCTTGATAATAAGCCATGCCAGTTTACCTCTGTCAGTCAGGTTCTGGCTACAGTGAGCCCTGGCGCCATGGAATTCAAGTGTACGCAGCTCCATTTCCCATTAACCTGAGCGCATCAACAACTAGTGGAGGAGGACGCGACTCTTTCGCGCACTCGGCTGCAGGCACCAACGGTCCCCAATGGAGTGCACAACAACAACAACAACAGAACCAGAATGCCTCCGAGTCTTCAAATCCCAGAGTTTCCTTGACACAAAGCCTGACAGAACAACGCCTTGCTGGAATGCCGATTCGTCGTGTCCGTCACGCCGAGATTGTGCTGGTAGACGATGTCTGCGTTGCATTCGGCCGCTACTGGCTTCGCTTGCGCTGGCCAGGGCAACGGGAAGGCTTTGCAGGATACATTGCCATGGGACTGGTGGAGAGTACATCAGCTCCCAAGCCAAAAGGTGAGTAGTAACGATGTGGAGAAGCTGTATGTGATGAGGGTCTCTGCCGCAAGTTTCCTTAAAATTATCGCGTTGTTTCTTTTTGTGGCACGCAGAAATTACATTCTCATCCCAAACCGGAAATGAACCCAGTGGACCAGGTACCACAACTGAGAATAATCTGGACGACGAAACCGACAACAATTACCTGGTTCTTCAATCATGCGAGTCGAAAGAAGAGCGTTTTGGCACTGCTGAGGAAGCGGACCTGGATGACCCAACGCGTGATGATGAACCACAGGATGCTGGCAGCACGCCCTCGGCAGAACCGTTTGAAGGATCCTCGAAGTTAAATTGTCTACGAACAGGCCTCGTTTTCCCCTCTTCCAAAGCAATGAAACTTATGGCGGCGTATGACGACGGAATAAATCCAACCGTGTCGTCGGCTCCATTACCAACCGAACCGGTGTTTTGTAGGATTTGTCGGGAAGGATTACACGACGAGGATGAACAACAGCCTTCCGGTGCTGCAGATGATGACGGAAACGAAAATGCGGGCACAACGCAACGAATGGATAGCTTAAATACCGACGATGAGGGCGTACTGGATGGACCGGGCGATCCTGCGGCCGACGAACCTGTAGCGGTTGAGCCCCCGCTCATGCAATTCCCCAAAGGACCCGTTATGCCACACCCAACATATCACCCAAATGCGGCCGCTGCGGATAATCCATTGCTCGCTCCTTGTGAGTGTTCCGGCTCGATGGCATTTGTGCACTACTTATGCGTGGAGCAGTGGAGGTGCCGATCTCGTCATCCCGAAGCGCACCAAGGATTAAACTGCGAAACTTGCGGAGGAGCATACTCACTACCGCCACCATCTGCTCGCCACGCCAATGTGCCGCCAGTGGAAGAAGACTGGCTGGACGCAATGCCTCCACATGTCATGCAAGCCCTACGACAACCTCACCTTGGCTGGCAAATCGGCGCTTCCATTGTTCGACGTCGATGGCTGCGACCAGTAGCTCCCGTAATCATGTCACCGCTCGTGGCACTCTACTGCAGAGCACGTAGAATGCTGAAAAAGCGTGGGGTTGCCCGTCGCAGGTGGGCGTGCAGCTTGTGCCGCAGAAGGGCTCGCTGGAAGTGTGTGCGTTGCTTGCGAAGCTACTACTGCTCACGACAATGCCAAAACGTTTCATGGCACATTGTCCACAAGCACGTGTGCTACAAACCGGCTCGATTCTGGTGGTCAGTTGTTGTCTACGGCATTGCCACTGTGGCTGCTTTCCCTGGTATCCTCAGGGACCCTCTTATGTACGATTTGGGACTTTGCACGATTCCCGTTTCCTTCATGGTTATGGCTGTCCTCGGCGGTGGACTGGCAACACTGCTGAAAAAGACTGTAGGTGTGGATCTTCGTGGACGCATGTTCGAACTGGCCATTGTTCTTTTCACTCTGTGGTTGGTAATCATTTCTTGGGGCATTGTTCGAGGATTCTTCGGGCAACCCAAAGAGTGCTACGGTGCGATGGGAACCAAGGACATTTCCATGAACGATTTGCCGCGCTACACACTTCTCAACTTTGCCAGGAAAGCCATTCTCAAACCTGGACAAGTGTACTATTTGCTCTGGGATGGATTGGCGTACGGCTTGGGTAGTTGGAGTAGTTGGATCCGAAAACCTCTGTGCACCGAGCAGTTTCACTATAATGAGACCACAATCGAGGGCATTTGCTTCGAGCACTTGCCGCACGTGAACGCCGACTTCTTTTTGGCGGAGGCCGGAGGACAACGATGTGCTTCTGATCTCCTTTTGGTGCTTTGGTTGTACGTGGCAGCCGGCTTTGCTCTTGTTGGAAGCACGTTGTGGAAACGGAGAGAACGCCAACGCCGTCTTGCAGCCCGCAGACCGCATGCTCATCAAGACTAGGGTGCTAGAAAATCTACCCATACACGACAGCGTGACTGTAGCAAATATTGAGGCTGCTTATGAGATCACAACGATGCGGTCGATCTCCGTACCTATTGGTTGGGCTCGCTTCCTTACCCTTACAATACTAATAAAGCTAGAAGAAGATGATATGCCAACAATTCCATCCCTCCGTTGTCCCTTCTACCACGGATCTCACGAAAATTAAAGCTGTACAACGACGACAGAAATCAACAAACCATCCCCAAGAGCAGCTTCTTGCCGAGGAATGAATCAAGGACAAATTGCAACGCAAATTACGAGGAGAGGAATGTCTCGAATTTCCGCAGCTCCATGGCGGCGGACCATCACGATCGCAATCTCTGACGGTAACTGTTTCATTTGCTCTAGCTAGCAATGAAAGGTTTGACGATATTAGCACAAATCGTCAGCAATGAGCAACACGTAGTACGAAGGATTGCCAAGAAACAAAATGTTTGCCCGCTGGTCTTGCGCAAAGGAGCCTAGGTCTCCAACTAACTAAACGTGCCCAAACCAACTGACGGCATCCATTGCATGCAATAACCCAGCTGCACAATACAAGCCGAGTAGCAAAGGAAGCTGACTACTTCAGACCAACACCAGCAACCGTATAAACTGAGTAGCAACTGAAGAAGATTGGCAACTGTGTTCTGTTTTTGTTCGTTTTCCAGCTCGCATGACCCCCAGCGAGAGGAGAGCAACCTGCACAATGGCAACACTATCTGAATTGCACAAACACCTCCTGGGCACACTACGCGGTCACATCAATCTGAAGTCCCGTCACTTCCTCGTACGAGCTCTCCGTTGAGTATAACTTGTTTTCAAACGGCCTACCTTCCATCCGAGCCACCTCTCGGTGCCATATCCGACGCCATCGCGGCTCCCCCTTGACTGGATGCTCCCAAAACCTCTGTTTCCGCCCGACTGTGATTAGATGTACAGGCTCCAGCGAGTGAAACACCATGGCGGCAATGTCATGATCTTCATGCCCTTCCAGGTAACTCGTATAGTTTCGTTTGATCTTGGGAGGATTCTCGGCTAGTCTTATCTTCTTCTCATCTAGAACTTTGGATTCCTTCATGACGACCCTTGCCAAATTGATGGAAAGAATGTAACATTGACCTGCCAGATACAAGTGGACACCCTCAAAGTCGGCTCCGAAGAACCCTTCTAGCTCTTCTCGATCTTTTGGAGTGATGCCCTTCTTTAGGGGCCAATAGGCCTTATCTCGAAGAGCTCCAACATAAGCATTGTTGCTATGAGGTGGGGGTGGTAGATGCCGGTATGCAAAGTGAAAAAACTCATGGAGATGGAGGATTGAATCGGCATCGAGTTTCATTACATACGATATTTCGGGATAGTCTTGGGCAATTAGATAGCCATACTTGAACCATGTTTGGCTTTTCCCCTCGTTCATATTCTCGCTAGTCAGGTTTAGAGTGGGACGTGATGATGCTTTGATGGTGAGCGGTGGTTAATCTTCCCAATGTTCAGAACCATTAGAAATGCATCCACCTCTCTCACTTACCAAATGTTCAATCGAGTGACATCCTTCTTATCCAGATCAGATGAGGTAAATTTGGAGTCTAAAGAGGGAGGTAAAAGGATGGGATTTTCCATACGCTTGCCGTTATCGTCATCGTCTTGCTCTATCCACTCTGGTGGACCACGCGGATTCGCTCCAACCACAAACGTGAAAATGACTTCGCAAGAATCTCTTTTTGCTACACTTCTTTTCTGGAAATCCGCTAGACTACAAACTCGAGGATCGTTCCACAACGTGAATAGCCTGCGATGACGCGCTCTGTATTCTCGATCATTTTTCATATCTGCCGTGAAGATGCCCACTAGGACCCCCAGTTTCCGATCCGACTGTACAGGTGCAATGTATGGGGTTGATTGATCGTAGATGCTCATCGCTTTCATTAACGGTTTTTCCAATAGGTTTCTCTCCTGCAATGGTGCCGTCTTCTGCATCAGAGAGACACATGACAAGGCCACAATCAATGTCGTAGCAGCCCGTACCACAACACTTGGTCGGATTCGCAGAGCCCCACTGGACTTTCGGGAGAGGGACTGAATGGAGGGCATCACAATGCTAGGGTGGATTGTGTGAAAGATGGAGCTGCTCACTGAAAGAAGACGAGCCACTGGGTACCTTGTCAACACCAATCCTTTAGAATCCCACGCCCTCTTGCGGCGTATAGATTCTCAAATCATCAGCCGTCTCCTCAGAAGGACAAGAATCGCCACTTCGAGGAGCACGGGGGAGAAGGGAGATGCCTTTCGGGATGCAAAGTTGTTACCCTTTTTGTTTGCCGAAGGTGCGTTATGTGATGCTTGGAACTGTGCAATAAAGGTGGTTGGAAAGAACCTTTGGTGTATGTGGACAAGTATGGCAGAGTTGGAATCCATGAGCTAAAGGATCTTCCACAACAATTCGAAGAGGCAACGTCAAGCTGGGTTCTGACGTTACCGGCGCAGCGTCTTCCTTTTTGGGCAACTCCTTGGCACTTCTCTTGAGGCTTGGGGCTCTTTTTGCCTTCTCCAGTGTTACCGACTGGACTGCAGCGCCCGCAGAACTCTCTTGGAGATTTTCACGGTCAAAACAGTTACTGCGAAGAAACCCCAGGAGGTGCTCCTTCGGTTTAGCGCGGGAGTTGAAACGGTCGGAGCACCGTCCACGTCATCAATATCTGGGTCGTTGGGCAAATAAAAGTCACGAGCCGCAGGCGATTGAGATATTCAAAGAATCGAATCATATGAATTAATTTAAAAAGTAAGCACCCTGAAGGGCAAGGCAACCCAATCAGTATGGTCAAGACCTTTGGGACATGGCACCGCAGCCTATGCAACAGGGAGCGACTTGGAATACTGAAACGATCCAGAGAATCCCCAGATAAACTGATCAACTCAGGCAACGAAATCTAGGGAGCTTGCCAACACAAGCCAGCATTTCATATAAGTACGACTGTACCATAATAGCCCAAGCATTGATGATTCTAATGGGGGATGAAAAAGTCAAACAATACAGTGAAAGCTCGTGCTTCAGCGATTTGGCAGTTTGTGAGTAAACTTACTTAGTTCATTCACTTTTAGCTAAAACCATATGATATTTCATCAATTTTTCTGTCCAAGAATATATTTACCTGGTTTTAAGAAAACACCTGTGTCTCATTTACCCAACGATCCAAGTAAGAGCCTCTTTGGCGACCTCAACGACAGCCGTACCACCAGTTCGGCACCGGCGGCCAATAGCATCGCGGAGTTGGACCCTGCCCCAAAATGTCGGCATAATGCACTGTGTTCAATTCGCCAAGTTTTTGTAACGATCGTTGCAGCGCAGCTAGCTAGAAGAGCTGTTTTCGCAGCTAGCTAGCGCCAAGGTACGGTATGGCACATGCTGCCAGCATGGTTACTGAAAGGCTTGGCCCCCATGGTTTCTCGGACTGGCTGAAGGAAGCATCCTTGAGCCTTTCCATGAATTTGGTAAGAGGGGGATTCATCCAGTTTTTTTTGTAGCCAATGCCGCGCTCGTACCGGTAGTAGTTCTACCCTTCTAGCTAGCTACCGGTACCGCCGGTGGTACCAGGTACCGGTATGCGCAGTGGATGCATGTAGCTTTACAGAGCCTTCACTGTTTCAATAGCCGAACCCTCGGGTGGGGCGGGAAAGTGGGAAAGCAAAACCAAAGGGAAGCGTGAAGCAGTCTTAGACTCTAGAATACCTCATCTTTTCGACTACGTTACCCAACCTACAAAACTCTTATCTAAACACCAACGCATTTAGACGCTCATGTCTAAGTAGCGGTTTGATGTCTCTTTTTGGTGATTATTGCGTCTGGCCCGCCCCGCGGCATTATCAGAATTTTTGTACCAAATCAAATTTTCCCACCACCGCTCATGGCCATTATTATTCGATGGATGGCAAGAATTGATCGATGAGGGGATCAGCAGCTCGGCTATCACCATTAGTGCAACCGTAAACGATGAGTGTGCTATCCATCTCTAGCAACAGGGATGATCAATGGCGCAGCAGTGGTATGTCGATAGGATCTTGCAGATCGCATACAAGTGGAGCCAGGAGCATGTCATCGACCAGGCGGTTTGAAATCGACGGTGCTTCTTGCGAAGAAAGCACGTTGTTATACCTGCCGAACACTTTGGTTCAGAGGCATCAACGCAAGCTGTCTCTTGACTCGGATAGATCCCTACAAGAGCTAGACGATGCTGTGGCGTCGGTGACGAAGATGTACAGTTCAGAGTCTACTCTGGACAACGGTGAAAGATCTCCTACCTCTGTTTCCTACGATTGTCCTCCGCGTGATCCCCTTGAAGAGAAGGTGATTCGCCATCTTACTCGCTCTATCCCCCTTGAACTGCGACGAGTGGAATCTTGTTCTGGGAAGTCCGTGTTTTCTAAAAACTCGAAAGGATCGCGGGGTTCCAAGGGTTCCAAAGCTTCTTCGTCTCGCAGGAAACGCAGTGGAAAGCTAGAAAAGAAGATCAGTCAAATCATCCTAATGAGCTCTGCATCGGAGGTGTCTGATTCCAGCTATTCTACAAAGGAGTGTACTAATTCGGCCTGTCGTTCTGCTCAGTTCATCTTGACGGATTTGTTCTACGAGGCTTCCAAAACCATGAATGATGCTGCATTGCCGCAACCACCCTTTGCAAATGGAACATCTTGGTCCCAAATTGCCGAACCAGAGGAGTCCTCAGAAGACACTCCCACCAAGCTCCCAGATCCACAAGGCGTGACACTTTCGGATGTTCTCCCTCCTCGGCACCCGGATAGTCTCACTACAGAACACAAAGACACAGTTTCGTCGAGTCAGCCTTCTGATGTCGACCAGCAGACGAATGGCAGCAGTAAGAGCAAGAGGGACCAGCAACCGGAAGATCCATTTGCAGATTTGGATATTCTCCCTGCTTATTCGGCCCACATTGATGTTATCAAGGAAATGGAGAATGAGAGTCAACTGTCGTCTCACTTCGGAAACGGATCAAATGAGGAACATGGGACCAGCTTCACATTGAAGCGTGATAACACCCTGAATGCCTCCTCCGAGGGTACAGGGACGCTAGGTTTCTCGCTGGATGCGGACGATAGCTTGCTTCAGTACAGCTCTACGAACTTGACATCCGCATTTTCTACTGCTGACTTTGGTGAGCCACAGTTCAACACTGGACAGGTCGCAGAGGATACCCCAGCTGTCACCCAACCCCAAAGCAACTCAAAGATGGCTGAAATGTGGACCAGCTTTGATGCGTCTCCCTTTCAAGATCAAGCCTTCACGGATGACTTTGGTTTCGACTCTTTCCCTCCATTCGACAATGACGGCGTGCAACGTTCGCCTCGCAAGATTGTCAAGCCCACGGGTGGGTTTTCGACACACAATGAGACTGATCCCGCTTGGGATCCTTCCAGAATGAATGTCGCGGCATCGTCTCCATATTCTCCAGCCTCCGTCTTCAACTTCTTTTCTACCGACGACGATAATGATTTGGGTGTTCCCGATTCGAAGAGCGACACTCTATGGGATTCCATTGCTGACAGCTACTTTCAGTGATCGAGGAGTGGGGCAGTCCCTTGACTTATTAAACCTGGCGACAAAGCCAAGTATGGTATAGCATCATTAAAGATAACGAGAAAACTAGTTATTCCTTTGATTTGGTACGCATCCGTCTCTAGCCACAGCCGGGGTTGTGTAAACATAGTTTTTATGTCAGGCCAGGTGCCCATTCAAGAGCTGCACCGTACGGTACTGGTACCAGGAGTTGAGATTGGTCCACATCGTTCACCCTCGGTCGTTTTCTCTTGCTAATGTATTGTTTCAGCTGGGGAAGGCAGGGACATGTCCAGCACTCTAGGTTCCCACACCGAATCAATCAGGAAAAAGAGTATTGGAGATTGGAGCTCACGGGACTGAGTCCCATTATCTTCCGTAACACTGCCAATGCCGCGCGTGCGAAAAGGGTATCATTGGATGCAGCAAAACTGCCGTAGTTTGACAACATCTTTGTATCTTGTCCCTCTCATTCTCCATTAAAGAAAAACATAAACTGACCGACTACTAGTACCTTGACAAATGAACATGAATGGGCATCAATATCCGCACAGCCCTAAACCGGCGTATCAGTTTGAGAGAAGCCCAGGAGGAGGAGGCGAGAATTTGCTACAGGGATCCCCAAGCCACGCTGAATCTCTCGACTACAGCTCCAATATTGATTCCGAATCTTACACCGCATTGGGTGGTGCTGCTTCTCTAACAGGCTTAGTACCGAACTACCCATCCTACCAAGATGCGACAGAGACAGTTCGCGAGATGTACCTGGCACTGCTGTACTTGCTGAGCAATCCAGAAGAGTTTCACCGAGCTCTTCAGGTACACCCTGCCTATGGCGCTACAACTCTGACGGAGTGGAATGCGGAATATGACACTGAATCTATTACGGATGGAGGGTCGATAGTGACAACCGCAGAAAGTGCCGTGTCATTGAGTGGGCCGACTCCACTCCCATTTGTGGTGTTCTCTGATGATGCAGAGGTTGTGCTACCTCAAGCCCACACAGCTTCGCAGTTATTTGGCTTGGAACGAATTGAGGGAATTGAGCTGGAGGCTGCAGCTGGAATCCATTCTTTGTCACAATTGTTCTTGAGGTGGTTAGGTACGTGTGAGAAGAAATACCGTGGATATGTCATTTTCAAGCTGGGACTAATGCTTTCTAACTCCAAACAAAATTAATATTGACAGCCCTCATGCCTGGTGGAGATCACCTCAATATGATTGATCCTCCTGGACTCACAGTAATGCGAATAGCCGGAGGACGTTATCGCGTCACCGCAGCGCACCGGGTTGTGTGGACTTGGATGAATGAATTCGCTGCATTGGCAGAAGCTCATGGAAATGATGCCGTAGAAACCCTGCAAGCAGGTGACTTGGTCACCATGACCATTGTTGATGTATTTGAAACAGACTCCCAGGGCAAACTCTTGTCTTATTGCCCTACATTCGACAATCGAGCCGTGAAAAAGACCAATCCAGCAACGGAAACGTTCCGAAAGTCGTCCAGCAAACTTTTTACCATCTTGAACAAAGTGCAAAATTCCAAGACAGCAAAAGGATTCTATTCTAGAGCAAAAAGTGTTGCAAGTACTGTGAAACACAGAATGGACGAAGCTGCAGCTAATTACACATCGTCGCCTCGTCGGCGACCGCCGAACAGTGACGTCGGCAGCAGTGTGGCAGAATTTGAACAAGCACTAAATGCGGCCGAAACGGCCGCTCTTGGTCCTAGACCAAATTCTGAGGACAACAATGGAAGCGGCAGCGATACTACCCTCCAGGATGCTGAGCCGACCGGTAAAGAACACGACAAAACAAGACGACAACAAGGGTTCGAGCCTGAGCCGAACCAGCTGACAGAGCAAAGGCAGACAACAAACACCCGCAGCGAAGCGTATTTCAGTGACGACGATGATATGCCCGAAAATGTCATATGAAACAATTGTGGCAGATGAATGCATTTGCGTGGCTTCATCCTCGCGAGCCACCAAATTGAGTGAAGTCACATCAGGTCTTGACTGGATTGGTGCCACTCTATGGAGCCTGATTGCTTGATTAGATAGTGTAGCTTAATCAAAACTGTATTGGATACTTTCTGGCTTCTGACAGGCCCAGCTAGCCTTCTTCTATGCAATTTGCAGTCAACCGTACCAATTGGCAGCGTGAGAAACGCCAGTAAACCGAGGATTCTCTAAGCAAAAGACCAATTCAATACCAGCAAAACTTGGTGGTGCTAACCCACTGTCATGCTTTCACAAGCATGGCTGAAAGCGCAACATGACCTCTTCATGATGACACAAAGTAAACAACCTACAAAACGCGGTAAATTACCGCTATCTACAAGAGTCAAATGAATGCTGAAGTAGAACGGGTTGTGGTATGGTTCGCTCCGCGGCCTGCGCTTTGCTCTCTACACGGTACTCCCACTTTTGTTCGTCATGGCAACACAGCATCATCTCGGTTTCTTAGGATGTTTTTCGATGTTCCACAGCCTTGGCCACATCGACAACAACGCATTCTGATGGCGGGACCGTTCCTTCCACAATCTCTTGGAAGGCCTGCTGAATGCTTTCCTCGGACCCGCAATCACGGACCTTGACCCCCCAATCTTTGGCAGCCGTACAAAAGAGCTTGGTATAGTCCTCCAAGGTTTTCAAGTACTTGTCCGTGCCCCAGTCTTTGGTTAAAGCTTCTACAGTCACAAAAATAAGGTACAAGTCTTGTTTGGTATTCAGCGCGTTCGTGACCCACGTTGGAAAGATCATGGTCATGGTGAGGATCATCTTGACGGTGGCAAAGAAGGAAAAGTTGGCAAAGGTGCTTTCCTTTTCGGGAGATCCCGACGAGTTTCCCACTACGAGCAACTTGGCAATCTTGTCTTGATTGTTCTGAAAGACGGTTCCTTTGCCACTGATATCCACACAGACAGCGCTATTGGGACCGGCTTCTGCTGGGAGAGCATCGTCGTACCCGAGAATAGTGTCGTAGAGTTTGGTGCCTTCTACAAAACCACGATGTTTGTCGGATGTGTATCCAATAATCTTTTTGCCGTGCTGGTTGTGTTTGAGGTACAATGCAAGAGCCAATGCAACTTTGCTGGATGCAGACGTGATGACAATTGTGTCCCGATCTCCATAAAAGTTTTTTCGTTGCAATTCAAAGTACAATCCAAATCCCGTGACAATTCCAGGAAAGCAGGTCAATGCCACAGCGCAGGTGGCCTCGGAAGAAGGATGGCACACACTGTTGGGGGGGATAGGTATGAATGCATTGTAGGCTGGGTTGGTTGTAGGCCTGTGAACCACGAGATTGTCGGTCTTTGGTTCCAGATGAGCTTTTTCGAATTCCACGTGCGCTCCCAAGGGCAGCATGGCTCGGTAGACGGTTCCTTCGGCAACTCCTTCTACCTTACTTTCAATGACCTGGCAGAGTCCCCAAACCGGTGGGTGGACATAAGTATCAGCTAAAGTATCCGAAGTTGCTTCATTTTTTGGATCAATAATGCTGGTATCTTTGTCCCCCACAGGGTAGCACTTGAAAAAGTTGAAGGGCGCCTTTTCTCCAAAATCCAGGTAAAACTTGTTGTTTGCAGTGAGGCCAGCAGACAGTATCTTGAACTTGATTTCTGCCGTAGGCGATGAGTTGGATGGACTCTGAAGCAGCTCAAGAGTCTTCTTACTGCTCTTTTCAGTGACAAAGGAATACAACTGGGACGTCATGGTTGTTCTTCCACACAGCACAACAAGTGTGGAAACAATAATTGGAAACATGGACGAAGACGAATGACGGAAAATCGTTGGTGGAGATGACGGAAGCACCCAAAGAAGGCTTTTTGTCACGAATAATCCATGACTTGAGTGTGACTCGACTAAAATTAGTTCAGCGGGGTGTAACAGCCCCGTCTTGTGACCGCAGACACAGGCAGCAACAGGCAACAGCAACAACAACCACAAGAGCCAAAGACAGCTGAGACTCACTCCCAACAGACCATCACGTGACAAAGACATTGTTGGGTTATCCGTTCGGACGTAGCTAGCTTGTAGTGTGGAGTATTGTGAAGATACGATGGTGGCGCTTTCAAGCTCTTACAGCGACGACGTTCTGAGGATGGCCACAGCGTTCCGTCAGGCCAGGGTGAGTTTGTTTTGCCGCATGACCAGCATTGCCTTGTCGAGTCGACTCGAGTCATCTCTCGCCAGCTATTGCATGCTCAAGGCGCCAGAAAGAGTTGGTCTCTATGTCGTCCACTGGCATGAGTTAGTTGTCTTCTTGCTTGGCGACGCTCATTCGTTGGATTTTTCTTTCGCTCTTGTAGGACGAAGACACGCGACAAGTACTCAATGCCATGGCCGCCAAGAAGACACCCTCTTCCTTGAGTGACTTGACATTTTACATGGTTCCTTCCAGTTGGATGATGAAGGCGTGGCCAATGCTAGATGCGGTCGCAGCGGACAACGGGAGCTCTGGGGTGGACGACGATGGAAAATGGCGCGAAAGTGTGGGACCCGTTCAGACGATCGAGTTGTTGTCCTGTGATCACACAGTCAGCAGCGACGAGGAAGGAGGAGGGACCGTCAATGGAAACTGCAACAAACCCACCAATGGAGGATCAACGCAACAACAGTCATCAAATTCAGTTTCTCTCAAGAGAGACCTGAAGCACGGTGTCGATTTCTTCTTGCTGGGACCCAATGCCTGGTTGCTAGTCAAGGCCAAATTTGGGTCTGACAAGGAAATCGTGAAACCCTGCGTCTTCCACCAAACGGAGGAGAGCATGATAGCTGTAGCCATTGACAGCTCCTCTCAAAACGGAGGAAGCTCAAGCACGGGAGCGGGTCATCAGAATTTGGTCCCGGTTCCTCCTGGGGGATACTTCCCCTACAAAAAGCTTTTGGAGGAATTGGAAGGGGACTCCGATGAAACCTTTTTGCCACAACCTTCTCGTGCGCAAGGACCGCAGCAACAACCACAACACCATGCAGCTGAAACCACTCAAACCACCGTGTCGGATGACGAGGGAGGAGACAACGATTTGGTACGTTTGCTTTTAGCGTCGAAGTGTTGACTGCGAAAAGACGTTGCTTTCGAATCTCTCTCATGATTTCCTTTATTTCCTTTCCATTTCTTAGTTTCCTGAACCCGATGCCATGGTTGTCAGCAGTGATTCCAACGGAGCCCAGCATGAGGAATCACAAGGTCCAATACTGCTCCCTCCATCCACAACTGCCTCGCCTGCCAACAGCAACAACAATGATTCGCTCTATCCGAACGTGCAGGATATGGAATGCGGGGACAACACAGAGTCTAAGGAAGACCCCGCGGACAACCAAGAAGACAGTAATGTAGCGTCAGCTAGGGTTGTCCCAGCCGTTGCCGCAAGCACGTACAAGAAATATGGATCGGGGTTGGGAAATTTGGGAAACACATGCTTCATGAATTCCACTCTCCAGTGCCTGGCTCACACGGATCCACTGCGACGATACTTCTTGTCCGGAGACTACGAAAATGACTTGAACCGAGATAATCCACTTGGGACTGGTGGCGATCTAGCGACGGAATTTGCTCAGCTTTTGGCCGAAATGTGGGGAACGACTCCTCCGGGTGGGAGAAAAATTGAAACTTCTTCATATGTCAGTTCGTCGTCCACTGTCTACCCTCGGAGCTTCAAATTCACCCTGGGAAAACACGCAGAGCAATTCATGGGCTACGACCAGCACGACTCGCAAGAACTTGCTACTTATTTGTTGGATGCTTTGCACGAGGACACAAACCGCGTGACGAAGAAACCATACGTCGAAAAGCCAGAACAAGGCGAAGATGAGGCGGATGATGTCGCAGCACGGAAAGCATGGGACCTGCATTTGAAAAGGGAAGACTCTCGTGTCTTGGAGAACTTCATGGGGCAGGTGAAAAGTCGTGTAAAGTGCTGTAAGGAGGGATGTGGCCGAGTCTCGACAACCTTTGATCCTTTCATGTATCTCTCTGTTCCTATCCCCGGCGCGACGGATCGCACCATGCGAGTTACCTTTGTACCGCTTGATGGCAACATTCGAAAGAAAGAGCTTAGTGTCACCTTGAATAGGAACTCGTCGGTGAGCAAGCTTGTGATGAAGACAGCCGAACAACTGATGAAGGCTGGGTATTCCTCAAATGGAAAGCCGTTCTCCTTGGACGAGCTATGCGCATGCGACATTTGGACGAAAGAGGTGTACCAGTGGTATGATATAGATTCCGATGAAATCGATAAGATCCGTGAGACGGACGAAACCTACATCTACCAAGTGCAGGCAAAGGCCGACCTCCGGAAATTGGACGACGACGCATCCGTCGATGACGAGGCCAGAATCTCAGAAGCCCTCGAAAAATACCCTTACCGACCACAACGGTACAAGGTGGATCCTGGCACGATGCGTAATCTGCATGATGAGGGGTGGAAGACTTCCTTGGAGGGCTACACGCGGATGCAAGCCCTGCAACTCACGAGAGTGTTGAATCCAAGAAGGGGATCGACCTCAGAACGTTTCGACTTGTTTCAGAAACTGGACACTTTTATTGTGTCATGCATCAAGGAATCAGACAAAGCCAGCAATAAGCGTGCCCGAGAAGAAGAGGGCGATGAAGAGAGCCCTCCCAGTCCACAAGAACAATCGATCTCGGCAGATAGCGAGTGCATCATGGTGAAGCCGGAGGAAGAAGAAGTTCCAGCCCTGGTCGAGCGTTCAGAAAAGTCCGAGACCTTCAAGGCTGTCAAGTCTCGTTTTGATTTGGCTGTGCTGGAGCACTGTGCTGCTAAGCTCCGACGAATGATCGGCGAAAACTCTGGAAAAAGCAAAAAGAAGAAGGAAGATGGAATCTACGTCCAGATCTATCAACGAAAGAGCGCATCCGTCATGTCAGGCGCTTCATTCACAGAGAAAGGATTTGTGAATCCGTTGGTGCTACGGATACCGGTAACCATGACAGTCTACGGCCTTCGCGAGGAATTGGCGAAGAGGCTTGCTCGATGTCTTAAGATACCAATTAATGCAGATTCCGCAAGTCAGCCAACCAAGGACGAAGCGGAGATGTATCCTGAGAGTGATGTGATACCCATGGAAGGAGACTCTGATCGCGGCGACAATGATCAATTATCTGGAGATGACGCTATGAATATGTCTTCGGATTCGCAGAGCAATGTCGGCGACCCTGCCTTGTTGATCATGCGTCGAATCCCGCTTTCGTACTATCGGAAAAAGAATACCTACGGTCAAAGTAAATCCTGGAAAAAACTCGGATCGTTGGAAGCGGAACAATCCAGCGACGGTCGACCGATATCACTTGCAGCTCCGACTCATGCAGACGAACAAGAGCTTGTGTCTGAATGGGTGGGCGACAAGGGAACCCTCTGTCTCGAGTGGCCAGCGGACTTGTGCGAGCAAGCATTTGATGCAAATGAATACGAAGGGAGTGATGAGGTGAAGGACCCGGAAGAGGAAGAAGCGCTTGCAGCACGGAACCGCAAAGCGAACCACCCCATCACTATCCTAGACTGCGTCGAGAAATACTGTGCCGAGGAACAGTTGGAAGAGACTGAAATGTGGTACTGCAATCGTTGCAAAGAACACGTTCGCGCTTGGAAACAGTTTCACATCTACTTGGCGCCTCCAATACTCATCATGCACCTCAAACGGTTCCAGTATAGTGCATCCACACATCGACGAGACAAGATCGGCACCTACATTGACTTCCCATTGACTGGTCTTGATTTGTCGAAGCATGTGCTACATTGCAATGAAGGCGAGGAGCCAATTTACGATTGCTACGCGGTTAGGTGAGATTCGTCCTCTTTTCGTTCTGTTTTCGTGTATTTGTACCAAAGAATCCAGGGCTCATGTTGTTCGAATTCCTTTGTGTTTTGAAGCAACCATTACGGTGGACTTGGCGGTGGCCATTACACCGCTTATGCTCTGCACGATGACGGAGCATGGTGTTACTATGATGACAGCAGAATTTCGGAGGACGTCCCTGAGAAAGATGTTGTATCCGATGCTGCCTACGTGGTGTACTATCGACGAAGAGACGTCCCGAAAGACAATTTTCCGGAGGGTCTGGAAACCCCGGCCATAATCACCGACCATGTAGACAAAGTGCATGCGCCGAGTGATGAGGCTTCAAGCACAAACGCTGCCGCCGACATGGACGTTGATGACATTCATGCTGGTGATGCCGATAGTCGCGGTAGCTCGCGGACCTTTTCGTCGAGCACCAATGCCGCGGTCGACATGTATGTTGATGACATTCATGCTGGCGATGCCGATAGTCGCGCGAGCTCGCGGACGGACCCATTTCTTCGGCAGTAGCTTGCATTAGGCAACGAATATGACGGACGAGCGACAGTAAAAACGACGAAGCCGACAACTTGTTTCAGTCTGGCCCCAACAAGAAACAACATCAGCTACCCATTGCAGTAGTTGCTCACAGCGAGCAAAGAAGGGAAAGTTCACTAGCACTCTAACTAGACTATAAAGAATGTACATTTCATTTGCATTGCTTCCATCTTCCATCGGTTATTGCTCGCCTCCAGTTCTTTTGTTCGTGCCTTGTGTTGTAACAAGTCAGTCTTCAGTCACGCATGATGGTAGGTCATTTTCGAATTTCATCACTTTTTGTGAGAATGCGAAGGAACAATCGAATGATCATGATCTTTTTGAGATTCACTCATCACTCGAAAACGTGCAGTCGCTATCAAAGAAAAGAAAAACAAAAGCATACTAGTACCTATAGATAGATAATACCATTGATATCATTCCCTCTTTGTTTTCAGCAAGCAAGCAATCATGACCGATCATGGGATGAACAAGCAGTTCGAGGAGCAGTTGCAGCAATCGCATCGCATGACATTCAGCGGTTTCATTTGGTGTCATTCAGGATTTGACCTAAGCAGGATTGCCATCTTGTGCTTCAATCAAGGAGATTGCCTCTGCCTCCGCCATAGCTGCTGCATTGATAGCAAGATCGAACAGCGCGGTTGTGGGATGGTTACAAAAAAGGAGCACGGAGAAATCTGTAAAATCGGTTGCTACTGTTGCGACTACGGCCTTGTTTCTCCTCAAGTCCTGTGTGCCCAGAGCCACCAAATCCTTTGCTGCTACTCTGTGCAGCAATGCCCCTTTGGAAACGAACACCAGAGTGGGCCAGTTTGTGCTTATTTGTGTCTTCAATGCTTGCCCGATGTTGGGTGCTGCGCAAGGTAAGACTACATGTAGTACAGTACACGTGTACTGTCCCTCCAGTTATTAGATTCCAACATGAAAACAGCCTTCTCAACTTCTTTCTTTCTTTCTTCTCATGATAATAGTCCTGGAGAGTGCAGAGCCCTCAACCACATTCATAAGAATCGCAACTTGGAAATTTATCCAGGTATGCCAGAAGAAGAGGAAATGGAACGTGAATAACTGCACTAGCTAGCTAGAGTAGCCAGATGGCTAGCGACCGTACGGAAAGAGAAAGGAAGGGGGAAACTTACTTGTGACACTGAAGGCGGTAGAAAGTGCTTTCTCGTTCAGTTCGCCTCTTGATTTGTGAATGATTCAATCAGCTCTACTACTAGCTAGCTAGAAAGAAGATTCGACTGAAGACCTTGGTTACAATAACCAGTAGCAAAATATTCCACATTAAACTACCTTGTTCCTGTCTCACCGATTCACTCCAAGTCCATGTCAAAGGCACCTTGAGTTTCTGGGTTTGGCTCTTTGTGGCCCGTACCAGTAGAATGAGTGCCGTATGGCGGGTTGTGGCCACTGCCAAAAGTACTCGTTATTGGAGCTGGCGCCATAGGAGTGCCCCATGTGCTGAAGGAATACGTTCCAACAAGCGCTTGAGGCCGCTGCTGTTGTTGCGTGAATGAATGCTGCTGTGCATGCGGTTGTTGCTGCTGTTGCCGTTGCACCGCCTCGTCGTGTTGCTGTATCGCCGCAGACAACCCCGTTGTCTTACTGGGAGGTATCAAAGCACGGCCATTCGAGAGATGGACCATGCCACGAGGAGGTTCAGTGTTGTCCGGAGATGCCATCGTCGTAGGACTCGGCGTGGGAGGTCCTGTTCTTGCATTAGGTTCCGACATGGTCCGACTGATGAGTTGAAACGACTCCATCTGGGTTCCATCCGATGGAGCAGCCGCAGGAGGAGGTCTTTGCAATATTGATCCCTGCGTCGCATCCCGTAGGATGCTCAAACTAGTAGGCCGCTCTGGTGGTTTTGATTTGGATGCTGCCCGCAGTAATTCCAGGCCTGTCATGGAAGACGACAACATGGCCGACGAAGAACGATCGTCTGGTTCTTGCGTCTGATGCTGCTGTTGATGACTAGAAGCGAACAAGTGCAGGTTGCTACTGTATGAAATTGCCACAGCCTGGGCAATTCCCTCTGGCAAAATACCCGGTCCCAAACTTGATCTATGCAATGCTGGTTGCCGCTCCATTGCAGATTGTTCTGCTGATTTAGCTGTTGAAGCAGAGCCCATGAGGTCATCCTGGAAGGCCCTGCTTTGGTCGTTTGCTTGATAATCTTGCTCGGATGCTTCCAACATGGCTGAAAGAGACGATGCTGCTTTATTGTTGCTTGCGCCATCTTCTTGCTCATTGGATTCTTCCTTTTCCTTTTGTTGTTGCTGTGCCTTTTGCATCATGCGGTCTCGAATGGATAGGGGCTTTGCTGCTGCGGGTGAGCTGTTCTGCGAATTGTCTCCTCCTCCTGGCAGTGTTGTTGCTGCTTGAGCAGGGGAATCCTCTGTCTGCATATTATCTGCTGCGGCTGCCGTGGGTGGCAATACCAAATCTGGGGGAGGATTGCGTGGTGGTATTAATGTCAAGTTTGTGGGTGGATTGCGTGGTGGTATTAGTGTAGGAGGTGGCTCGAACCGCACAGTGGTGTTGTGATTATCAGGATCATGTTGTACCTCTGGTTGGTTGTGTCCTGTTCCTCCAAATCGTCCCGTCAAGTGTGACTCCCTCAAGGAACCATAGGATGAAAAGTATTTTGGTTTCCCCACGTAGGTTTGACTAATAACAGCCGTGCTGCTGTTTGTATCTCTGGGGGGAGATCCACTGATATTGTTGGAATGATCGTTCTTCAGTGTGGATGAGGTAACGTCCATAGAACCATTGAGACACATAGGTGGAGGCAAGGTTGCCAGATGATGCAGTCTATAATCCTGAGCAGGTTGTGATTCCAATTTGGGAGCTCTTAGAAGAGAGGTGGGCAAGGATTGCGGTCCTGACACTCGAGGAGGAGCCTCTGTTGGTGACGTGAGTGTTTGTACCGACACTCCTGATTGAAAGAATTCGTCGTCGTCCATTTCGTCATCGCTCGTGTCGTACATTGGGTGTTGCCACCGTAATTTGGCGGCTTGATCGGGGTTTTCTGGGTTATGAATAATGGCAATCGGGCTTGACCTAGAGTAGAAAGTAGGGCTCATCTGAGGACGATTGTTGTTGCTGTTGTTCGTGCTATTAGCGTTGTTGTTGACTTGATGCTGTGGGAGGTTGTAATGATGGCCGTTATTTCTGCTGTACAGAAAAGGGGATGATCCCTCCTGATCCATGGCCATCATGGCAGTGGGTGCTTGACCACCGCTCGTAGAGTGGTGATACGCCACTCTCTCCTGCTGCGGATGATGCTGTGGCTGATGAGGAGCCGGAGCGTACATGTGGGTGTGGCTAGTAGCCAATTCCATCGTGTTAATGCTTGCTGTGGAAGACAACGGAGGACGATTGAATGGCTGCTCGGTATTGGTTCCTGATGAAGACTGTGACTGACACTGTTGCTCGGGTCCTTGGGTTCTCTGTTGAACACCTGCATTGGCCGAGAATGGCTGCTTCTTACTCGTACTCGTACTCGCACTCGTACTTGTAGTCGCTGCGGCTGCTCGGCCAGCCAATCCGCTCTGCATCCTTCGCTCGAGCGCCAACGTTGTGATGAATGAATGCTCCGTGTATGAGGTCGCACTTTGCCTTCGCTTCCCCTTCTTCCCCTCCGCAAATCGGAATTTTGTTGTCGTGGTGAAATCGAATTGAGCCGATTTCTTACTCGAATAAATTTAATGCTCCTGGGGTGCTCGGAATTTTTGTGTTTCATCATTCATGCTATCTAAGAGTGACAGTAGCAGTGGGCCCTTGAGGACGTCTGGTTACGTTTTGGAAGTGTATCCCAGAGGAATGAATGCAGTATCTCTGAAGTTTTTTTGTACGCTGCGGTGCGGACGGTGTGGTGTGGATGGTGAGGTGTGTGGTGTGGATGGTGAGGTGCGCACAAAAAATGTCAACGAAAATTGTCTGCAAAATACTAAAAGACTGTCCACTGATAATTCAGAAGTAACACTTTACATACTGAAAGTGTTTGGGAGAACTGTTCAGGAGAAGTGATTGGGAGCAGTGTTCCAGAGAAGTGTTCCCAAATTTGCAGAGGAATGTGATTCTCAGCTTGCCTTTTGATGCTCCTGATCCATAGGAAACTGGAAAGCAAAAAGCTATACCCCACGAGGGTACTACCTACGCCCACGAGGGTAGATTGTGTTCAAAAGTGGATTTGAAACTAGCTGTTATACATGCACACAACTATTTATGCAGGCAAGAAGAAAGCCCTCCTCATGGTCCACACTTTCCACAGTTGACTGCAGGATTTCCAAGTATCTCCGCATGTCCCACGAAACTTTCTCCCATCCTGCTACGGTAGCTAATTGCATATTTTGCGCCAGAATCAAATCGACTTGTTCGTGTCAGCTGTTTCTACTATACAATCAAGCTGGTTGTTGTTGGAACATCTTCATATTGCGATCTCTTCCTGCAATTGGTGTAGGCGGTCTTCCCCAACAACACAGCCGCCAAGACGAGAAAGATGACCACAACGGTTGCTGGCCAACTGCTAGGTTGTTCAGGCTCTGGTGGAATAATGGATGTCTTATTGGCGTAATAGGCGTCGTCGTGGAGCACTGTGCTGTCGTCATCGTCGGTGGCGGCGGTTTCATCCTCGGCGGCAGCATCATCGGTTTCAGCTGCTCCTTGTGTGGCACCACCACGACCGGCTCCGGGATTGGTAACAGGATCTGATTGCAGATAACGATCTCGGATTCCATCCGATTCATCGCCCACGAAATCCAATTGCGAGAACCATTCTGTCACTGAAGCCAAAGAATCTTGAGCATCCTTCAGAGCGCCAATTTGCTGTTTGGAAGCATCACAAGTGGGGGAGAGGGAAAAGAACAGCAGAGTAACTGCTATCGAGAACATTCGCATCATCATGGTGGACTGATAATCAGTGGAATCTTATTTACTGTGGAAGCTTCGAGCTTGGAAGACGTGGGCTTTGGCAGTGCTGTGGCCTTGATCAAAGCTGTTATTATGTTGTAGTCTAGACTCAGTAGAGTAGGCATTGGAAGATGGCGCATACGTGGTCAAAGCCTTGCGACATGCAACGGCAAAGATCTGAAAGATTCTATCCGATTCGAATGGTTCGAATTCAATCATTCTAATTTCATCATTCAATCGATTGAATTGTTTCAGTCATTAAACGCAGTCACGGACAAAATGACATCGGAATTCCGTGATAAGCGCGAGAATACATGTGCTAATACGAGTAGAGATGATACTGTACTAGTACCGGCTAGCAACAGCAAGAAGCAATGATCATGTTACCGTACCAATACTAGTACAGAGAGATATCCATGATGACGATTGCTTCATAAGTAAGTCTAGCTAGTTTCAGTATTGTACGAGAGCTATAGTAGGAAAAAGCAAGCAACGAGATCTGCACCATAGCTAGGAAGTGTTTGTTCAAGACACGGTGCTCCCTTCTAAAAGACAAAGATGGGCTCTGCTTTTTCCAAATCGAGCCACTCCACAAACGATTTCGAATTGGCTATCAAGTCCTCCAAGGAACTGGAATGGGTCCTTGAAGACGCCTTTGGGGCGACGGGGAAAGGGTTGCATGAGAAAATTTCTTCCGCAGCCATTGTTAATCCCGACCTCTCGCAGTCATTGGTACGCAACATGAGGTATCTGGCTACAATCCGCAACAAACTGGTACACGAAAGAGGCTTTGACGCAATTCCAGATAGGAAACGCTTTATTGAAAAGTTTGAAGCATCCCAGGAAGAACTGAAAACCAGTATCATCCAGTTCCAGAACCGAAACAAAAAAGCAAAGACCATGACGGCTGCTGCAAGTGAAAATTGTATTGTCATGTAGGTTTGGCAGAAATAATGATGGAACTGGAATAACACAAACAAGATATCAATCATGTGATTGGATACATGTAATGTGCTGGAAATGATTGACGGAAGCAAACAGCACAGATCTTGTACATCAGCCATAAGTCCGCAAAAGCAACGTGTTGTGGCAACTTAGCTGGCAGGTTGCTTGCTTTCCTGCCCTGTGGCCGCGATGGTCATGCATGCAAGGCTATCTCAGAGACCAAGGGTTATGATAGTGCAGGTATCTATTAACTGACTGTGACTGCCGTTCGACTCATGTGTGCAGCCTTCCATGCATTACACCGTCAATGAATAGAGGCCTCTGAAGGTCTCTTGGTTACTGTTTGCGAAGACTCCAGCCTGCATTGCATTTCTGTCGTTGGCACGAAAGAAAGTATTCAACACTGATGTGCCAGACATTCGTACGGTATGGTGCCATTGGTCTACTCGTATCGCACCGGTGTGATGTCCAGTCCACGGTGATATTCAACTTTGGCTGCAATCTGAAGAATGATCTTCGGAACTGCCTCCTGAGCTTTCCCGATGCACCGTTCTGCGTGACGAAAGGAACAGTGACGCTCCCACTGGCAATTGTATTGCTTCTTGAGCTACCAGTACCGACCAAGAGCACCGTAGCTGGTAGCGCCGCCCCCAAAGAAGAGAGACGAATGCCTTTGAGCTTAGCCAGAATCTTAATTAGTGGCTTGCAAGGCCATCGCCCGGGACCTTGCACTTGTATCAGGTGTCAGGATTCGAAAATTAGCGGCTTCTATCCATACGGTACCGGCACCGTTGCTGGAGGGGTTTTGTGGTGCTAGTATAAATAATATGGATGGTCGACATTGGCTTTTAGACGTAAAGAAGATCAGGGTGGGCATTCTTTGCTAGCTAGCTTAGCTATATCATATACCATAACTATGTGAGCTACCGGTATTTTGGTTTGGGTGCTGATGAGGCTGCTTTTGGGTAAGCAAGTCATAAAAAGTGAGGATGTAAATGTATTGATCTTTTTGCTCCATACCGCCGGTACCGAGCCCTCCGGCTCTCATTTGTTGGTCTCACCCGGCTGATATGGGTCTAAGTGCCATCTCGCTCCGGACGAACAGGCGTTGCGCGAAGATCGCTGCTCACATTTCAACTGCAAACCAGGTGTCTTTTTGCTCATTCATCTCATCGATATCAAAAGTTGACTTTGCCTTTGAATACTAGAGGAGGACAGCTAACACGGTAGATTATAAAGACTTCACCCAGGGTCTCGTCCTCAACCATGAGGGCTCCTGATCCAAGGATGAAGAAAGTAGAGATCACTGGGTTGGAGACGCTTCGATTCGAAGGAGTGCAAAAGGAATCGCTGAACAAGAAATCTCGCGGTGAAAGAAACGACTTCAAGAAGTCCCATTCATTAGCTGATAATTCAAACAAGAAGAAATTCATTAACTTGAGCGTGAGCGTAGAGGAGGAGGATGCGGGATCGATCTATTCCGTACTCCCGTCTCTGCCACTTGTGAATAGCATGACGGAAGCGGATCTTCGATTTGAAATGAAGATTCGGAACCCTACAGTCGACACTACTGGGAAAACCAGGCAATGGCTCTTGGACAAGTTAAAACTTGGAACAGTATCCATTTTGAAGGCTCGAGAGCAGGTTGGTCGCGACAGATTGCTCAAGGTGCCTCAGGTTGGGCCATCCTTGACTGTCGAACATTTGCGCCGCGAGTTCTTCCATCGTTTCCCCGGAAAGCAGAAACTCGGGCGAGGCAAATGGAAGGATTGGTTCATTATTCAGCTAGGCGTAGGATCTCTCTGTTTGGCACCACCGGAGGAAAAATTGAAACGCATCACAAGGGCGCCGTGGTCGCCTCAAGGGAGCACAAGCAACACGGTATCTACGTGCCTTAGTGAATCTACGTTCCCTACGCTGTCGACCTGCACAATTCCTACTTTTTCTTCGGATGAAGGCGAACCCAAAGTGACTCCATTCGATACAAATACCAACAAAATGGTACCCGATGTCAGTCAAGATGGCACTGCTTCTGTGGCGGACAGCGCTAAGAGTCGACAAAAAATTCACTCCAACAAGAACAGATACATCAAAGCATTCAAAGTGGCGAGGCAAACGGCCCAAGAGAAAGAAGCCAAACATTCAATGATGCAGGTAGAGCCTGGAAATACTAGTAAAGCAAACACCGAGCCCGCTCCAAAGCCTTTTGAGATTGGAGCCGCCAAAAAGCTTCAATCCAACAAATTTGGACAACTAACAGACACAGCGAAAGAGACACCATACAAGATACCCTATTTGAATGAAACGATTGAAGCAAAAGCAAACCCAGCTGGATATTCCGAACCTCCAAAAACACCAGTGACGCCTTCCAACTTCAAGCAGCAAAGCAGCGAAACTCCACGATCCAGACGACGCAACATGGGAACGACGAGAGAAAGATACTTCAAATCCTCCAGAGCGTCAAGAATGACCTCCTGTAACGGTACCGGTAGCGGTGAATCGCAGGCTATGATGGGTGACCTGCGTAAAGCCATGGTTGAAGTGGAGAAAAAGATTGAATCTCAAAAACAGCAACAAGAATCAGCGCCAACAGAACCGACTAGAGCTGCCAAGTCGAGCTCAGGAAAAAGGCAAAAGTATTTCAACGCGACCAAATCCTCAAGGTCGAAGAGGAGCTCATTCGGTGGTGGTGAATCTGAGGCTCTTCAAGAGAGTTTGAAAAGAGCAGTCGAAGTAGAAAAGGAAATCAACCAGAGGAAGGAGGAGGGTTGCAACTTGCAAGACCCAACAAAGAAGGCACCGTCATCCAGGGAAGCTCTTGAAGAAGCCAGAAAACCAGCAGAGAAAGGTTCTTCCCGATGGATGAACAACGTGAAGCGGGCACGTAAACTTGCCCGTAACAGTGTTGGTTAGCGTATCGTACCGGTAGCGGTTGTCCGGCATCGATCGATACATACCAATTGGTCCATTCTGTTCTGTCAGAGGATTCAGTTTTCATTTCAACATCCCAGGTAAGTATTCAATTTCAGAGAGGCAAGGTTTCCTTCCCTTCCTGCAGACAAGAATGACACGGAGCTTCCTCGCCCCGTGCTCTTTTCAGAGATTCAAAAGTTCTTGCTGAATAGCTGTATGGTAGTAAATCAGTACATTGTAGTAACAGATGTGACAAGGTACCATGACATTCAATGTTGTACAAACGCAAACTGTCGATTTTGGGTCCGCGAGAGCTTCATGAAATTACTTTTTTGGCCCGGTACCTACTAGTAGTCGTTTTGCATAGTAGACCGACCCTTCACCAGTTGTTTCCAAAACAGTGGTACGGTACAAGTAGCGATACGCTTCGATTCAATCCATCTCACCAGGACACGCCCGCTGGTACCGGTACGGTGGTACCTGGTACCGTGCAGTATGATATTGTCTTTGTTGTGGATGTGCCATTGCGAAAGAGACGGAACAGCCGGCCATCAGCGTCGAGGCCCTCAGCTTCCGAGTCTCAGCTTCACTACTTTGTGGTCTTGAATGTGACTCAAGATCGCAGCTCTAGCGGCTTTCATGTGCTTGCTTTCTCCGCTGCACGAAACACTCTCGCAGCTCGCAGCGAGCTGTTTTGATGAGCTACCTACATTATAATAACCGGTCTAGTCCTTCTTTAATCCACGCTTCGTTCAATCAAGTTAATGGCATTTGGGAAGGAGGGAATGCTTGGCTTCGATTGAGGTGATGTTGGTTCGTTTGAGAGGAACGATAGGAACGATAGGAAGATAGCGTGAACAAGATACAGCAATCAGCCATGCCGTCGCATCCAGTTGTTTCCCTCTACGAGCCTACAGCCGAAGAAGAGGCCTACGCTGTCTATGTCTACAATAAATTATTTGGAAGCGCTCCAATGGATGGGTTGATTCACGTGGAGGCCAAAATGGGTTTACGAGTTCTTGCATTATCGGGTGTTGACGGTATTATTCTGCGAACAATTTGGTCCGTGGCGGATCCAGACAATCTGCGATGCTTGACGTATTTGTCACAATTTCACGTGGTGCTAAGGCTGATTGCTCTGGCACAAGACGGCCTTCTGGAAAAAGAAATCAACCGAGCATTCACGCAGCAACGCAACTATACCACCCCAGTGACCGTTTTTCAAAAGACGTTGTGGATGTCATCCGACTACAGAGATTGCCCTTTGCCATCTTTTGAGGGTGTCGAAATGCCAACAAAAGAGTTTCTTGCAGGGCTGAGCGCTAGAATAAAAGGAATCGCTATGGCATCATCCCCAGCACCAGCACCTGCACCCACGCCATTGCGCAATCTTCCTACCCCTGCACCAGCCCCAGCACCTTTGCCCAAAGACCTCCCTGCACCAGTTCCAGCTCCAATTCCCGTACAAAATCGCAAATCCAATGATCCAACTACAACCACCAGTAACGTTGGGCCATCGACTGCAGGACCACGGACTGTTGATGCAGTTGCTCCTGATCCAATCCCAAATGAAATCAGGGTGACGAAGAGGTCTTCCAGTGATGACGCTAACGATATTGAATCAGCAATCCAACAGATTGAAAAGTTGGGGGTAGACAACGTAGGTATATCTGTACTGTGTTGTGCTGTGTTTCACCGTCCATGGATTGGTCTGAAACACACATATTGATGTCCACTGATCACGATTTCTCTTCCTTTCTCTCTCCAAAGCCAAACCCGAATGCCAAGATTCTCTCAGAGTTAGATCCAGACAACCTTGAGTTGTTGCAAGAACAGGCAGCTTTACAACGAGCTATCATGGAATCCAATAAAGCGACAAAACCCGCTCCTGCATCCAAGCCCGCCCCGAAAAAGCCTGCCCATTCATCATATCCAGAAAACGATGAACTATCGTCAGTGGATGCAGCATTGCAGAGGGCAATCTACGAGTCTACACACGCAGCGTCGCCACCTCGGCCAACCAAGAATGTTGCTGCAATACCGAAGAAAGATGAAAACGACAATTGGCTTCGAATGGCATCGCTTCAAGATGTAAGGCGACTTTTCGTCGTGCCTTTGGTTACATACATATCCCTTATTCCCTGCTCATTTGCATTGTTTTCTCATTTGGGCGCATGGCATGAGTCAGTCAAGTAGTGAATGCGACAATGGAGGGGATGACGATTCAGACGACGAATACAGAAAAAAGAAGGCCAAGAAAGGAGATGTCGCTTATGCTGAGTACATTGCAAGTCTAAACCCTTCTTTGTCAGAGCCACCACAAAAGCCTCCACCTGTGAAGAGTTCCTCGGATGAATCGCGAAACTCCGATGAAGCAGACAGAAAGCCCGCTGCAAAGGTAAGCAACAAAAGATCTTTGTTTTTCTGTACTTTTCTGCGAACGAGCATCATCATCGTTTCCATTTAAAACCTCGCGTCCTTCTTCACTGCAACGTAGCCTCCACCAACAAAGTCTATGGACTTCTCCTCAAAAACGCCAAAGATAGACAATAGGAAGCCAGCGTCACAAAGAAGCGACAATCCTCCCCAGAAAGATACTAGCAAATCTGGTGACAGGGACGAGTATCCTCAAGCTGTACAAGAATTGGTGATTAATGGATTCACCCTGGAGAAGGCTATGCAGGGGTACAAGATGGTTGGTGAGTTCTCTCAATCCACGTTTTGACACTCCGGTCTTGTTTGAAGTGGAGTGAACGGTCTGGCCCGATGTTTCTAACGTCCTTGCGTTTGCTCTTCCAAAGGCCCCAATTTCGACGACATTGTGCTCTTCTTGACATCCAGTATGGCGGTCAAAGAAATGGTTATAAATGGATTCAATATCCACAAAGTGGTCGAGGCCGTGGATATGATTGGAGAGAACGAAGATGATCTTTTGCAGTTCTTGATGGCAAATGAAGCTACGCTGTAAGTTTTTGCTTGTCCGTGAGCAAGAAAACGGATGTGGCCCTTTAGTTTTTTCCCGCGCGCCATCTTTGGAAAACGAGCTATCGGTTATTCGATTTGGCACTCGGTATCCACCGTTTTCGAAACAACAGCAAGGACCCGGAGCTATACGACAATGATATAAAGGTCCTTTGCCGTGGGTCGCCAAGTTTTGGTGCTTTGAGCAAAATTCAAGATCCCGCCAGTGCGTCGACACAGCAAGTAGTCAGTGACGGACAGCCACCCACGACGAACTACCGGTTGATGCTGCTGACACGGGAAGTTTCGCCATGTAACGAGTTAGCTTGCCATCATATCACTTATTCAGTTTATTACGTTTGCGAGACCTCGTCAGCGCAAGATGGCACTATACCAGTGTTCTATTTCCGGATACAACCGCAGTGCTTTTTGGTGTTTCTTAATGGCCACGTGAACTTCTCCCCTCTCCTCGGCTTCACCAGCTTCATAAACCAAAGGTATCGCCTCCCGGAGAGACTCATCGACATGGAGGCGGTCACAAACAGCATCGATGCTGTCAGTGCCGAGACAATGCACTTCCCTTGCAGTTTCAGTCAAGAAAGCCGGAAATCGTTCGCCCGTGATGCCAAGGACTTCCATCACCACCATTTTCTGCTCCAGCAACTCTCGATGCTCGCGTGCCGACTCCTCGTCCCTTGGCTTCATCATCGTATAGTGAACAACCCGCATGGCTCGCTCATCGGTGTTTGGGAAGTTCTGGTGGGGCAGACGACTGTCCCAGACCACTACGGACCCGGCCGGTGCCAAGACCCTTACCACTCGCTGTTGGCAAGGATCATCTTTTGGGAGGACAAATGGCTGGTTTACTCCATAGGTACGATCCGCCTTCCTTCCGCCCACAAGCACTGAGCCCATTGGGTGTTCTTTGCCCCATTGCTCGAACGACCGGTGGAACCCTGGCACACACGCAAAACCACCCGATTTCTCGGTGTTGTCCGTTAAACACACAATGGCTTGCAACCTGACGAACGACGGTTCCGTCCACGGATTCTGATCCCAGTGCAACCAGGACTCGTCTGTTTTCCATTCGGGATGATCGACGGTTGGTCGCATCACACCCCACCTTCCGAGGTTTGCGGACATGATGTCTTCTCTCCCGTACAGCATCTTTTGCAAACGGACCAATTTCTCGTGTGAAGTCAAATCCCAGGAAGCAGCATCTTGAAAGACGTCCGCCGAATTCACGAAATTCCTACCTCCCACTGATTGTTGCTGGGGCCATTCGCCACTGCCCCAAGTGGATGGATCTCCCCGTTCAATGCCGGGCCGACCCAAGAGTCTCGGGGACATCCAGAGCTCGTCGAGGATTGCTGTCACCTCATTTGGTGTCAAAACATTGGTAACAACGACGAACCCATCTTCTCGGAAGGCCGCTTGGATTTCATCATCACTTCCGCAGGGCAAACGTTTGTCGCAGTACTTCTTTTGGCTTGTCATCTTCAGGATTCTTATTGTTTCAGCTTTCAACTCGACTGTTTGTGACGAGGCAACCGTGCTTTCATTACCTTATCCACGTTTGAAGTACAGCAAACTAGCAAAGCTGCGTGCTACCTGGTACCAGGTACTATTAATAGTAGCGTGAAGTTTCGGCCCTTTTCTCCGTCGCTCGACTTGGAGGGAGGGAGCAGGGTGCAAGTTGAAGCCGCACCAAAACCTGGACCTGTTCCATCTTGGCCATAATGGTGTTGTTCAGGGCGCGACGCCCAAAGTCTGTTACGCTGCCATCAGCCTGTCTCCGTTCGAAGATGATACACGCGAAAAAGGACTGACAGTCGGTGGGAAGCCGTCGTGCCTGCCGAAGTGATGAATCTTCAATTGTGGATCGAGGATCTGGTAGTTTCATTGTTGGGAGGCAGGTAGATTGAGTGAACAGGAAATGTCGAAGATCCAGATCAAGCTAGGGTGCTGCTCTTAGCACACTTTGACAGCAGTGAGGACGGCAGAGCAGATAAATTTTACCGGGATCTTTTGATTGTTCAATGTAGCTGTGGTGCAGACTGTTCTATGACAAATTATCCAATATATCACTCAGTTCAAATCCTTTCTTCTCATCCACCAGGAATGCCTTGACGCCACAAGTCTTGTTTAGATCTTCCACTACTTTCTTGGTATCATCTAGAAACAATATTTCGTGTGGTTCCACCTGGAAATGCTCAATTAACTTGCGAATGTGATACCTCTTGATTTTGTTCTCCTCCTTGTGGCCATCAGGACGGGCCCGTGGATTGTAGGCGACAAGGAAAAATGAATCGACAATCTCGGAAGGAAAGTACTTGGATATCAGGGCTCTCGCAAGCTCACTGCCAAGGATGTGTGTCTCTGGCTTCACCAGAATCCCGAATTCGGCCTCATCAGAGTGTGTTGCTATGGATAGGCCAAAGCCATCTCGGTGCAGAAATGGAACCAACTTTTTAAAGTCTTCTGTCGCCTTGTTCAAGAAGTTTTCCAAGGGATCCCCTCTTCTAAGTCTTCCTCGACTGTGAATTGAAACTGCCGTTTGATCCATATCAAATGCGACTACCTTGATCCCTTGTGCTTTCAGCAGATTCCTGCATTGTTGCACACCGTCATTCCCCATGTCTGCCGTGGTCGAATCTAGTGATTCTGCCATCTTCAGGGCTTCCGACTTCCGACAACAATCGATTCGATTCCAGTACCGGTACCGTTACACTGTGTACCGCCTTCCGCCTTCGACTTCGACTGAGAGCGGAGCGGGGAATACCAAAATGAAAACACAGTTCACTGGAAAGAAAGTAGCTGACACAGGTCTTGCGATTGTCAAGGTAATCCACAGGAATACGGACTGAATACAGCAAGATGAGCATCATCGAACAAGGGGGATGCTACGGTATGGTCCTTTGGATCTTTGGATCTGCGCTATTCGCTATGAGAGCGTTCATCAAAAAGGATTAACAACCTAAAAGGGCTTTTTAAGCTCTTCGCGGGTTCGCGGGTGCAGGGCTCATGCATGCATGGTCATGACATGCGGAGTGGGCTCACTTCTGGAGACCACTTTACTCTCTGCTTGTTGGGTCGTTGGGTCTCATCCATGGTGACTGATACCAGTACCGGTAGACTGGAACGCTGTAACTAGATTAGATCTAAGAGGTGTAGATGTTTGAGAGGAATGATTCCAACAGAACTGCAAGGAACTAATAGAAATTCCTGAAACTGCATTTTCTCAAGATCTATTTGACGATCAATCTTCCATCAGCAAGGAACACAATTTCATGTGAACATGAGCTAATCGTAGATTGGACAGAACGTGCCCATTCCAGGTTCACAAAAGGCACCTGGGTCGTTGTAGCGGCGGTTTTGGTTCAAGCCATCAATTCGGGCCATTTCATCCGTGCTTAGGTGGAAATCAAACACATCACGGTTCTCAGCCATGCGACTTTCTGTGCTTGTCTTGCACAGAGGAAACGTGTTGCGTTGAATGGCCCACCGAAGGAGAACTTGCGCCGGGCTTTTGCCCTTGTTTGAAGCAATTTCCACAATGGTGGCATCCTTCATCAAGCTGTCTTGATCGGTGGCCATGTTCAATTCGACGTAGGAGGACGAGCCAAACACCGAGAAGGCGGTAACCTTCATCCCTGCGTCACGAGCAAAGCGAACCAGATTCTTCTGGGAGTTGTGGGGGTGCAATTCGACCTGCAAGGTGGAAGGACGGATGCGAGCTGTGGAAAGAAGCTGACGAAGCAACTGAGTTGAGAAGTTGCAGACGCCGATCGTCTTTGCCAAACCTTGATCCACAAGATTTTCCATAGCCTTCCAAGTCTCTCCCATATCGTTGGGAACAACTACCATGTCTCCTGACATGTTGGTCCATTCTGGGGGATATCGCGCTTCGAAAGGCACAAACTCCATGGAAATTGGAAAATGGATCAAGTACTCATCGAGATAGTCCAACTGGAGATCCTTCAATGAGCGATCCAGCGCCATTGGCACATGTTCTGGCTTGTGATAAGTATTCCAGAGTTTGCTCGTAACGAAAAGATCTCCTCGGGAACAAAGACCTTCTTTGATAGCCCTGGCAATGCCTTGGCCCACCTCCTTTTCGTTGCCATAGTCACAGGCGCAATCCAGCCGTCTGTATCCAGAAGCGATGGCCTTGTAGGCAGCCTCAGCACACTTGTCCTTTGGAACCTTCCAAAATCCAAAGATCAGGGGTTCTGCCGGTTTCATAGCGTCGTAAGAGGATGCCGGACGGGATCCAATAGCAATTCCATTGGCTGGATCCACCTTCCACACGGAGCTTTCGGGGCATCCCCAAACAGATGCCAACACGCGTCTCTTGCCTTCGAACGGGTTGCGAGAATGCATGACCAGGCGGTTGTTCACGGCCATGATATCACCGTCCTTCCAATCATGGAGGACTCGACTTCTTTCCATGTAATCTGCAATGTCTTGCAAAATACTCTCATCCATTTTGTCCATGTTACCAAAACGGAGTGCATCGTGTCGATCGTTCCGAGAATCTTCCCAGCCGAGGTAGGCAGCAACAATCGAGTTAGCAAAAGTCCATTGAAAGACGTGGTTGGATGCATGATCCGTGACGAGACGAATGGCAGGGACAGCTTCTGTGCAGACCCGCACTGACCCATCTGGCTGCCATTCCCAAGTGCATCCTTCAATATCTCCCAGCTTTTTGTCCAACTCAGCTGCAGACTTGACGTTCCATGTATTCTTGTAGCTGCGCCCAATGGGAGAGGAGGGGTCGTCTTCGGCAGGCAAGGTTCGAATGTACCTGGCGCCGTGTTTCATGACTTTCTCAATGAACTCTGGATGGTTATCTTTAGCAAATTTGTACACGGCAGTACTATCAATTAGTGGCGTTTGACCGCCCTTTGGAGCAGCAGTTTCGCAGTAGAAAAAGACATACTCTGGTGGATTGGGGCATTGAGCCAGTTCATGGTGAAAGGGGATGGGTTCGTCGGGAGGACTCTCATTGGCTGTGTGAAGTGGCAAAAAGATTGTGAGAATGATGGGGGAAATAGTCTAGGCAGACGGCGTACCCTCGGTTTGAGCTAGTTACCTGTGAATATAATATCCTTTCCTGCCGCGACAGGGATAATGGTGCGAGGAGCTGCCCCTCCAATGTATGGGTATTTCATGAGCTTGAGATCTGTCACAAAATGACCAAAGTCCTCGACACTGCTGGTTTTCTCTTCATTGCGGAAAATCAAAGCTTTGCGGCTATCCAAGAGATCAACGAATCGACGTGGGGTTACTTCCTTTTCATCGAGCTCAAACGGATCAGCGGATCCCTCTAACAAGGGAATGACGGTGAACTTCATAGTCAACGGAGGTTTTTCTTTGGCTGGAGCGAAAAATAGGAAAGTTTGTTGGAGGGAGGGCCGCGAAGCCAACCAGATTCAGACCTGAGCCGATGTCAAGAAAGGATTCTCATGAAGGTGTCAAGCCGATGCAAAGCCATGCACTGATGGCAATCCATCAATCAGATTGTGCACTGTGTATGCATAAAAAGCTTTCTTTATAGATGTACGGCTCTACACGAGAAAGATGTGAGCGCTTGAAGCCCAAGTGTCAAAGGTCTTGTTCCGGAAAATGTATCACATTCAGACGTGTTAGATTAGATTTAACTATTCCTTTGAAAGCATTAAAGTTTTTTCGTTTCCTGACAGCTTTTCAAGTTAAGACGTCAAGATTGACCGTTGCTTGGTGAGGGAGATGCCAGAACACAAAGCTCCAGAACATCAATCCTGGGCTGCCTAACAGTACGGCCTGCTAAGCTACTAGCTAGGTGGCCAGACCAGTGCCTACCAATGCCCATCAGTGATGTTGGCATCCTACGGAAGATCCTGTCCGAGAAAGAAAATGAAATGACATGGGTTGATGCCATCATCAAACCCATCACAGTTTTGTGGTTGGGAAAGGTTTCTCACAATCATATTTTGCTGCCTCGAAGTTCCTTTTGTTCCAAAGCTGTGGTTTTCTCACCACCAGTCGTCAAAATGCCACCAAACCTAAAATTTCTTCAAGATGCAGGATCCCTCACTGCCGCTGTAACCCTTGCTGAGGTCCTCGAGCATCCTCGTATCAGAGTTGCGATACTCGGTTGTGGCATGATGGGCCAGGAACACGTTAGTTATATTTGTGGATATCCAAAAGATCTTCGGATCGACTATCTTGCCGATCCATTTCAGCCCTCTTTGGATGCCGCTAAGAAAGTTTTGAGTGAATTCCGTGACAGGGTACAGGGCAATGGCTCCGACGAGGATCAATGCCACCAGCCAATGTTCCTTCAAACTGAAGACGAACTCTTTCAGCATGTTGACAATATTGATCTCCTTGTCATTGCTACACCCAACTACCTCCACGCGGACTCTTTGATCAAGTGGGGGAAGCAAGATATTGCCATTCTCTGTGAGAAACCAGTTGCTGTTTCCCAGGACCAAATCAACCGACTACACGAGTTGACCCACCACCCAGAATTCAGGGCCCGAGTCTGGACTGCAATGGAATATAGGTATATGCCCGCCATTGCCAAGCTGCTGTCGCTGGTGCCTAGCACCATTGGAGACCTCAAGATGATCACTATCCGCGAGAATCGCTATCCATTTCTGCACAAAGTGCAAGAGTGGAATCGGGATCCTGCCAAGACCGGTGATACTCTGGTTGAAAAATGCTGCCATTTCTTTGATCTATTCCGTCTCATCACGGGACAAGAAGTGAAGCTTCCAGAAGTGCGTGCCCTGGCACAGAGGGGTCTCAACTACCACGAAGAAACCCCTGTGTTTGGTGTGGACCGCCCCATCATTGATTCAGCCTATGTTGTCATGCCTTTTGACGGTGGAAATCAGACGAAAGAGAATACAAATCCAGAAGATCAGTCCAAGACGGTTGGGACCATTGGTTGCTTGGAACTTTGCATGTACTGTGAGGGAAGTCGTCATCAGGAAGAGATTATTGTGACAGGAACCAAGGTAGGATAGACCTGAAAACTTTTGAAATGGAATGCAAAGAGTGATACCTTTTCAATGCATTCATGGCAGCGCCTCACTCTGTTTTGCTGTTTGCTCATGCTGTTTATTATCTCAGGGCCGCTTGGAAGCTTATCTCCCCGAGAACAAGGTCTTTTCCTTTGAAAGGCCCTCCATGGAGCTCTGGGATGACCGTAGTATCCCACCACCTCCAAGTTCCGTGCGCCGACAGGTATTTGACTGCTCTGATGCCAAAGAGATTCATGGCATTGAAGATGAGATTCCCACCCATGGAGGTTACCACTACAGCAGCACAGCTGTGGAGTGGTACCGTTTGCTGGGTGCCATGAGACATCATTCCAAGACGGGTACGTTCCTGCCTGAGGTTAGCCTGCAAGATGGCATGGCCGCGGTTCAAATTGGCCTTCAGGCTTCTACAGCCATCGTCAACGAACAGCAGGGAGGCGAGAAATGAACGGAAAAGTTTGAGTGAGGCTTGGTGATTCGATAGGCTTTGTTGGTTGCAGCATTTTTGGTTGCTGGTTCATGCAATCCGTATTGCTTTTTTGGTGTTGGGCGTGATGGTGGTCAGGTTTTTGCACTAGCTCTACGACATTCTACATAAGAGACTTTACTAAATACATAGTACGGTACCGGTACTATTCATGTTGACTGTTTTGGTGGATCCTTTCCTTACCGACCAGTCTTTTTGACAGGTGTTGTCCCGTATTCTTCTTCTGCCACAAGTTCCATGGGTTGTACATAGGACTCTTTCCACGCCTTGTAGTGCGACGTCTTTTTCCAAATGTAGTAGAAGTCTATGCATTCCTTTGTTGATTTTGTTTGTATGAGTTTTTGTATTTCATGGAATTCCTTCCCGTAGTGGCCCATCCCAGCTTCAAAGAGTGATATTTCGTAGGGAGACCACTTTTCAATAACAGTAGGCCGTCGCAAGGGGCTCTTTAGAAACCCCAGGGAAGATATGAGTTCTAGAGGGTATTTTCGCGGTTGGGCAGCGACGCTTTCTCCATTGCTCTGATGTTCCACAGTGGTCTTGTCATCGTATCCGTAGGGTCCCAGGTGAATTGGATTTAGCATCATGTTGGATGCGAGTTCCACGTAGTCTTCTGCCACTTGATGGGCTGGCAATGTTTCAATAAAAAGTTAAGAAATGACGGAGGCACCGCCGACCAAAAAACAATCAGTTCTTCGCGTCAGCACAGTGGATTGTTTTGGTGTGTGATTTGAGTCAATGCTGCTTGACTTACCTCGCCATCGTTTTTGATTTCGGAGCTTCTTCCGGTCAGTGGATTGCTCTTTTGTTTTGGAAGGCAACTTCTCATTTCCATCTCCGTTCGCTTCACTACATGCAGCGGGGTCGGTAGCATCAGGAGCAGCAGATTGTGTTGTTTCTGGCAAGGTGGAGGTATTTTCTGGATCTTCTGTAATGGTTTCCGATACAGGATCGGATTCTTCCTTGGCATTAACCACTTCCGCTGACTCCGATTTTCGCATTCGCTTGGGCTCTTTTTCGGAGATATCTGCCTCGCTTTCGTCGCGTTTCCGCTTGGAGTCTTGGTCGTCACTTTTCCCATTCGTGTGCTCATTATCCTCTGGTATATTGTCATCGGTGGCATTTGACGCTTCTGGTGTCGCTTCTGCTACCGCCGTTTCTGATTCCAGCTCTACTGATGCTGTTACTGCTGAGGCATCAGGAGGCGTGGAGTCTATTGCTGATTGTTCATTTGAGGACGGGGCTTCCTCCATCGTCTGGTCAGAGGCAATTTCTTTTCTAGCAGGATGGTTGTCATCCTTCTCATCACTTGCCAAAGAAGACTCCATTAGGAAATTGCAGGAGCCCTGATGATTAACCACTGAAACAGAGCTTTCGATGTCACGTTATGGATACTGCTAACTGGCACCAAAGATAATAGTTGAACTGAATGCTATGGTTAAGCCAAACTTATTATCCGGGCACCATTGTGGAGTTTGGAGGATGAGGGGTGTTGCCAAAGGAGCGCCAGTCCCTGGTATGGGACAGGCTGAGTCACGCGGGAAAACGGAAGAATTAACTGGAGAAGTTTTTGTTACCCGTGCGGGAACCTTGTAGGATGCCTCACTCAATCGTAAGATGTCAATGTGGAAAGGGATGGTCTTGAGTCTACGGCTACGGCTACGGCTACCATATCTAGCTAGTAGCCTTAGCAGCCCCATCTTCCCCCTTCACCATTTCCCTGGTTCAAAGTTGCGTGTACGGTACAGAATCGAATCATCAGCTTCGAGACTTCGAGACCATTAATTAAATTCTTTTCAGCTCGCTCAGCATCAAGGGCTGTCTCAATGGATTCTTTTGAGACTTACTTAGTTCAGTCACTTTTTGCTAAAATGGGATGATTGATCATTCGTTGAGACTCGTGCACGCAATTCTTGCAGCTGGTAGCTAGCTAGTCTAGTAATAGTATTGTAATCCTTAGTTAGAGCCATCAATGCCAATGTCACCAACAAGATCCACCACGATACCGGTACGATACCGTATGCCCAGGTTCTTCATCAGAGCGAGAGCTGTTCGGTCGATCAATTTCAGTGTTGCACCTCAGCTTCCTTACCGGTATGTAAACTCTCCTTATCTTCCGACGTGTACGTATCTGGTACCAATGGCATGTCAAGACGTGTGAAGTGGATTGGCATGACTACAATAGATCTAGTCAGAGATGAATACATACATGTACATGTAATATTCATGGGGCAAGACTCCAAGGTGATGATGATGCCGTACCGGTATCCATTGCATGATGTATGATCACTAACTGTAACTGTTATTGGTACGAATGGTGACCGTGATGTTAACTGCTGTAGTTTCTTATAAATAAGGTAAGGTTTGCACCCGCCCGAAAAAGTGCACGGAACGGCAAGCCGCAGCAATTTGACGCGTCCCTGGCAGCAAAGAGCCCCATAATCGATACTAGTAGCCACAAAAGTGTTACTGGTGCGACCACCGCAATCCCTACACTCCTGTGCTTTGTCTTGAAGGAAAGTCAGTTGTCGAAGGGTCGACTACCTATAAAAGCTACATCTCCTCAGGAACACCCAAAACTTTTTGGACTAGAATAGTCGTAGCGTGCTTGCTATCATCGTCTGAAAGTGAAACATCAACCTGATTCTGGCGGAAGCTTCAGCCACAGGATTGTGAAGGCGAAAGGAAATCCGTGCTGTTTGGCTGCACTGTGTCGATTGGATTGATTCAGTAGTAGTGACCCTCGAGTGTTGCCTGCCATGTCGGTACGTTCCAATGATATGAAAACAAAAGTGACGGTTGGTGGGGTTGTTATAGGATGTTGTTGCCTGGATTTGATATTTTGGTGGCACGGCGTGGACCCGCGGTTTTTTGGTGCAATTCATCCAGTCGTCTTCCCATGAAATGCTGAGATGCCTGTTGGTTGTGTGTGGGTTCCTGATCAACACATGCATTCTTCGAGGCACGCGGACTACTACAGTTGTTGTTGCTGCTTGCGTTGAAGTGGTGAAAGTGGAGTGGTCTCGCAACCACTGTTTGCACTTTGGTCTCGTCTATCGTAACCACTTGCAATCAGTCAGTCATTGACCCAAAGTGTCAACCTTGCAGTTCTTCAGAATCGATCGAATCAACACTGTCAGCCGTGTTGTGTTGTCATCAATCAAGGAATCGAATCGAATCCATCGAACTGTGTTTGCTGTCTCTGTGCTTGCTGTCTTGTCTGGCCACAATAGGTTTTCGCCATGAAGACCAATCGAAACACACCTTCTCGCCGACGCCCTGGTCTCACTTTGAAGTGTCCTTCTTCTCCCTCTCATCACATTCCTTTCCGACCCCATTACCCTTACCACTATCATCCCAATCAACATCACTTACCACACAATCATCGATCGGACACTCCCCACTCCAAATCAACCATTGATGGACGCTCCATGCTATCACCCTTCTCGCCTGACATTTCCATGGCGGCAAACAACACATCAACTTCATCATCACCACCCATGGTCTTTGCTCCCATTCGATCACCTCCGGAAAAACTCATGGAACACTTCAACTACGCCGTGTCGCTTCAACGATCCATGATGAAATACGATGGACAACACTACACTACACAGATCTCGGCCGATAAATCGGCGGACCTAGAAATACTCAGTGCTCTCGGCGAGGGCTCGTTTGGGGCCGTTTACAAGGCAAACCACATACCCACGGGCGCTACCGTTGCCGTCAAAGTCATTCCCAATGCGGGAAGCAATCCCAGCGAAGATGAAAAAATAAAGGGAGAAATCGACATTCTCAGTAGGTGCGACTCTCCTTACATTGTCGGATACTTTGAATGCTTTATCAAACCACCGACCAACAAACCGGGAGAAATGTGGATTGTCATGCAGCTATGTGAAGGAGGAAGTATGGTCGATCTTATCGAAGCCAGTGCGGGCTTTTTGTTGCCAGAGGACTGTGTGAGAGCTGTCTGTGCATCCATTGTTTTGGGATTGGAGTACTTGCATGGTGTCGCCAACGTCTGCCATCGTGATATCAAATGCGGTAATGTCCTTCTCACACAAGATGGACACGTTAAATTGGCGGATTTTGGTGTGTCGGCGGAACTCACAAACACGATCAATAAACGAAAGACTGTAGTCGGATCTCCCTATTGGATGGCACCTGAGGTCATTCGAGAGTCTCACTACGACGGACGAGCGGATGTCTGGTCGTTGGGAATCACGGCAATCGAAATGGCCGAAGGAGCACCGCCACATTCTAATCTGCATCCACTTCGGGCCATCTTTGTCATCCCGACGAAACCGGCTCCCACACTGGCCGATCCCGATAACTGGTCCCCCGAAATGTTGGACTTTGTAAGATGTTGCTGTCAAAAGGATCCTAACCAAAGACATGATTCGGCGCTGCTCAGTGCTCACCCCTTTGTTAAACAAGAAGTCATTGCCTTGCGGGCCATGCACTTGGGAGAGGTCCACACGGCCAATGCTGATGCCAGAGCCAAGTACAAGAAATTTGCAGCAGCACAAAAACGAGCACCAGGGTTGCTGGCCATTCGGAGAGTAATGGAGCAAATGAAAAAACAAATGGACGGTGTCGTGGAGAGACGCGGCATGGGGAAGGAAGGAGATTCAATTGCAGCGAATAGCGAGAACAAGCTTACGGCTGGTTCGGGAATTAATGTGGGATCACTGGCGGATTCGGATTACGAAAGTGATGTTGGGACTGTGCAGATCAGATCTTCTGGGCATCAAAGCAACGATGGAGGGACACAACCCAGTCTCAGCGCCAATCTTAATGGCTTGAGCAATGTCATCCCTGCAAACCAAAGCGAGCCATTCATTTTCACTCCAGACTCGGAACAATACAGATTTGCGAGTGCGCCTCTTGATATGACTCCAGAACTTCAGCACGATGAACAATTTCAATCCGACCTGCGGGCTCTGGCCAAGACGTTTGAAACGAAATTGGCAGCTCTACGTGCCGCACATGAATTGGCTCAACAAAAACTCATTGCAGATGCGAAACTTCGAAACCACATGCCCATGGACGTTCGTGACTTGATGGACAAGGCAGCAGAACGGAACCAAAAAGAACAAGCTAGCCGACACGCCATGAAAGAATCGTCGCACTTGACAGTGATACAAGGTGCCATGAAGCAGGTCGACGCTGAAATGAAAGCGCTCGCGAACCCCCCTCCTCCTCCCGAACAATCAATGAAACAGTCACAAACGGAATCCGAATCGAATCAACCATAAAGGTTGCTGAAAGAAAGTCGTTGCAACGCAACAACAACTGATATGCGGAACTGCTTCTGATAAGTGAATAGAGGAATGAAAGAAGCAATCTCCACATGGATGGTGTCTCGTGAGCTCTGTCGTTCTTGAAGGATTGCAGGGGACTTCACTGCGTCATTCCATTTCTAGATGATCCCATCAATTGCATGATCATCAAATGCGTGTTTTACACAAGGCAGCCCTCGTAAATGAATGGTATATTATAGTCCATTACTGCGTCTTTCTGTATATGTGACTGGGTGTAGTGGCGGATTCGATTCGATGCTGCGACGGATGGCGGATTTCTTTCGCGACGCCCCCGCTAAGCTAAGAGATTGGGATGAGCCTGCTCATAAGATATCGCAGCTCTGGGTATCACTAATTTACTTTGGGTCTACGGCAGGGAGTTGGATCGCGGCGTTTGTTGCTCGATTTCGCTCATGACAATTTGAAAATTGCCACTTCACCCTTCCAGCCCAGCCTCTTCATAACAGTTGGGCTGTTGAATGGCTCGTGGTGCGCCCACAAAGAAGATGTGGTGGTATTTGTTAATCCTCAAAGAGGTTCATCATGTCTTGTATCAATTCAATCTCTTTGGTCAGTGTAGCCCAGGGCAGCCGGAGGAGTTTTCCCATTTGCCCTTTTGAGCTGCATCACACAAACTTCTACACCAAGTGGATTCTAGCTGGTGCCTTGAGACTGCTTGCAACTTCGGCGACAAGGACAAGATGGCATCCTTGAACTCTTTGGCAGAGAGAATAATCTCTGTGATGCCACTATCGCAGCTTTGATGGGGATAGAAGTGTTTGCCTTGGTGCCAAGGCAAACAGTCCGAACTGGCTACCGGTACCCCTGATGCCGCACTTGGCAGTACTGAAGCTATATGTTTCAATATTTTGCTACATTACTTTTTCGTAGGCTATCATTACTAGTATCTGTAAGGGCTTTGCTGATCGTACCCCGAGTCCGGTTGCATTGGCTCCATGTCCTCTTCATACTTTTGTGGTTGCTGGTCTGGTCCCCCTGTCTCCGAATAATCAGCAACAGTCTGGACCGCGCCGTCCCATACAAACCGTGTCATTGTATGACATTGCAAAAGGAAGAATACGGAGTGAAGGATATGAGAAATGTATAATTCTTTTGGCACCAGATTGGAAGTCGAAAAGAGGAGTTTGAAGACGTGCAGAAAGATGAGGAATATTTCCACCAATTTGTCGAGATTGAGAATAGCTTTCAGTCTCTTCTTTGATTTGTGTCCTGGTGAGCTGACGGAAGCAACCACACCAGCCAGGTTGGCAATAAAGAGGAGTGTAAGAGGAAATATGCAAAGATGCCGCAGAATTCCTGCTTTCAATTTTTGATCCACAACCTCGTACAAATGTACGTTGCGCCACATCATAAAGAAAAAAGTCAGGGATCGACTTGCTTTTGTGACGGAAACCAAAAGCTTCAAATTTCCTTTCTCATCTCGCGGTGATAATGATGAACGTTGCTCTGCAGCATGTTCTAATTGATAATTTCTCCAAGTGTCAACTCTTTCTTGGAAGGTCTCTTCTTGGAATGGGACGTCATTACCCGCGCTTGGAGCCTGAAATTGTTGCTCCTCTTCAGGCGGCGTGTACTCGTATTGCGGTTGTTGTTGTTGTTGCTGATGCTGCTGCTGTCGCTGTTGCTGTTTCTCGTAGTCTTGAGGTTGATATGGGAATTGCTTAGGTTGAGGTGGGTCGTAGGATGCAGGATCCGAGCTTCCTCCTCGAAATGCTGCTGTTGTGAATTGCTGCCATCTTCGATGCTGCTGGTTGCCTGCATCTAATTTTCGATGCCTTCCCAATACCGAAAAGCGAGCTGCTGGCGTTGCAACCGCCACCGCCAGGCCCGCAAATGCACTCAATAAAACCATTCCTGAAGAATCTCTGCGGAAGCGGATTCTCGCGGTCTTTGGATGTGTCATTATTTTGGGTGGCCAACAATATTTTAAGCACAGAGACTCTTGATCACGTCCTGGCTAGATCTAGGTAATCCTCGATTCGAACAAAAAGAGTTTAGCGCACTCTAATACAACAATAAGCTATAGCTATTCTTCGTTTGGTTGGAGTCCAGTTCCAAGCATTGTGACAACCCGATCATCGTCGAAACCAATCTAGCACATCGGTGCCAAGAAAAGATCCAACAATGCCACGTGGAATAGATTCGTGGAACCAAAGCAGCATTCGATTCGATTGAATCGAATCATTCTGATCATTCGACTCAATCGAAGAAGATCGGATGCAATTCGAATAATAATACTTCGGCTGCGCCAGAATACCAAGGACACCACGAGACCACAATGATATTGTTTCAGCCCCATTTCCAAACTTTATGCTTCCTGGATGGGAGTGACGAACCAGTCTAGCCACATGAATTTCTCCAAGGCTCTACCTGCATGACTGATGCATCGAACGATATCGGATAAAGCGATTTTGCCCACGGCATCGTCGCCCAGTTCCTCCATCAAAAAGTCCGGCATATCCTTCCAAACACACAAGTCCTTGGGAGTACCAGCCCGTGCCTTGTCTCTCAACAACTCAATGTGGGCCATATTGCCGTCGCAAACAAGAAACATAATTTCGTCGGCCGATTCGGATCTGGCATGACCAATCCACTCGCTCACTTGTTCCTGCGTAATGTTCAACGCCTCGTGGTGTTCCACTACTAGAGCGTGTAGATTGGCTGGGTTCTGATTGGCTAGTTCTCTCCAATTGTGGATGGATCCCCACTCCACAAGTCCCTTGACCAGTGTGGCCACTTGTGTCGGATTCTGCGATTGGGAGGCAGCAGCAATGCATTCGTTGAGTTCATCCTCATCCAATTCGGATGGCGTGTCAATCTCCCATGCAGCATTCTTGTCAACTGCTGCCATTGCTTGTTGCTGCCGCTGTCGTCTATTCATAGCGGCACTGGCAATGCGCTCGGCGCGCTGCTGTCGATCGAACTGTTGTAAGTTTTCCATTGCTTGCTCGACTTCATGAATGACTTGTTCTCCACGTTCTTGGTTTTCTTCTTCTTCGGCGTCGTCCTCTTGTTCTGCTTGCTCCTGCCGAAGATTCTCCATTGCTTTGGCGGACAATTGTTCTTTTCGTCGCCGCATAAAGGACCAATCGCACTCCGGCAGTAACTGTTTGTAGGCCTCTTCTACTGAAAATGGTTGCCATGGCGAAGGCGTATCCTGTTGTTCTTGTCGTTCTTGTTGAAGAGTCCAATGTCGATGTGCCAACGACCACAACAAGCGCGGACTGAGCAATGCCATGTTTTGAGGTCTCAATCCGTCGGGTTCCGACTTTAGGATGGCACGAATGACTTCTTTCAAGACATCCTCTGGAATGAAATCCACAGTCTCTTCAAAGTATCCTCTTCCTTGCACTCCCTTTTGGAATTTGACGTGCAGGCTGTTGTCATTGTGTTTTTCCATGAGAACGGACTCCTGAGGCTTCCTCGACTCTAGAGCAGCCAATCTGGCAACAGCCTGTGTTTTTTGGTAGGCACTGTGAACGGCACTTTTGATTCCCTTTCTCATGATTCGTCCCGTGGATCCCTTGTCATTGAGAGCCCCCAAGAGACCCGTAGAGATATCTTCGTATTGATGTGGCTCTGCTGCTGCTGTTGTTTTGGTTCGCTTGGCACTGCTGGTCTTCTTCTTTCCAGCAGCAGCAGCTGCCACCACAGCACCATCCCCCAATCGTCTTCCTGGTGCCGTGCTGGTGAATGTCTTGACACGTTTGGGTTGTCGATTGATGGCGGTTGCGCCACCAGAAGCCCTCTTTGCTGGAGACTTTTTCGTTTTGGATTGTTCTGCCTTCATGAGTTTGTCCTGCTGCTTGATGACTTGGGCAAACGAGTCAGTGGCAGCTTGAGCGGCTGCTCGTTTGGATCGTCTCGTCGTCGTCGTCGCAGCGGGAGAAGCCACGTTTGTTTCGCTTTCGTCGTCATCGTCGTCGTCATTTGTGGCCTTCTTCTTTTTGCCCTTGCCGGTTGTCTTTTTGGGGGACTTTTTATTAGATTTGGCAGTCTTGTTGCTGTTGTTTTCTTGTTGATTATTTTGCTTCTGGAGGACCACTTGGACCCTTTCTTGATTGGAAACTCCACTCTTGGACAACAGCGTGGCATCGTCCGCACCGAGAGGTTTGGGAGGGAAACCGCATTTCAACGATTCTACTACTTGTCCTCCAAAGGCGTCTCCTGCCAACTGAAACAAAACCTGCACTGTATCAGAAGATGGATTCACCTGGATCACTTTGCGGCTGTTGTTCGCCGTCGAAACCAGGCAAAGAGACCAAGAGCTTGCCATCGTGGTATTTTGTCTTTCTGTCTTTCTTCTTCTGTCTCCGGCGTGTTCGTGTTTTTGCTTTTGTGGTGATTTCGTTGAAGCATCTTTTGGAGCTTGTGTGCGCCCTAAACACGTTTGGATCTTTGGCCTCGACAACAATCTTCAGAAGATCTTCGTCAGACTGGAACGGTCTCATTTCTTGTTGTCCACAACCAAGTTGTCGCAGTTTGAAGGAGAGACTCTAGCTAGCTACCAGGTAGCCAAATCATCAAAGGAAGTAATCTATCAAAAGTAATAGCAACCATGCCCGAACTTGAGATTTTGTCGACTACAGCTGTCACCGGCAAGGGAGGCGTCGTGCATCGCGTCAAGCATGCTTCGACGGCTACCAAAACCGACATGATATTTGCCATCTTCTTGCCTGGATCCATCTACGATAAAGACAACAAGACTCCTCTGCCGACTATCTATTGGCTGTCAGGTAAGTTATTGTCTGTCACAGGATCATTTTATTTTTAAATTATGGGTATCTTTTGCCTCTGACCTACCTCTGACCGTCTCTTTCCCACCGTTTCCACAACTTCCTATTAATTAAAACTAATATGAAGGCCTCACTTGCACGGATGCAAACTTTTGCCAAAAGGCAGGTGGAAATGCCTTTGCCAAGGCAGAAGAAGAAGGAATCTGCATGGTCATGCCGGATACTTCTCCTCGTGGCGATTCGATTCCTTCCGACGATGCCTATGATCTGGGAACCGGTGCAGGATTCTACATTAATGCCACCAACGCTCCCTGGGATAAAAATTATCGCATGGAAGAATACATTACGACGGAATTGCCGGCATTAGTCGAAGCGGAATGGGGTGTCGGTGTCCATGGACTCCGCAGTTTGTCCGGACATTCCATGGGAGGTCATGGTGCCATTACGCTGGCACTCAAGGCAACCCCGGGTACTTGGTGTAGTGTTTCCGCATTCGCCCCCATTTGTCATCCATCCAAACCCAGTCCCTGGGGAGAAAAAGCATTCAATGCCTACCTTGGTTCCGTCGAGGCGGGAAGAGATCACGATGCGACGGAATTGATTCAGAAACCGGGCAAGGCGGGAATCTACGATGATATTCTAATTGATGAGGGTACCAATGATGAGTTTGTGGCAAAGGGACAACTCTTATTGGAGGATTTTGAAGCAGCCGCCAGCACGGCTGGACAGAAACTTACAATTCGCCGTCAGAATGGATTCGATCATTCCTATCATTTCATTGCCGCCTTTATTGCCGATCATGTTGCGTTTCATTCCAAAAAGTTGCGCAAGGCACAAGGGGTCTTGGCGGCCAAGGACTTGAAAGTTACTGCCGAAACCTTGTCGGCGGCGAGTACGGCTGGAAAGCCTATTCAATGCAAGGCAATGGTAGCGCGTGCACCAAAACAACCCTTGACGGTCGAGACAATTACGGTGAATCCACCCCAGGCAGGAGAGGTGCGCGTGAAGGTTATGGCCAATGCTTTGTGCCATACAGATATCTACACTCTTGATGGTCATGATCCAGAGGGACTCTTCCCCTGCATTCTAGGTAAGAAACTTCAGATTGTTTTTGTGTGGGATCTTGTTCCATTGCCGCCTGAAGCTCAATGGAATGCGCAAACATCTTGCTTGAAAGGACACGAGGCAGGTTGCATCGTAGAAAGCGTCGGAGAAGGTGTGACAAGTGTCAAAGTGGGCGACAAAGTCATTCCGTGCTATACTCCTCAGTGTGCTGAAGCGCAATGCGTTTTCTGCATGAGCCCAAAGACCAACCTTTGCCCCAAGATTAGAGGAACCCAAGGTGCAGGTAAGGAAGATGGAACCTGCGATCTGTGTTCGCTGATGTATGTGGCTAACACCCTAATGACATTGTCGCACAATATCCCTGCTTTTAAATTACAAGGCTTCATGCCCGATGGGACTAGCCGATTCGTCGATAAGGATGGAAAGCCCATTTATCACTTTATGGGCTGCAGTACAATGTCTGAGTACACAGTACTGGCAGAGATCTCGTGTGCAAAGGTTGCCGACGAAGCGCCTCTTGAGAAAGTCTGCTTGTTTGGATGTGGTGTCGCGACTGGGCTTGGAGCCGTGTGGAACACTTGCAAAGTCGAACCCGACTCTAGCGTCGCCGTCTTTGGGCTTGGTGCCGTGGTGAGTAGTGTTGCGCCAATGGATTGGTGTTGGCAGTCGTGCTGCATACATGTACTCATTGGATGCTTTCGTAGGGATTGAGTGTAATCCAGGGAGCCAAGATGGCCGGAGCGTCTCGAATCTTCGCCGTCGATATCAACCCGAAAAAGTTTGATTCTGCGATCGCGTTGGGTGCTACTGATTGCGTAAACAGCAAAGACTATGACAAACCGATTCAGAAAGTTATCGCAGGTTAGTTTCTGACATTGCCTATCGCGTCCATCACAAAGACATCAGATGCCAGCATGCAGCTCATACAACTTCTTCCTGCGTCTCCCAGGCGAGCTGACCCCGTGGGGTGTCGACTATTCATTTGACTGTACTGGAAATGTTCAAGTCATGAGGGCTGCTCTCGAGTGCGGTACGTGTTGGCTGGCCAAAACGAACATGAAACAGCCGTCAACTTGCACTCACAGAATACCAACATTGGTTTTTGCTCTTGTTTATATTAACTAACCAGCCCACCGAGGTTGGGGCACGAGCTGTGTCATTGGTGTGGCAGCCTCAGGGCATGAAATCTCCACCAGACCGTTTCAGCTTGTCACTGGTCGAGTCTGGAAAGGTACGATGCGTTTCCGTGGTAATGTTGAGAATCCATTCCCCGTGTTGTGCACTCAACAAGTAACTTCTGTCTGTTGCAACCGCAGGAACTGCTTTTGGCGGTTGGAAGTCACGCAAAGATGTCCCACATCTCGTCGATAGATACCTGGCTGGCACCCTTCCAATTGACTTCTACATTACTCACCAGTTCAGTGGAGTCGACAAGACAAACGATGCCATCACTGCACTCCACAGTGGGGATTGTTTGAGAGCAGTGGTACACTACTAGCTAGCTTGAACCTGAGTTAGAATATTGTGGGCAGCTCTCGCCGGTCAAAGATGACTTCAAGACATCAAACCCACGTAAAAAAGCTCTGGATATGACGGGTGATGTGCAGTCAAGCCTTGCACACCACACATCACCTTGATTTTGATCGAATCCAGCATCAGAGTGCCTGTAGCTAACTAACAGAGAGGTAAATGGTCTCACAATCTTTAGAAGCAGCGTTGGAGGTTTAATTTAGTCGAGAAATGGATGGTGACACTACATGGCCGTGGTGGTAAAACATAGCAACCCGAGAAAACAGTTCAGGCTACGATATGAATGGTCAGTCTCAACAGAGCTATATGCTAAGCTGCTTGCGCCGCAATTTCTGTCGAGGCTTCGACGACTGCCGGAAAGGTATCGGTCAGCCTCTGCAACGTGTCAGGGTCTCCGATGAGCTCGTTTACAGCTTGCCCATGAACTGTCGAAGCAACCAGCAACGACGACTTCTCTGCCTTTTCGATTGGGTTAATGTTGTCCTTGACAATCGTGGATATCAGATCGTCTTCAAAGCAATGTGAAAGTACAACGACAATGTGCAACTCGGACTGTTCGATTGGTAAACTACCGCTTCGACTCAAGGCGTCCAGCAAATCAAATGCCTTCTTCTTCTCTGTTTCAATGACAGGTGTCCCAATGAATTCGGTCCGACTGGGAGTGAGCAAATTCTCCTTCCGCGTCCTCGTCCATGAGTCCCTGGCTTTGACAATCGTTGACCGAAGTGACCCATCCTGGTCGTGTTTCTCCAAAAGTGAATCAAGGAGCTTCGGTAACAATGTGAAATCACTTGCCAGTGATCTCTGAGACTTCATTGCGCTCTCAGGGCTGCCATTATCGCCGCTTTCATCGACCTCCTCTTCACTGGGTTCTGGAATGGAACCTTCCTGATATGAGGCAGACTTCTTTGGTGGTGCCCCCGCAAAGCTCTGGGAATGGGCAGAGCTCTCACTCAGAACAGCATCCATCTTGGCCGTGGATAGACTCCGAGCAGCTCTTGGCATCACCCGTTCAGAGCTGCGACTTGACGTTGTACTGGCATAAAATTCGTTGGAGCTGGGGCTTGAGCTCGGGGAAGCAGAGGGACTTCGGCTAGGGCTGCCGGAGGGGCTTGCACTTGGACTGGCGCTTGGATACATCTGCTCCTTCACTTCTGCCTTGCGTTTTTCTTCCAATCGGATCTCTTCTTTCGCTTGCTCAATCACATCCATCACAGCTCGAACATTACTCTTTACACTATCCAGCTTCACCGTAGCATTGAGGCTGCTGGACAATTCATGGTGCACACTAAGAAGATCGGACGGTATTTGGTATTCCACAAAGAGGTTCATCAAGTCTTGCGTCAATTTGATTTCTTTGGTCAGTGTATCTGAAGGTAGCCCAAGGAGCTTTTCCAATTGTGGTTTAAGCTGGATCACACAAACTCCAAACAAGCTCGATGCTAGTTGACTGGCCCGAAAGGCCTTTGCAAATGCTTGCTGCTCGGGCGACAAGGATGAGATGGCATCCTTGAACTCTTTGGCAGAGGGAATAATCTCTGTGATGAGTGGGATAAGCACTTCATCCTTGTTTTGAAGGACAATAGCGCTGCTTGGCTGGAACTTGTCTGGTCCCGCCATGGTTCCCACAACTAGAAGAAAGTTGGAGAATTGATGTGCCCGGGCAGCTAACCGGAACTGGGATTGCCCACTGTGCACCCCAACATTGAAGCGATGCTGGAGCCAGCCATGTAAATATCGATCACCTTTAATTTCAACCGATGTGGCGGCATTTATGGGGATATAGATTGATGACGACTCGGGATTGTCGCTTTGGATCTGCCGTACGAATGTTTGTGCCGGATCATAGCTGACTGTAGTGTCCTTTACTGTGGGGCCTTCAATAGAGAGAATGCCACTAACAGCGCAGTCAAAGACCAGAAACATTAGACAGGCTAGCTAAGAAGCGATACAAACACGACAGAACTTACTCGGGGTGGTGATTGGGTCGTCGAACGGCATAGGAGAACAACTTGGGAGCATAATCCGATCCAAACAGCTTTTGGTAGTGGCTCCTCATGAAGGATTCAAAGTCGCTGGCTGTCAGCTCCTTGCCAATGGCTCGCTTGAGCTGATTTTTCAGAAGGTCTTCAATGTAATTGATGGAGTCTCTGTATTGAAGAACCAACTGTTTCAAATGAATCGAGGCAACAATGAGTTTGGCTTCCACAGCGGAAATCAAAGTGGTGGGATCGTTATCATCGAGTGTTGACTCTATACGATTGTTTGCTTCGTCGATGCGCCGAGCCTGTTCGTTCAAGAGTCTTCCAAGGTCTAGATCCGACAAGACGGTGGAGTTTTCCAGCAATGGCAACGTAGGGAGGAAGAGAGATTCGGCGACCTGGTGGTTGTCATCCATAAAGGATTGGTACTTTTTCGATTGAGCAGTTGTGTAGGTTTCCATCCGTGCCACAGTTCCCTGAAAGAATGTCACCACTTGGCTCGCCCAAGCCTCCATCACTAGCAGGAATTTGACAGCGGCATCCACATCTTCATTTCTCCTGGGTGTCTTACAAGTCTTGTTGTCATCTCGATTGATTGAAAACTGTGACATCTTTTCTCGGGATATCATTTGCATCAGCCAGGTCAAATTGATATCCGAAGGACCATAGTTGGCAGTTGTTTCGTCGGTTGATGGTGGAGCTTCCGTACCCATCTTTTTGCTTCCCGAAGTGACAAAGGTTCTCGACGAGTTTCTAGAAAGCAACTCGATGGGATGGTCCGTGTCAGCACCAAAAAAGAGCACCAATTGAATTTTGAGGCCAACTTTCCAGTGACGCTGCAGGACGGTCTCTCTGATTTTGGTCTTGACAGTTTTGGTCTTTTCATTGTTTTTACCTCCCCAGAAAGAAGAACCTTCGGATCCACTTTCCGTAATTTCCACTTCTTCCACTTCGTTTTCACCGGTCACCACACTCACTTCTTCGTCCTTGAGGAAGCGTGTTGTTTTCTCCGCCTGGAATCTCATGGTAACTGATTTCTTGTCGTCGTGTACCTTTGTCCAAACCTTGTCGAAAACGTCCTTGGTGAATCCTAGCGAAGCCTCCAGGGTATTCATTTCGGCTGCAATCACAGTATTGGTGAGGAACTCGGCCAAGGCATACTTGTCCTCGTAGACATGGTCCTCGTCTTGGGCAAGTCGTGGGTGTCTCGTGGTTTCTAGAATCTGCGCTACGCTTCGCATGGCCTTTTCGACGGAAGAACGGAACCGCAGTTCCTGAAAATAATCTTCTTGGTAACCTGCCTTGGTCAAGCCAACCAATGAGGACAGCAGTGGTAAGAGAAGCAGGAGGCGCTGCAAAGAGTTGGACATCATTATCTTCTACATGTACATGTACTTTAGTCGAGAAGCATTGCCACCGGTGGAGTTTTTTGGGAACATTGCGCTGGGAAAGTAAGTGTCGAGAAAGATCCATCCAGTCGTGCTTGCGAACTAAGATTCGGTCATGTTCGTGACTCACGACTGCTCCAACAAGAGTGACAGTCACAGCGGTCACTCAAGCAGTCTTCCCACTTCCCACGATCTTTTGCAACATCGCGCTTCTACTTGGTTCCAGTTTTCTGATCGGTATCTTTTTCTTTGAAATCTCCATCATTGAAGGTGTTGCCAGAAAAGGTTGAAGCGAGAAAGAGTTTGAAGCGAGAAGAAGATGGGAAAGTTAAAGCACGCTTGGCCAGATAAAGGAGGTGGGGACAGCGGCAGCACTCCCAGTACTCCTGCGAAGAGTCCAGCTCGACCAGGTGGAGGTGTTGGCAAACTCAACAAGACTGGCTCTCCCTTTGGCAATAAGTCCACTCCTTCGACAGGTAGTTCGAGTGGTAGCAGCACTCCTGCTGCCAAGAAATGGTCTCCACCATCCTCATCGGCAAGTCGCTCGAGATCCCCGGGTCCTTCCGCTGTCAAGAGCAAATGGAACCCACCCAGTTCTGCCGAAAAGGCTCGATCGATATCGCCCGCACCCGCCAAGGTAAAAGGTGTCAAAATCAAGGCAGGAGCCTTCACGGCGAAAGGCGAAGAGGACCGAGGTGTCAGCGAAGCGTTTATTGCAGGAGAACTGATTGTCAAGGATGGAGAAGTCTCCATTGAAGAAGTTATTACCAACCTCAAAAAGGAACCTTGCTTCCTCGAAAAACTGGTGCTGGTCAATGTCAAGGGCATTGATGACAAGTTTGTCAGTGTTCTAGCCAAGAATCTCAAGGATATTCGACACTTGGACATCTCCAACAATAGTGAAATCTCGGAATCGCCTCTCATGGAACTCGTCACGCAAGCCTTGGAGTTCAGCAGGGTAGAGACCATCAAGCTCAAGGGAACCGCCAAGATTTCCAAACCAAACTGTGACAAGATTTCCAAGCTATTGCAAAACTGTCATGTCATTGATGACTTGGAAGCAGACTTTGCAGAGAAACCCGCCAAGTTCGATTCCGCCATTGAGCGCAATCGAAAGGTCAATGGATACGCTGAACGCATTAAAAAGGCAAACTCCACCATGGATATGATCACCCGACGATTGTCCGTCCGAGATAATGACTTGGTCACCACCATGATCAAGGCAGAAGAAAACGATCCCTCCGTCAAGGAAATCAAAATCTTTCAGGATCCTCGCTTTGCACACATACAAAACACCCTCGTGGTGGGTTTTGCCGAAGGCCTACGATCCAATCTAAACCTCAAAATTTTGATCATGAAAGGGCTCGATCTTGGAAACATCTTCTTGTCGGGACTGGCCTCCAGCATCGAGTGGAACTTTACGCTAGAAGTGGTCGACTTATCCAACAATGCATTCACCAGCGATGGCATGTCCGAGTTCTGTCAAGGCATGGCTCTGAACGAGTCCATACAAAAAGTCGACCTCCGACATCAGCATTCCCCCGTCTTTAGTCATTCCGAAGAGATTGTGGTTAATGCCCTCGACAAGAACCATCATGTCAAGGAATTCCATGTTGAATTCAAGACACCCGAGATGGGAAAGAAGGTCGAAGTCATCATTGAGCGCAACAAAAAAGAAGACAAGACCATTGACTACGACAAAAAGCTGATTGAGTTTCTCAAGCAAGAAGCCGACACGGTCGAGGAGCTGGCTGAACAGCGCAAGCAAGAGGCCAAACCTTTGGATATTCCAGATGATGATTGGACATACTACTACGAGCTGGAACAGTTAGCGAATCAGTACAAGTGCCGTCTCATCAAGGATGGTGGCGACAATGCCGAGAGTGGAGATGAGGCGGAACCCACCGAAAGGCAAACCATGCGAAAGAATCTCAATTCCAAGAGGCGGCCCAGTAGAAGTTTGTCGGATGCGGGTGGTATGAGCAAGAGTGTGAATATCACTGCCACACGGTTCACCGGTGACGGAGCGTTCTTGACGGATGAGTTTATCACTCAGTTTCTGGTGGACAACGCCGAAGACAAGAGTGTCACATTTGGTAAGTTGGCTACTATAGCGGATACGCTGGATATACATATTCAGACTGACGACCAAGCGCTCACTTTTGCTGTTTCTCGTTGCATCTATTCAGACTTTAGCTGTCAGTTCAAAATGTTCAAGAGATTTCCCGTTGAGAGTCCTGACCGTCGCCACATCGTGACCAAGTTCGCGGATACGATATTGGATCACCCGCGTAGCAAAGAGATCACGCACATCAACATGTCCAACTGCTTTCTGGGCAATGATTGGCTTGTCTATTTTTGCGAGAAGTGCGAGAAGGATTCCAAATATCTACCCAAACTACACCTTTTCAACCTCGAGACCAACTTCATTTCAGAGTCGGGTGTGGTGGCACTGGCCAAGTGCATTGGCAAGCAAGGTGTCTGGAAGTACCTGCAAGCAATCAAGCTTGAGAATCAAAAGTTCTTGTTGAGCTCCAAGGCCGAGAATGAACTTGCTAAGGCGCTTTATGTCAACCGCGGCATTATCACTGTCAATCTCCGTGTTCGTAACATCCACGAACGTACCCGAATTGAGAAGTATGTCTACCGCAATACAGATTTGCTCCGTCAAGCCAGACGCAGGCACAAGATCAAGACAGGAACCCTCAAGGAACGCAAACGCAACAAAATGGAACAGTACTTTGACAAGATTGCAGCTGACGACCCAAGCATCACCGAAGTGGAGCTTGTCGGAGATCAAATCTTCATTGCTTTGAACAAGACTGAAAAGGTCAAGGCCGCCAAGGCGTTTGCTACGAACAAGCACGTGACAAAGGTGAAGATGACGCTGCTCAAGCTCGACGACGAGTTTGGGGTGGAGCTCGGCAAATCACTGGAATCTAACTCAACCATTGAACATTTGATCCTGGAAACCAACAACTTTGCGGGAGATGCAATCAAGGCCATTGTTGGCTGTCTTGCAAAGAACAATACTATCGTGGAGCTTCAACTTCGGCACCAAAACAAGAACATGGCGTCGTCGGACGAGTCCCAAATTGCGCAATTGATGGGAGACAACAAGTCCTGCATCAAGTTTGGTGTTGATATCCGCCACATGCAAGCTAAGAATGATGTGGAAAAGAAGATTCGACAAAATCAAGACTTGGCCCGCAAGAACCGAAGGAAAGCACCCGCACGGACGAGGAGCAGCGAAGATCAAATCAAGTCTGTGGCCACCCAAAAGATTCTGGAACGAGTGATTAAAGGCGACAAGGAAATCACTGAAGTTGTGCTCAATGGCGACCGAGAATTCGTCAAGATGGAAGCCGTCCGGAAGAAGGAGTTTTACGACGGCATGAAGACCAACAAGGTGGTCAAGACTCTCACCTTGAATGACTTGCAGCTTGACAATGAATTTGGTGATGTCCTGATTGCAATTCTCAAGACCAACACTACCCTCACGTCCATCTCTTTGGACAGGAACTTTTTCACATCTCTTGGCATTTACACAATTGTCGACGCAGTTATCAAGTCCAAGAATGTCAAAAAGCTGTCCATTATGAAACCCCGAGCGAAGATATCGAATGATGAGTCTGAGCGACTGCTTGAAGCCATGGAAAAGGAATGCCACCTGCAGGAGCTCAAAATTGAGTTTCGTGACGAGGCCCACAAAGAAAGGCTTGCAAAAGTGCTCAAGTAAGCAGCTATGATAGCAATAATATCCTTAGAAAACCTTCATGACCATTTTTGCCATGACATTGCCGAGAGCTTGAATACGCCCGATAATTCTTTGTAAGACTCTTGTCTCCAGTGATGCACTCTGCTGTGAATTGACAGTTGAGTTGCTTCCCGCCACACAATGCAGATTGCATGTAGTATGCGTCATTGATTTTTTGCCACCATCCAGACTCTAATGCTGGTAGCAAGAAAGAGAATGGCAGCCCCCACAATGATACCAACGAGATTGGCGAGAATGTCCCAGCCATCTCCATGGCAAACCCCATTGGTACACCAGGGCCAACCATTCCAGATCACATCCGCAAATTCTTTGGCTGCCCCCACGACGAAGGAGAGGAAACTGGCCAACAGAATGCAACGTGTTGTGGACTGCAAAATTGTTTGAAAAACCGTGGTAGGTTGTTCTTGCTTCTCTTGACGATCCGAAGCAATAGAAGGGCTCTGTGTCTCCAACTCTTGCTTTTCTTCATCTGGTTCTGCATTTTCTGCAGAATGCTCATTCTGGGTGGTTGTCCTAGGAAAGAAACAGTGGTCGATGAGGGAGAGCCCTGCAAAGAAGAACCAAACCATCCCGAGACTCGCAAGGAAATGCCATAGCTTGTCCTTCGCCACTGCCATCGTCAATCGTCAACCTTGATTCAAATGCTCAGACCTGCCTTCGTTCCGGTGCCATGGTCGCCATGGTCGCCAGGAATTACGTTGTGATGGTCGCAAGGTTCGTGGGAGACACAACAGCTCCACCACTTCCAGGATATGGTACCAGTGGTACACGTACTGGTTACTGGTACCATCCGACCATCCGGCACTTGGCCAAAAAAATTTAATGGAACCTCTTGGAGCCTTGAAGTGGCTTCCGGAAAACTGTACTTTCAAGAGAACAATAAAAAGATTTAAGGATGCGAACTCACAGGCCCAAGCGAAGGCCTCTTTGAGGAGCATCCATCTCGATCCCATTTCCAATTGAGGCGAGAAGAAAAAGACCCAATGAGAATGATGAGAATGCCGAATTTTTGATGACGGACAGCGCCAAGACCATCCATCGATCCATAGATCCATAGAACCACTTCTGCTTGCGAGCTAATACTTGCTTGCTTCTCATTGACTCTCTCAAGCCAAGTGCCCTCTGGTTCCTTCCTTATTGTTAGGGATCCGAGCTGTGCAAATACAACAACACCGGCAACCGGCAACTCCGGCAACTCCAAAGTATTTTCGTTCAGTAAAACTTCTTTCACCATGGACGTCAGTATAGAAGTTTCGAATGGAAGCATGCCTCCACAAAAAGCAGAAGAAACCACGAGTAATAATACAGGAATCAACATTCCCAAGAACCAAGACGAAAACGAGACCATGGCGCTTCAAGCTGCTTTTCGACGACCCTTTGTGGTGGCTGTGGAAGAAGATGATGAAGACATTATTCCAGGACCACCCTTGCCATTTTCCAACCAACCTCCTCCTGAGAGTCCTTCCAATTCGAGGCGAACATCGGCCTTGACCAAACTCTTTGGTGGTGGTGGAAAGGGTGGTTCTTCGTCCAATACGACCTATCGATTGAGCAGTAGCAGCAGTGGCAAACAACAGTTGGCACTCATGAAACAAGAACAATCCCTCCATAATAACAACAACAACAATAATCATCATCATGGCGTCCACCGAAGGGTCCAGTCACTCCAACTGCCAATTCCGGCACCGGCCAACAGCCCCAACACTCGCAGTCTCAACTTTGAAACTCAACAACAGGGAGAATTGGATATCTCACTCACCGAACATCGAGTCAAGGGAAATGGCATTTTGGCGTCTCGTGCGGATTTGAACCTGGCACCCGAAGAGTTTGCAGCTGGATGCAATCTCTTGCAGGCGGCGGCTGCTGGGCATTTGCAGCGCGTTCAGGAACTATTACAAAAACGACCTCATCAGGTCAACTTTCGAGACTATGACCGACGCACGGCGCTTCATGTGGCGGCATCCGAAGGACACTTGCAGATTTGTCAGTATCTAGTATTGACCCAACATGCCAAAATCAACCGGTCGGACAGGTGGGGAGGAAGGTAGGTTTTGAACTGGTTCAGCTTTGGAAATGTGTTCCTTCGTGATGAATGCAAAAGATAATCAATCCTCATTGGCGTTCTCATTTTCTCTTTTTAATTTTAAAAAGTCCACTGGACGATGCTCATCGCCATCGACACCGAGAAGTGGTACTCTTCTTACGACAACAAGGAGCCATCACAGGATCGGGAAACCAATCGACAATTTTGATCACAGCGGCCGCCGAAGGGGATGTCGATGAAGTCCAAATGCTGCTCACGGCAGCTGGAGCCAAAACCGTAAATGCCATTGTGAGTAAAGGGGACTACGACAAACGAACGCCATTGCATTTGGCAGCATCCGAAGGACATGCACAGATTGTATTGTTGCTTTGCAACGCTGGAGCCAATGTGAATGCCGAAGATCGATGGGGATCAAGGCCTCTAGATGATGCTGTCAAGGCAGAACAGAAGGAATGTGCCAACATACTGCAAAGTCACGGAGCCAAGCAAGCACCACAATTATTGGCTCGAATGCAGTCTTCCTACCTTGGCGATAGCATTGATACATCACAAACAAGAAGAGAACAAGACAATCTCAAGGTCGACTTTGAAGAATTGGAAATGGTCGATCGAATCGGTTCCGGTGCGTTTGGAGAAATCTTCAAGTGTCGTTGGAGAGGAACCATGGTGGCGGCCAAATGTATCAAGAGTGCCAAAATTCGACAAGACTGGGTCAACAAGCGTGCCCTGGAGAGCATTGAAGAGGGAGCTGATGTCGACGAGGCTATGCGAATCATGGATGAAGCAGCAATGGACTGTGATCAGAAGGAAGAGGCGCTCATGGACTTTCGACAAGAAATCTCCGTGCTCAAATCGCTCAGGCACCCACACATTGTGCTGTTACTAGCCTTCTCCACTACCGAAAACTACGAAGTCATGATTTCAGAGCTCATGGAATGCTCTCTCTTGGACGTCTTTAAAGCGCATCAAGTGCACGGAACGAGGTTGGCCAAGAAGAGTGCGATTTCATATGCCTTGCAACTAGCCAGGGGGATGAATTACCTACACACATGGTACGTGTTTGCTTTCTTCGCTGACACTCGTGAGCCGGATAACACGATTTCTCACGTTTGTTTCATTCAGCAAACCTCCTGTGATCCACCGAGATTTGAAACCTGGTACGTGAAGATGGCAGTGATTGTGCTCTCTATAAGTCGAATCGAATCTTGGACTAACGCTTTTGTGCTTCCTTCGATCGTCGCGATCAGCTAATCTACTGCTCGATCACACCGGTGTATTGAAGATATCCGATTTTGGTCTGGCAAAAGTTCGACCAGACCCGAAAAAGATGGAACAAAAGGGGCGATTCATGACTGGCGAGACCGGAAGCTACCGTTTTATGGCACCTGAGGTCTTTCGCCACGAGGACTACAACGAAACTGTGGATGTGTATTCTTACGCTATGATTCTTCATTATCTTTTGGATGGAAGACCGCCGTGGCCAACGCTCAATGGTCTCGAGGCTGTGAGGCGCGCATCAGAGGAAGGAGACCGTCCAATCATTCCTCGGAATTGGGATCAGAGGCTTACAACCCTCTTGATGGAGTGCTGGGATGAAAACAGCAGTGCGAGGCCTCCTTTCAAGACAATTTTGCAATCTTTGGACACTTATTCACGTGCGACTTGTCTCGTTTGCCACTGTCTTCGAACGTAGACCAAGCAACAAGCCTCACCTTGTTTTCACACTTCTCTCTTTGTTCCAGGCGATGTATTTCATAATGATGACATTACAAAGTCAGCTCGAAGAGCCGACACCGGCTGCAATTGCACAATCATGTAGTGTCCTTGGAGTTGTTGACTCCGTCGTCGAGTACATGCATGGGCTGCGTGATGGTTCGTTGTCATTATAAGAGGTCGCGTTTCGCAGACACTTTCATGCTGTGTAACTGCAACGAGCCCAAGTTCAATGATTCGGGGTAATAGGAACTATCTGTCATTATTCACTTCGACTACACATCGCTCTTCTATCTATCTGTGTGAAGCTTGGCTACCGGTACGGGTATATCTATCATTGGATCCAAAGATTTGATTGATGCGTTGTTGTCCAAGGCGGCTTTTTTATGTGTGGCTACAATCAACACACACAAAAGCGGGACGCTGCAATTTCGCCGAAGGGTGCCAAGTGCCGAGACTGAGTCGAGTCACTCGACTCGTTTGGCCGCAGATCGCGGGAGTGGCAGTGAAAGAAAAGAGGCCTCCGGTTGCGCCAACCACGGAAATTGAAATGAGGGCTGTCAGTTGCTTGGCTAACTGGCGTGGGCTTGCTTTACTACTAGCAAGCAGCACTGCTTCCAGCTAGAGCTATCCTGACTTCAGCCAGTTAGGATTAGCTAGCTACCAAGCAACTCTCCCAGCTAGTGATGTGGCTCCGTGGCAGTTCTCCCAGCTCCTTCCCAGCCAATGATACCATAGCCCTAGCTAGCAGTTCTCCCAAAACTAGCTCCTCCCCAGTTCCCAGCTAGTGACAGCCCTAGCCGTCCTCTCAGATCTTCTCCAACTTCCATCATAATACCCAGTTCCAATCACAGTACCATGGCTCTGCTAAGCTACCGTACCTGGACCCGGAACCGTACCCTACCAAGCTAGAGCTACTACTAGTAGCTCTAGCTAGTATCTGGACCTGGAACCATACTGTACCAAGCTAAAGCTACTATTACCAAGACCCGGAACGCTAAAGCTACTAGTACCCGGACCCGGAACCGTACCTCCCCACATTAAACTCTCTCAGATCTTCTCCAACTTCCATCATAATACCCAGTTCCAGTCAAAGTACCATGGTTCTGCTAAACTACAGCCCATACTTGGACCCGGAACCGTACCCTACCAAGCTAGCTAGAGCTACCAGTATCGGGACCTGGAACCGTACTGTACCGATGAAATGGAACTTGACTTGTGTGACATAGCTGGAAGAAATGCTAGTACCAGGAACCTGGAAGCTATCATACTGGTATCGTACTAGTAGCTAGCTAGTACGGTGGCTACCTACCAGTACCGTACCGTCCCGGTATCTTGGTGCCTTACAGAAGGCAGCTCTGAAGGCTCAGACTTGTGGTAACCCTAAAAACGTTACGACGACAGACGAAAAACTAAAACTGGAAGCTATCGTACTCTAGTATCATACTAGTAGCTAGCTAGTACCGTGGCTACCTACCAGTACCGTGGCTACCTACCTTTACCATGGCTACCTACCAGTATCGCGGCTACCCACCTGTACCGGTACAAGTGGTACCTTACTGGTACAGAAGGCAGCTCTGAAGGCTCAAACCTGTAACCCCTACCGGTAACCCTAAATGTTACGACGACAGACGAAAAACTAAAATTATAACCTAGCCAACTTCGTGGTTGGCGATCCTTTTGTGAGTACTGGTGCTGTAGTTTGCAGATGCGAGCCCAGCTAGCTAGCTGCAGGAGTGGCTCATCAACTGGGCTGAAACCGATTGCCTGTCTTCTACTAGCTAGCTAGTAGTAGGCTATACTGTAGAGGGGATGGGCAAATCTTGCAATAGCCCTGTATTGTAATGGAGTGTGACTCGCCAAAATCAGTTAAAAAGACGAAATTCGTATTTTTGCCAGAAGATAAATTTAATTGGATTGCATTGGATTGGATTGGATTGGATTGAATTGGATTGAATTGGATTCCAAATGGTACTGTTATTTATATAGTCGTATGTCCGCACAAGGTCAACATGATGGAAAATCTTGAGTCATGACTTGAGTTTTGAGATTTGACTCAAGTCAGTACTCAAGTCAGCATCAAGTCATGACTCAAGATTTTGCGAAAACACCATTGACTTGAGTCAACGCCTTTTTGCCAAGTCGCACATTCAAATGATGGCAAAATCGAATTTTGTTTTGTATAATTTCGAAATGCACCAAAAAAGCACGAAATCGAGGAGAACAAGAAAGCACGAATGGAATCGAGCCACCCCGGCTAGTACGACTGGTACCATGTTGCTGTGTGGACAGGAGGGGTTCTCTTGAGTGCTGACTTGAGTACTGACTTGAGTCAAATCTCAAAAACTCAAGTCATGACCCAAGATTTCAGCCCTTGTGCGGACATTAGAGTAAACTGTAATTGAATGCAATCCAATCTAATCCAACGCAATCCAATCAAATCCAATAGAGAAAAACAGCCAAAGTAAAAGATTGGCTTAGCGCACACAATTTTTACAAAAACGCTCTAACAAATTCAACACAGAGCCATGGGCAAGTTTGCTCATCCCCTAGAAGGAAAAATATAAATGTTCTAGTAGCGCCGTTTAAAAATGAAATGTCCTATATGTAATTGACTTGAGGGCTACAGCTGCCCGGTGCCAAGCGAAGCGAAGGTGACCTTGACCCCTTTCTCCTCGCTGTCAATCTCAATCTGCTCTTTGATCTCCGCTTCAATATCATCGGCAGCAAAAACCATCCCCACAGCAGACCCACCTTTACTGTCGCTTTCCTCTTGCTGCTCGTTGGTTGGTGGCGGGTTGTTGTCGTCGTCAATATCATCGTTGGTCGCCAACGATTCTTCGACATCATCTGGAGTAAATCCGTGGACCGAGGACTCGACATTGTCCATTTCGTCCAAGCACCAGTTCACGCAATCATGGAGAGAAGTGAAGATATGTCGTCGCCCGATGGAATCTGCAAGGCCGCTCAGAACGAGTTTCTCCATAACCGTCACACCTGGGTTGCAAATGCATAGCTGTATGCCCCTATCTCGATACGTCGTGTAGATGTCTTCGAGAATGTGGAGGGCGCTCGTGTCAATGTGCGACACGGGGCTGAACTCGAGTACCACGTACTTAACAGAACCATTGCGCTCGATGAGCTGTTCTTCTGCCTGCCTTTCGTACTTGGATATTTTCTCTCGAACGTTTTGAGTGTTTGCAAAGTAGATAGGAGCATCAATTCTCACCATGACAATTCCATCGTAGCGCTCTGCTTCGGGATATTGCTTGATGTTGCGGTATACCGTGGTACCTGGCAACCTTCCCAGGACAGCGGTGTGAGGGTAGGCCGACTCGTAAGTCACCAAGAGCAACGACACGGCGACGGCAATGGCCAATCCAATTTCAACGCCCAAGAACATGGTTCCAAGGCAAGCAATTAACCAGACTGCAAAATCAAACTTGTGTACTTTCCAGAGATAGATCGCTTCGGGGTAATCAAGAAGTCCGAGCACCCCGGAAATGACGATTGCGGCCAAGACTGCAAGCGGCTGCAGAGTAGACAGTTGAGTGGAATAGTTGTTAGACATGCAATGGCCATTCGGTTAGTTAGCACCACACCACAGCAACGAACGTACCATCTGTTCAAAGACGGGAGTCAAGAAGAGCAGCACCAGCATGACGATGGTGGCCGTTACGATGCCGCTGATGCCACTCTTCGCACCGGCCTCGTTGTTGACTGCTGATCGACTGAAACTTCCAGTGACGGGATAACTCATAAACATGGCTCCGCACAAGTTTGCCATTCCAAGACCAATCAATTCGGTCGAGCTGTCGAGTTCATACTTGTGCTTGTTGGCCAGCTGTTTCCCAATCGCAATGGACTCCATGAATCCGACAATTGTGATGCTAAAAACGACCAGCATAAGGTCTCCTGCGCTCTCAATTGGAAACCATTGATCAGCTGTGACCGGAGGCAGGCCAACAGGGATTGCACCAACGACAGGAATACCCTTGCCCTCCAGATCAAAGATAACATTCAAGACGATGGTGATCGTGCACACGGTCAGTGGTCCAATGGCTCTCATCCATTTGAATTTGGGATAAGTCTTTCCAATGTGCTTCATTGTCACCAGGGCAATAATGGAAAGAATACCCACGAGGAACGTTTTGTAGTTGAACTCGGAAATGTTTGCAAAGATGTCTTTGAGCACCTTGTGCAGTGTTTTCCCTTTCACGTCATACCCAAAGATGTACTTGACCTGGGACATGCCAATGATGACAGCTGCACCAGTGGTGAAACCAGAAATCACAGCGTGGCTCAAGAAGATTGTGATGAACCCGAGTCTACCAACCAACCACAAAGCGCAATGTTAGTTGATGATTGATTGGGACCTTTTAATAAAGAACTGGTATGGAAGCCACGCCCAATGCGGAAGACTTACCGAAGAACACCCAGGATAATGTAGAAGCACCCAACTAGGAACGCGACCTGGATGGCCAATGTATTGTAGATTGCTTGATAGTCTTCATCCTCTGGAGAATGTCCCGTCTTTGCCAACTCATGGGTCAAACCAGTACTGAGCATCAGAGAGATCAAAGCCACGGGTCCCACGGCCAACTGACGAGAACTTCCAAAGAAGGCATAGGCATAAACCGGCACCAAGGCAGAGTAGAGACCATATTCCACCGGCAACCCAGCCAACTTTGCATAACTCATGGATTGAGGGACAACCATGACTCCCACAGTGCATCCTGCAATGGCGTCCTGGAGAAGAAGATCTCGGACCTTGTACGTCTTGAGCCACTTTGCCATGGGTAGGAATACCTCAAGCCAATCGTAGGCTGACCTGGAGGCAGCCTTATCATGCATGGCTCCCAGGGTTTTCTTGGGCCAACTGGAAGCGCTTTTCCTCTTTTGATCAGGGACTTCATAGCGTGTGTTGAATAAGCTGTCGCGGTTAATGTGCTCCAGAGTCTTCCGATGGGTGGTGACGAATCGACGGCGAGCCTTGTTGTCGTCGGAGGCAAGAGGATGGACGGTGACGGTTTGTTCTTCCGGAGGAGTAGAAACGCTCTGAGAAGTGCCGGTGGTAGCAGCACTGCCGTCTTTGGAAGCGGCTTCATCGTGGCTCGTCATGGTGAAGAAGAAGAGGCGGAATCGAACTGATGGTGGTCACGGGAAATAGACTTCCTCAATCGGACAATGATGAGATGATGGCAAGAATTGCACTGAAATATGACAATGGCGTCGTAACACAGACTCCGTTCTCGAAATGGCCCTTGTGTTGTCTTTCTTTCCAATCAAATGCGGCCCGGTTATATCAAATTGGAAGGTCCTCAAGTTACCAATCCTCCGATGGGGCCACGTAAGAAAAAGTGCGAAGGTTAGCTGAAGGTTGATGGATTGATGGGTCACGTACAGCCACACGGAAAGAAGTACTGGAGTACTTTCTAGTAGGGTTTCTACTGGACGGAAGACACTCAACCAGCAGCTGTAGACACGCCAAATTCAAGTACAAATATTTACCGATAGATTGGTAACATGAGGCAATGGCATACTTACTAATTGAACATTCTGAGTAATATACCATAGAAATTGAATAACTTCAAACTTACCAGTTAAACACGTCTTCTAAAAGCATTTCTATCATATTTTAACAAACAAGGTTGATCTAAAATTTCAATATTAATCGGTAGCTGGTATCTAAGACCTCTCGCCTCACCATGTTCTTTCAAATTGGACACTTAAAATTTGATTGGCCAGTTCAGCGTTCTCTTGTCCCGATGGGACATCGCAAAGAAGCAACCGCTTTTTCGCTACTTCTTTTGGGATAGTAAATCTGGCTGTTAGAAAGCTGTCATTGGCTCCCAAGATGCTGGATCCCGCTCGCGGCCAAAACGGTCTGGTGGATGACCGGATGGCACAAAGTTGTCTTCGATTGGGACAAGCTTGTCAAGAAAGATCTAATGGTACCTGGTACCACTACTTCAGCGTACAGCGAGAACTCGACCAAACGCAAATGCACCGCTTGAAGGTTGCCTGCAATGCCATGGTTGATCTTGTCCACGCGGTGCAGCCGCTCACATGACACTGTTGCTTCTTGTTGTCTTTCAGCTTCCCAGGGTTTCCGAGAAGCAAGAGCCAGCTTAGTTTGCCAATCAAGGCTCTCCAAACGCTATGCCAGACTTTATTAGCTGGTGTAGCAAGTGCATAGCCGACTTTAGCCAATCGGCAACCAGTTTTTGATGCCACTCTTTCAACGTTGAGAAGGGTTTTAAAAGCTGGCTGATCAGATTTGGGTACGTGTTATACACAGATTGCCACAAAACTGATTTGATGTGGCTTTCTGTGCTAAGCTTCTCGGCGGTGATGGCTTCAACCCCTTTCGGATCCAGCTGCTGTCACTGAAACTGCCACCTTGGACAACCGCTAAGCCGGTACACGATTCCCCGACAGCCATGCATCAAGAAGATTCAGTGTTCCTTTTAAAACTTCCTCCTCCTAGTCTAGCTAGCACGACCAAACCTGATGTCTGCCCCAATAGATAGAGAAGCAATCAAACCATCAACAGCAGTTTGGCGGAAGCAAATGTGTTGAAATGGCTCGCCGCAGGGTGTCAAGAGGAAATGCCCAGCAAGAAATGGTGACATCCACACCCAACCCCTCTGACTGCTCCCGGTCAGATATTGCAAGTGCCTCTGAAGATCACAAGAGCAAGGAATCGAATCGAGGAGCAAAAACTCCCCAAACAGCCAAGCAAACCTGAACGTGGAAAAAGAAGACTTCCGTGGAGCGTTGACGTGGATGCGCACAGCCGTACAGTACCCTTTCCACTCCCTCACTCCACGATGTGCATGGCACCAATTGGATCGAATGTCCTGTAACAAATGCAGATGCCACTAAGGTGCTATCTAGCTCTAATCTTGCTACGTTGCAATCTCTTGTCATATCCTTTGTGTTGTCTGGCACAGAAATCCATTTTCTTCGTTCAAGAAGGTATTTCGATCGAGCGATTAGCCTCACTTTTGCTCGGCTTCAATCAGACAGACAAGCCGCACTTTGATCCATTGGATAAGGCTCTTGCACCGAACCACCAGAACCGGTATGCATGACAAACATATTGGGTGCCAAATACTAGTATATCGGCAAGCTGGAAGAGTAGGGTCTCACCTCCTTTGCAGTGTACCTGCACGTCTTCGCTGCTGCCAGTAGGAAGGTACCCCAACATTGCGCTGGGCCTGCCATTTATGGACACAGTCGATATGGCTGCCATTTGGTTACACTATTCTGTATATCTGAACATGCATGGGGTGAGACTCCGCAGCGATCCCCTCCGAGTCCTCATTGCTCAAGTACGAGAGCTACATGTACTAGTACTAGTAGCAGTTCCCTCTCACGCATCGAATCATGCTTGGTAAGTTGAAGGCCTGCTGGAGCTATCATCTTGGTCAGCTGCTAGATAGCTATTAGGCTGGTCTCTACCGGAGTGACTAAAGTAGCGACTAAAGGAATACTTTAGGTGGTTGTTTAATTCAAGATTTAGTCATTATCCTTTAGTAATGGTGGTGTCTACCAGCAGATGACTAAATCTCGGACTAAACAATTTAGTCAGTTCTTTAGTCATTTGGACCTGTCTACCCAGCACTAAACAAATGACTAAACGGAAAACTACTGGACTTAAAGGACTCAAACAAGATTTAACAAAAGTGATCACTTGGTGGGCTACCAATATTCTATCAGCATGGTGGATTTAAAGGACTCAAACAAAGACTTAACAGAAGTGATTACTTTTTGGAGTTAACAAGACTTAAATCTCATCAGTCGATCGCACCTCAGCTCATCAGTCAATTGACCAAGCCGACAGTCTTCGGTTGAGAATAGAAAGCCATCCCGCACTCCATACTCTGCAATGAGAGATGGCTTTCTTTTCTCAACCGAAGACTGTCGGCTTGATAAAGTGCGATAGAGGTGCGATCGTTCGATCGTTTGCACCTCTACTATCGGCCGATACTCCTCTTCGATCGTTCGATCGTTCGATCATTCGATCGTTCGATCGGTTGCACCTCTACTATCGGCTGATACTCCTCTTCGATCGTTCGATCGTTCGATCGCACCTCTACTCTATCAGCTCTGTCGCGATGCTCTGATAGTGAGGCTGTGCAATGAGGGTGCTGTTCTTTTTTTAAAGTGCTGTTCTTTTTTAAAAAGTGCTGTTCTTTTTTTAAAGAGTTCTTAAAGAGGCTTTAGTTGGTACACTCACTCACCGACTAACCAGCCTCCGGTTAGTCGGTGAACGAACATATTGACTAAAGCCTTTAGTCTGTATCACCTTTAGTCCCTATGGTAGACACCACCCCCAGAGACTAAACTATCGACTAAACTATGAAATATGGCTTAGTCGCTACTTTAGTCGCTCCGGTAGAGACCGGCCTTAGTAAAGAGCTACTTTAGCTAGCTAGCAACAAGACGACCTGGACCGTCCAACGTTTTTCACTCAGGATTTAAAAAACTTCAAATTTACACGACTGGAAACAAGCCCTTAAACAAGCCCTTAAATCTTCAACAAACCCTTAAACAAGCCCTTAAAAAACAAACCCTTAACAACAAGCCCTTATGTTCTCAAAACAAACCCTTAAGCCTTCGTGTAAACCCCATAGAACAAGCCCTTATTAGGATCAAACAAGCCCTTAAATAAACAAGCCCTTAAAACAATCCCTTAAACCTTCAACAAGCCCCTAAACAAGCCCTTAAAAACAAGCCCTTAATTGTACTGGAGTCAGTCGTGTCAAGTTTTAAAGCCTGAGTGAAAAACGTCGAACGTCCTATCCTGGGTGGACTCCTGGTACTTGTCTGAAAGCTGCAAGACTCGCAACACTGCATGGAAACGCACTTCTTGCATCGGCATTGATTTTCTAAAAAACAGCATTTCGGTCACATTCTACACCTATTTTTACAATTTGAAGATAAACATGGTCTAAAAATGGCTTTGGTTGAAACATTGCTTGCATTTTCTATAATTTTAATAAAGTTGAATCGAGAAAACATCAGTTCTGCTGAGGTCATTCCTCCACCACCGATTTGCCCCTCACGTAAACCTTGCGTGGGCATTGGTACTCGTGCGAACTGCAGCCAATGTATGTGAACTCGTTGAAAACCATTCGGATTCATCATTCGCCAATCACAACAGCCAACCAACCAAGTGGTATTATCCCTCATCTTTCTCTCCTGTTATCACACTGTTAACTGGTCCACTACCGATATCTATCAATCTATCTTTTTCCTTGGCAGCATTCTCGTCCCCCAACGACCATGTCATCGTCTTCCTCGTCCACTGTGCTAATAGCAGGCTCTGCCTTGTTGATGGCGGCGGCAGCGTTTTCGTTGATTCCTGCGTCATCCAGCAAAACGGGTGGCATTGACGAGATTGATGAGGATCCCGCAGAGGACTACATCACAGAGCAAGATGTGTGCAAGATTTTCGATCGTCTCTTTATGGAAATGCAGGCAGTGTTGGGACAGCTCGGGCAGCAAATTCAGCAACTCCAAATGGCCGGACAGCAAATACCCGAAGCACAACTGCGACAGCTATTGAGGGGAGAGTTTGAGCGCGCTCTCACCGCGAAGCAGACTGCTGTCTTTGAAGACAACGACGTCGATGAGGATTGTCTGGAAGAGGCCACCTGGGAATTTTTGGATCAACCAGAGAAATACCCCGAGGCCAAGAAATCAATTGAACGGTTCCAGAAATTGTGGGAGAATGTCTCGGGTGAGTCTGTGATTGGTAAAAGACCAGGAAAACCAGACGAGGTTTCCAATGAGAGCTTCGAGATCTTGCCACCGGAAAAGCTCATTGAAATTGCGGAAGTTTACTTTGGTGCCTTGAGCGAGGCAATGCGAGGTTTGGTTAACAAATACAAGGAAGAAGGCAAGGACTTGTCATCCCCTGCGGTAGCACAGAGGTTGCAAATGGAATTTTCCGCCACGGCCAATGATTCCGGTGGAGAAGCTCTGAATGGACTAGGATGCTCCATGCAGCAATTTCAAATGAGCATTGAAGCTCACGCTGCCAAACCAGAAGTTGGAAGAGCCCTGGCTACTCTCCAAATGAAACAGCAGCAAGAATTGATGTCCATGGGCTTAGCAACCATGTAGTGTGTTACCAGGGACGTCCTCCTGTACATAGTTTCGCAGTGCTTTCATTTGTATTTTTGAAAAATTTCATTAAAACAATGCGTTGTTTCTCTTCCGTCCTCTGAGCTAAAACCCTGCGTTCCAGTGCTATTAACTACAAAAGATTCCTGTAAACCTGCGGACTTTCGAAATGATAAAGTACAAGGCCACCTTCACGGCGTTACCGGTATGCAAAGATTGTCCTACGGGCAGCTAAAAGGGACAACATTAGATCAGCAGCGTAGTTGCCAGCGATGTTTGCATTGCTATCTACGCTAGCTAGAGGATTTCCTTCCTGCGATGTGAACGGCATATTTGCGGTAGGGATCCGAGATGGCCAGTACGAATTCCAACGGATTCTTCATTGGGCTTGTCCAGCACAGGATGTCACCCTTTGCTTGTCCGAGTTTGTGACGATTTCATCCAGCGAGTCGAGTCGAGTCGAGTCGAGTCGAGTCGAGTCTCGCTTCCGATGTTTGGTACTGGCTCCGCTACCAGTACACGTACCAGTACGTGGAATAAAGTCCCTTGTAATACAAACCCTGGGAAACACACGACTTCCAGCATGCAAAATGCGAGGCAAGATAGTGGTTGGAATGACAATATCTCCCAATCCCAAGAGAGCCAGATCAATCTTTCCCGTTTCCTCACTTGGTGTCAGTGAGCAAGGGAACAAGATCTTGATTGGTCTTGTCGGCCGGTTGCACAGGAGGGAAATTTATCATGAGCTCCCTTCCTTATCCCATTATTGACTATATGATGAAGGTAACTTTGCACATACCATCTAAACTCTTGGTGACTGTGACCATCACATTCGTTCCAAAGACCCTAAGGCAGCCTTGGCTTTGCGGACGGCACACATCTCCGGGTTGCGTTTCCGCTCGTTAGACTCAGACTATTGTACCATGGTCTGGTACTCTGCTAGCTAGATGTCTAGATGTCTAGACACGAAATATTTTTACCGCATGCGACCAAGCAAGCTAGCTACCGGTAGCCACTTCATCATTCCGCATTGCTCAAGGCGAGACCTGGCTTTGTAAGCGTACAAGCGGAGGCATACAGTACATGTACGATGACGAGAAGTGGAACATCAAAAAGAAGCCCTCATCTCATTTCTCTGGATGTGTTGGGAAGGAAGCGGAGGAAGGAGCACAGTGCTGGTGTTGGGTTACTCACTCGGAGTACTGGTACGCTGGTAACAGTACTTGTATTGCACATTGGCTGCTAACCGGAGCAGCACCGCGCACCTGGCTCTGGCCCGCTCCCAGGAGAAAAAAAGAATACCACCCTCACAACAAACCAACCACTAACAGCACTCAATCTCACACTTTGAAGCTCACTTGCAAGCTCACATCTAGCCAGTCTACGGTAGCTACTAGGAAGCAGGAGCTTATCAAACATCAAGCATGACACGAGGACAGCTAACAAGGAAAAAATGGATTGGTACACTGCCGACGCTGTTGGTCGGCGTGATGTTGGGCTACACTGTGTTCAGTGCGCGTTTCATGCCGCACATTAGTGACCCAGCAGGTCAATCTTCTCGGATGACAGCTTGGGAAGGCGGACCACTTTCGAGACCTTCGTACTCCCATACCCTCAAAGCATCTCAGGAGCGAAGTAAGAAGTCACCAAGTGGCTCATTTCTGAGCAAGACATCTGGGCCTGGTTGGAAGATGTGGGATAGGTCGTCCGTTCTCTTTGCCAACATGAATTTGACGTGCAACTGGAATGACTACCGCCCGTTTATTCGAGGGGAAGTGGCACCAGCAGTCCCATTTTGTGCCCATCCTCTCAGCGACGATCATTTTGTCAGCAACAGCATTGTAAAGAAAGGCCGTCATGTGGAATGCGATGGACTTCCCACCTTGTTGGCCCGTGGTCAAGGCAATGACGCATCCAACAAAGATTCCCCCATTATTTATGTGGATGTTGGAGCAAACATTGGTACTTGCGTCATGCAGATGCTCTTGACAACCAATGCAACTATCTTGGCTTTTGAACCACATCCCTACAATCTGTTTGTCATGACTTCTACCTTCATGAGACTAGACGAAACGCTCCGTGACCGAATTCATCTCTTCCCAATCGCGTTAGGAGCAGAGTCAGCTGAATCAACAATTCACATGGCAAGTGACAACCGAGGGCATGCAGTTGTTTCCAAGGTTATCAAGATCAATAATAGGGCAACATTTTTGCCCCCAATGCCCATCCGCGTGGAGCCCCTAGACTCAATCGTCCACGACGGAACTCGTGTACATTTGATGAAAATGGATGCACAGGGCTTCGAATGCTATATCTTTGACGGGATGAAACGGGTGTTACGAACATCACGTGTTGTCTTCTTTGAGCTTGAGAAAAAAGTACTCAATGGATTTGAAAGATGTTCCCCACAGGTTCTATGGGACAAGTTCATGCAATTAGGATTTCAAATGCACGTGGGCGGTCCAAACCGGAAGGCTACAACAGAAATGCCTGAGAAGGGCAAAATCAATATCGTGGCCTTGAAGTTGTGAGCGAACGGAATTGACTGATTGGATGAGAATCGAACTGATCAAATGCGTGGAATGCGCTTTGCGGTATCGGAAAATGGACTAAGAAGTGGCGCAAAAGAATGAATCCACAGCTCCTCAAATGGCCGTGTCTCTATTAGTTAGACCTACCGGTACGGTAGCATCAGTGGCGACACTTTTTGCAAATAAATGTACTGGCTAGCTAGTTTCTGGTGATATCTTCAGCTCCAAACTGTGTGCCTTTTTGTTAGAGTTGATCCATGGTTGCAATGACAGCAATGTATCAGCTGTGCAGCTCCTTTGCCTTTGCTGCTTGAATACCGGTATGGTTTGGGTTCCAATATATTCGAGATCCGACCTGCAAGCTCCCTTATTTTTACGTACTCTCAACTTTTGCACCCTTGGGTTTAGCGCTACCGATACCTGGCAAGCAAATACTCCGTAATGGAAAAAATGTTCTTTTTTGGTCAAACTATTAATTAATGAATAATTAATAAGTCTTGAGAAAAGGAGAAAAGGAGGTTTGAAAGTTTGAAAAACCCGCAACCCGCAACACCACTCCCCGGTCACACCAACCATAAATGGAATTCAGATCTAGAAAGACTATCAAAAATGACTACAGTACCAGCTGATAATTAGGAAGCCAATTCAGAAGGCTTCTTCATTTTCAGCAGGACCAGGCTTCAACGTTGCAGGGGGCTTAGGGAATCTATTAAAAAACAAAATATTATATACCTCATTCCTCAAAAAGTATTTCAACAGAGTGAGAACCCCGCTGAGAGTAAGAATCCTTCTGCTTTTCCTGAAGTAAGAATATTCTGAATTCTGAACTTTCTTTTTTACGGTTCGGTCATGGTTGCAAAGGCTAAGCAATTTTCACCTTTTACAGAAATATTTTGGCATTTTGGCTAAACCAAAGTTAAACGTGGAGGTTTCTCATAGCCATTCCTAGATTTGTTGGGTGTACCGGCAAAATTGCTGTAAATCAAGGTTTCCAGTCTTGCAAACAAGGGGCACATGCGCACGGTAAGCGAGCTGCCGGCTGTATTGGCGGCACTGGCTGGTCTATGGAGGAATTGATAGCTTTTAGCTGGATCTTTTCTAGTTTACGGGCGCATCATCGGCTAAATTTTTTCATCCAAAGCTATGTCGCCAACCACTGCAGCATCACCAATGACACAAGTTTCCTCGCTATCAGCAACTAAACGACCAACCCGCTACTTCTGCTGAAAGATTTGTTGCCAGCTCTTTTGGGATGGCGCCTTGCCTGCAATAGCTCCTGCAATGGTGCCTACTACAGTAGGTCGAGCCTGCTTGAAACCAACATTCCAGCCTGAGGAGGTTGCTCTGGCTGGTCATGAGCGATTGAAGCCTTCTAGCTAGCTAGATGGAATGATTCAATCACAACAAAAACTCTAGTGTTGTTTCCTATTGTTTAGGATGGTAGCCTAAAGTAAGGAAGCCAGTTCGTCATTCTAGGATTTTTTGGGGGGCTGGAGGGGATTGCACTCCCCAAAACTCCAAAACCATACTGATTCGTTTAGAGTAACATATAAGACAAGTCAGCCATCCACTTAGCAGCTGCACATGCTACCATATGCAAGCCAAAAGCTAAAAGCTTGTTCTGTGCAGGGGCGGGGGTGTTGGTGATCTAGCTAGGGACTGCGTTGTCATGGATGACTGTTGGCAAGCATAGGATCCCAACAGATGGTGTCATCTCTGAGCCGAACACTCATCAGAGCTAAAAAGCTACCCGAGATTTATCAATGGGTTCTTCGGAGATGCCTTACCATGTTTGTCGCCAGTCTTTTCCGTTCTGTGCAAGTTACTGTGTACGGTTTAGTACTACCTTTCAGTGAGTGGATGACTTGCATCACTTTTCTTCAGTTTTCACTCGGAGCTGAGATTCCGAGCAAAAAGGCACAAAAGAGACAGGAACAACCAACAACAAACAAACAACAAACAGACAACAAACAGCAACATCTGGAGTGTTGCCGTTGTCAATCATTTTCCGAGTAGCTGAGGAACGAAAGCTGATCATAAACCGATCTGGTAAGAAGATAACGAGTTTTATTGTCCCATTTTTGTTGTGTGTGATACCTGTTGTCTTGTTCGCTGTTGGAGAAGTTTTCTGGCTGGTAGATTATCCGCTATCGATCTGCGGGTGCGTCAACCACAGGCTTTCGCCCTTGTCTTCCTGTGGAAGGGTATCTGAGGCTCGTCATTGCCTGGTTTGATTGCTCTTCATGATGAGGTTCTCGGCCAGCTGCATCCAACAATGGCGAGCCTTTCGGTCTCGCTGGGATTGCTTTGGCCTCTCAAGCGCGTCATGCGTCATGAAGGTGAAGAAAGTACTGAAGCCTGTTTCTCATCCTTGTGTCCTTAATTCTTCTTCGGCTTTCACCCGAATCTTCACGCGCTCCAGCTCATTCAATTTTAGAAGTGCTTTTCTCTCAACCAACCAGAAACCATTCTGTTCTCTTTCAAATACAGGCTTCCTCACGCATTATTGACGCCGTCGACGATAGTCCATCCCAAACCCCAAGCCACCCTTTCCAGAGGATCGGAGATTCCTGAGAGAGTTTCCGAGGAGAAAGAGTTGAGGCAGAGCTGGAGGAGGAGAACTCCCCAAGGATAAGGACCATGAGCGATCGTCCCGCTGAAACAGAGTATTCGGCGCTTCAGGCACTGCTACAGATTCGCTCGAACTCTTCTCAAGGCGAAGGAAGTGCCGCTGGAGAAAATGGCGCCAGCGATGGCACCACCAGAGGTGCCAATGCCACCCAAACTGTGTCGGCCAGTAGTGCGGCTGCTAATGCGGGCAACTTGGCCAACCTGTTGCGAATGAATGCTGATAACGCTACCCTTTTCCAACAGACTGCTCAGGTGTCTCTTAACCCAACGCAGCTGGCATCTTTGAGAGCTGCCGCGGCGAACACTCTTGGCCGAAGCAACCTGCTCCAAGCGGCAGCCTTTCGGAACCAATCCTTGTCGATGGCAGCAGCTGCTGCTGCTGTAGCTAGTCGACCCACTGCGGCCGCTTTGCATCATCACAGTCCTCTATTTGCGGATGCCATGGCACGAGATCCCTCCCTGGCAGCAGCCGCGGTAGTGGCAACAGCGCCCTTGGCTCCCACTCTGGACCTGCCTCGATCACCAGCACTGTCCCCCATCAGACAAGCCACTGCAGGGAGAGCCATGGTTTCAGGAGGAAGGAGCCCAGTCGTCGCACCACGTGTGGCCCCAATAGCAGCCAGACCGCCAGAGATTGCTCCTGGCACCCCCGCTGCTTCCCAACAAGACCAGGCCGAGATCAAGGTCCGAAAGGATGAAGTGGAGGCAGCTCTAAGATCCAAACCTCAGCGTGGCCGAAAGAGAGAGAATCTCAATGCGGAGGAACGATTGGAGTTGACGAGGACGAGAAATCGTGAACACGCCAAGAGCACTAGGTGAGTCTTCTGTGGTACATGGTGGTGCTATCGTATTTGTCAATCCGGTTTTTGTAGACTAACTAGTTGGCCTTGAATCACAGGATTCGTAAGAAGGCCAGATATCAGGAGCTCCTGGATACCGAGCAAAAGTTTCTGGAATTTCAGAATGAGGCGGAAATAAAAGGAAAGCGCAGTGGTTCCATGATGAAGTTCTTAGATGCTCGTGCTCGAATGCTGAATGAAGCTCTGACCAAGAGACACCAGCATGACGACGAGACTGAAGAAGCCAAGAACAAATCAAACGAGACTCGCGCCGTCAGCTTCGACCGAGCCGAAGATGAAGTGAAATTGGGAGCCGAACCACAAGACAAGGCGATACAAAATTTGACGCATGGACTGAGTGAGATTCTGGAAGACGTGAAAACCTTCAGGTTTGAAACTTCAGTGGTAAGCCTAGTGTGGATTGAACGAATGACTGCCTCTCTCCAAACCAATTGTTGATTGCTAAAAGGCTTCTTGTTGTCACAGGGTGATATCCTGGCACACGATCACGTCGCCATGTCCCAATTTGATGATTTTGTTGCTGGACGATTTGACGAGCTGTTGGGGAGAGGTTCTTCGTATCGATTCAGTTATCGTGTTATTGGGTCAGAAGACGGGGTTGCTCTGAACAAGGATGGAGCTGGCTTTGCAAAGGTGGATCTCGTTGCCAGCGAGCCATCCGACGCTGTAGCGTTTCCAAAGGAAAATGACAAGATACTGCAGTCGTCTGTGGTGTATTTCCAATTCGCCAAGGATTCGCCTCTGCTTAGCTCGGTATGTTGGTGTGTACTGAAGGACGTTTTGGATTCCTCGTCTTCCATCGGAGGCAAGAGCGAGTCCACCGCCAAGGAAAGCCTTGAGTCCCAAACGGTATACCCAAGCGTTGTATCTTTCGACGAGAATCATCGTGACAAGTCGAGGGAAATGGCCGTCTTGGGGACAGCCCAGCACGCGCAAGGAAGCAGTGACCATGCGCAGGAAGAGAATCCGGGCATGAGCATTTGAGCTGGTCTTGAAAAGGACTTCCGAGATATTTTTGTGTGGTCTCGAATTTTAATGAATTTATATTGACTGACATGCATCAGGGTAGATTCTCCGAGGGCTTGCACATGCTGCCTTGGCCATGAACGAGTGGCACAGATGTGCGATCAATTTTCTCCTGGTTTTGCCCGAATGGGATATTGTGCATATTGTTTTTAAAAACACGGTAGAGAAATAGACACGTATAAGATAAAAGAGTTCATGTCACCTCGTCATACAGTGCCTTGCGTTTTTGCCCTGTCTTGTTGGAAGAAGTGGAACTACAATTGACGGCTCTATGCCCCTTCTCGAGACACAGGTGGCAATGCTCGTGGTCCAAAGGACAATTCGCTGCTTTTTTGCATCCTTTCGGGTCGTAGTTGTGATAGCGGCACACTGGTTTTGTTGCGTCCAGCGGCGACATTACAAGGGGCGCTTGCAGAGGATGTCGAGGAAGTTTGGTGGTGTTGACTGACTCCATTTTGGCATGGAACCATGTCGAACCGTTCCGAACGACGCCATAATCCTCAATGACATCTGATGACGAATTGTCTTTGTTGCTGATTGTTGATGAAATATCCTTTACAACTTCCCGACTTTTCACCACTAGAACTTTGACTTGAGGGAACGACTCCAGGACCCAAGACATCATTTCGAGGACTCCTTTTTCCTCCCGATTTCCACCAATGTCCAGAAAGACTGCTGCAGGTCCCTTGGGATTAAACTTTCGAGCCACATCCATGGCTCGCTTGGGATCTGAGAGGGCATCCATTTTGCAAGCATGCCGTAATATCTTGAGGTCCATTTTCTGCAGCGCAGCAGAGCTAGTTTCAATCATGTCGTTGGAAGAGTCGAATCCAACCCAAGAGCGGCCATATCGACAGAGAATCACGGATGCCTCTCCTGTGGAGCATCCGATCTCCAACACGTCATCCGTCTCGCAAATTTGAGACGCAGCCAGGTGGCGATAAGGAATGGTGTCTGGGGTCAAGATGATGGATTGGTCGCCATGGGACTGGGTGAAAACTGGTACCAAACGTTTGCAAGAGACGTACTTCTTCCTTCGGTTACCATTGTTGGTGTCGCCGCTCTCCCAAAATTCAACCCACACGTGATCTTTGGCATCTGGCATTGGCTCCACCACTGTTCCTCGTTTGCCATCCTCTTTGGCGCTCTTGGGGCGGAAAAACACCACATCCCCCAACGAGAAAGTGCGTGGGGAGGTACGCGGAAAAATTCTCCAAATTCTACCGCCATTACCGGTATCATTGGGTAGCTTGGCAGTCTCGATAGTAGTAGCACTCATGAATGATCGTTGGAACAGGGTTGGATCCAGGTCGTTGCTCCCTTTGGGCAATACAAATGAGTTGCTTGACAAGCCACCAAGCCATCAGAATAATGACATCAAAACAAAAGGATCGTCATTGGCTCTTTGGCATCAGTGTGTCAGAAAGCAAAACATTCTGAACGTTCCGAAAGTCAATTTCGGGTCCAGTCAAACCTTACCGGTACATCGTAGCTCTAGCCCTCGAAAGCGAACGCGAGGACGGCTCAGATTCGCGCCAAAACCGTCAGAAACCCAAATCTTCGACCAGCGGCACAGCCGCAAGCCGCCACAACAGACAGAAAACAGAAAGCGGCCAACACGAAGAGCCAAATTACAAAGCAAGGCCAGTGATACCGTACGGTAGCCACAGTCGGAGTGGTTTGGAGTGGACAAAGCAGAGCGTACGCCGAGAGCAGAACGGCACTTTTGCTTTTGTATGTCAGAAAGTAGTCAGCATCAAGATGCCTTCGCAAGAGATCATTGAGGTCGTTGACGACGAGGAAGGAAATGGAAGTCCTGGTCAATCAATCAGCCCTGCTGCTGGACAAGCTTCAAAACGTGACAACGACGGCGGCAGCAAGCCGTCGAAAAGAAAAATCACCCCAATGACGAACAATAGCAAGCAAAAGGAGGCTCCCAAGAAGAAGGGAAAGCAACAAGCGGGCATTATGGGATTTTTCAGCAAGAAAAAGTCGCCGTCAACGCCATTTGCCAGCAATGACAACAGCAAGGAGCCAACCAAAAAGGTTCCAGCGGCCACTGCTTCTTCCAAAAAGCCTCCAAAATCCAATGCGGAGAAGAAGAAGGAGACTACAGCGCCTGAAAAAGGCACCAAGAATCAGTCAAAAAAGCCCACTCCACCCGTCGCCAAAACCAACACCAATGCCAAGCCCGCCAGTACTAGTAGTAGTGGATTCAACAAGTCTCGTCACTCCAAAATGGACTTCAAAGACATTGCGGTTGGAAAGCTCACTGGGAAAAAGTCCCCCGACGCGCTGGGTAAGCTGAACATGCCGAAGGATGAGAAAATGGCACCGCCAACCCCAGTCACAAAGGAAGAGTTGGACGCCATGCTTCCCAAAGTTCCTCCACTGAGTGCTGTTGTCCGAGACACAAAATTGCCCGCCATCAACGAGCCAAACAGCGCAAAATCAACGCAGCTATCAAAATGTGACCTGCCGCTGTCTCAGGATGATTCTGAAGCAGGCACTCCTTTTGGAGCTGTGCGGAACAATTTGGAGGAAAAGTTTGACAGTCAAAAGGATCCTGTTCATGATGAGGATACCAAAGAGCAACCGGCGGATGGAACCGTGACAACAGAATCGCAAGACATGGAGGATAAAAAAACCGCTGCCAAGGAATCACAAGAGGAAATCCCAGCCTCCTCTGATGACAATGCTGAATCAAACGACGTGGAAATGAAGGCGGCGGACGAGAGCCCGGACGTTGCGGAAGACTCGGAGGAAGTGGAAGTGGAGATTGTAGAGCCAAAAGAAACTGAGGTCGAGACTGCTGCAAAAGAGAGCAATAATGACCAAACCGAGAACCAAATGGAAGTGGACGACTCGTCGCAACCAGACGATAGCTCGCAATCAGATGACAAGTCACAAGCCATGGAAAAGTCGGTGGAGATTGCAACGTCCCCCAAGACTGGCGCAGGCGTCACGCCGGCCAAGTCACGGCTTGACAAGCAAGAAGCCATGGTGGTCAAGTATTGTGCTCAAGCCAGTGAGCTTGTGGCAAAGGCCAGAGCTGGCCTCGACGAAGAATCCATCACAATCCCCTTGCCATCGACTGATGGTATCGAAATCGGGTCGCCCGAGGAGTTTCCTGACGTCGCAGTGGAGCATCTTGTCTGTCTGCTGGAAGGAAGGTAAGAGCATCGAAAGCGCAGCTGTGCAGCCAATCCGCAAGAAGGTCATCAGGTTTTGTTTCTCACGTTGATCTTCCAGCAAACTCCCGCTTGCTGAATTGGCAGTCGGTGCCTGCAACACATTGAACGAAGCATTCAACGGTGCATCGCTGTCAGTGGACGTCGTGTCGGCCAAAATCAAGGTGCTTGCCAGTAGGAGGGCCTACGTAAAGAACCCCGCAATCGCAAAAGGAGTGATAGGGCCAAACAACCTAGGGAAGGACGTGGATACTTTTGAAGATGGCAACCCTGATCACATGTGGCGCTGGGAAGTCACATCTACAGACCTCCTCCCCGACGGCTCAGTCAAGCAGATCAAGCTAGCGAGATCTGCTGGATCGAAACTGATGAAGCAGTGGAACGCGACCGCAAGTCTGCTCAAAGCCTTGGACGACTCTCTCAAGCTGCTACGTGACTCGCCCAATCCACCACCACAAGAAAAGATTGACAAGGCCCTAGCCAAGATTAGCAAAGAGGAAGAGAGGGTGCTAAAGTATGAGAGAGAGGAAGAGGCAAAGAAGCAAAAAGCCAACAAGAGTCGTCAAAAAGAAGAGAAGAAAAAGGCTGCTGAGGAAAAGAAAATGGCTGCTGAGGAACGCAAGCGAGAGAAGGAAAGAAAGGCGCGTGAAAAAGAGGAGGCAAAGAAGGAAAAGGAAGAGGAAGCGCGGAAAAAGCAAGAGAAGGAGGAAAGAAGAAAACAGAAGCAAGCGCAGAAAATGATGTCCTTCTTTTCTACTGCCAAGAAGCAAACACCAAAGAGTTCGACCTCTACAACGACTGTCCAATCCGCCCAATCCGCAAAGCCGACTTCGACGACAGCCGACAATGCCAGCAAGCCAATCGCTACAAAGAAGAACGGTTTCGATGAAGAGGAGTTTAGGGCACGCATCAACTCTCAGTCCGTTGCAAAGGAAACGAGACCTTTTGCCTCGCTTTCGAAGCGTGCTCGAGCCAGTCGCAAACGCAAGACGAAGCTTGTCGAGATGCGCGTGTTTGTATCTGGCCAAACCTCTGATAATAATGGTTTCGCACCACAGGCTTTCGCGAAAGAACTAGTGGTCAAACTGCGCAACCGAAACAAATTCCTTCGCTTTAACGAAGATGACAGGTGAGGGTTGGACGATGAACTGTGCGGAATGATGTTTTCGCAAAATCTCTCTCTCATGTTGTCACTTGCACCTTGTTTCCTCCTGTAGACCCGCTTATCATGGGACGTGGAGCAAGAAATGCGCCACCAAACACTTGGGCAGGAAACCGACTAGCAAGGAGCCTTGTTTCGATTACGATTACGATAGCGAGGTTGAATGGGAAAAGGGCGATGACGATCCAGGCGAAGACATTGAGAACGACGCCGGAGACGACGAAGAAGAGAGGGCACTTGATCGTCTCGAAGAGGGCGACACAAAGAAATACAACTACGGGGACGGGTGGCTCCAAGAGGATGACGATATCATTCGCGAAGACCCTGAGGAAATGGATGACGACACCAAGAAGCTGGTCAAAGCGACCAGAAAGGACACGGACGTTGCAGCCGTGCCCGTCTGCATTGTAGCACCAGCCATGGGAGGGTTGCCAGTAGTCGAAGCGCACGACCAGGACGATCCTCGTTTGCAGGGACGAATTGAAGGTTTTCCGGTCCAAGATGCGTTCAAGCTCGTGTTGGCTCACGAGAGCGCCATTCTGGTTACTGACACCGACCTTTTTCTTGATGCCTTTCCACCTTCGCTCGTCGAGGAACGCGACGGCTCAGCCACGGCTTCAGGTTCGCCTCAATCCAAAGCCAAAGAACCATCAAAAGAAGACCTGCGCACCTGCGCTAAATTTCTTCATAATTCCAAGCATGTCTCCAAGGCGATTGCTGTGGAAGAGATGCGCAAGAAATATCCCTCGGTCACTACCAGTCGTGCCCAGGCGACGCGAGTGCTCGAATCCATGGTCGTAAAGAAGCGTCTCTCGGGCGTCGTCTACTGGGAAATCAAGCCAGATGTTATCAAGGATCTGGGTCTGGAACATGAATTGAAGGTAAGGAACTTGATGATTGGTCCAAGCAAGCATCGTTCGCGCACATGTCTCACCGTCATCTTTTGCTTCTTGCCTGCAAACAGCCCATGGAGATTCCAGAGAAGACTCCTGACAAAGCTCAAAGCAAGAAACGCAAAGCTGCCAATGCCTCGGATACTAGTTGTGATCAGCCAAAGAAGAAGAAAGCCAAAGCGCAGCCCAGTGGAGGAAGCGGCCCCAACAAGAAACAAGCAAGTCTGATGGCTGCCTTTCTCAAAATGCCAGTGAACAAGTAAGCTGCGTTTGACTAGCAACATCAAAGGGGGATACAAGTATAGTTGTGATGGTATTTTTTAAAAGGACTTAGTTCTTGACTCCTGCACCGCGGTAGCAGAGGAGCAAGCCACCATGCCAGCTAGACTAGTAGCCTATTTGAGAATTGGTCCTTGATAGCCAGCTATCGTGGGCTAGCTAGAGGTGACAGTAACCGTTACTGCCACCTCTTCAGATCTCTGCTCTAGCTGGCACCATGTGCTCTTCTGTTGAAGATTCGGTGATTCGATTCAATCATTCTGTTGGCGCCCCTTTGTATCGGAGACCTTAAAAAAGGTGTTTGGTCGTTGCGATTGGCGCCAGCTCGCAGACCTGTCCCTGGGCCACACGGGAAATCTAAAAGGGCTCATCGGTCTGGGGATACCGGTACCGTTCATCTGGTGGTTCAGAATAAGGAAACTCCACAACTGCGTTTTCTTCTAATTTGCATATCTCCAAATTTGTAAAACTCTGTTTTGGTTTGTTCTCTTATTATTCCAACCAGGTATTTATTTTTCAACATTCCTGAATTCAACATTGTTTCTCCTTACTATCATAGTATGCATATAGTATTTTGAACATTTTCCAGCCAAACCAACCAGACGCACGGTAAGATAGTCGTACAGTATTGAATGAGAGCCTCAATCAAACAAAGGCATCATAGCATCGAATCACTTCATCTTTGATTGATTCTATTCTATTGAATTCGTGCCACCTGAATCTCTATCGAACCCCACGCAGAGTTTTTAGGGACGCTTCCCCGAAGCTTGGCTCAGAGACGGATCACTTATTGTCATACAGTACAAGTAAGTAGACCTAATTCAGAAAGGCGGTGTCGGCCACTATACACAAAAACCATTG